ATAGGGGAAGGGATCGTCTCCACAGGGATTGTATGATTCACTCTTTCGTGTTCTAATACAGTAAATAAAGGGGGATTTTTCTTTTATTATCTAATTAAAATAAAATAACAAAGCAATTAAATTAAAGGGGAACTGACTATAAGGGGATGCCTGACTTAAGGCATGATGCAGTTATGAGTATCATTAATTCAATTAAATTAATTCTTATTAAAGTATCAATAAATTGGTTATAGTTATCAACAAGTTCTGACAACCAATTTTTCCTTACAGTAGGTAATTAAGGTATGACCGTTAACTACCCCTAATTAAGCAAATAAACTTAGGTGTGCCCATAAGAATATTGTCTAACCGCATTCCAATCTAGAAAAACCCAATTCAAAATAATTACTACCTAAGATAAGCAATTAGATTTGATTGTCTAACCCCCGGGAATGAACTATTCAACCCGGTTGTCACCTATTCAAGTGCGAATACAATTACGGATATACTACTTGAATTGACTTTAGATTATCAGACTAATTTAAATATCGGTACCAAAATATTCAATCAATCTAACAATCACAAACGCTATTATCAGAATTAGACAAATATTGATAATAAAAAAGAACTTTTATAAAGAAAATAAAAAATCTCCAAAACAAAAGAACTAAAACATTATCACCCCTCAAACCACAAAAAGTATCTACTCCATAATTAAATAACAAAGAACAAAAGAGAAAGATGAAGTTCTCTGTCGATTTGCTCCTGCGCGATCCGATCTATGAATCTGTCAGTCTCCTGTTCTTATGCTTTTCTGCCCTAGCCGTCCTCTCCCTTTTGAAACGTGTGATCCCTCCTTTTATTTAATGTTTGCCCTAATTATTTTGTAGATGGGCTTTTGGGCCTTTAATTAATTTTATTGCCAATTATGTCAAATTTAATATTTGTCCTCTGCACATAGCAAATAAACAATTCGCATATAAATTAGGTAGAATCCAATCAAAATCACCCAATTATCGCATATGATATGAATATAAAAAGCATGCGATTTCTAACTATCACTTATTTGACAAAGAAATTGAGCAAAAATTATGTTTCTTTTGATAACTTTGATAAAATTTTGGTTTGAGTTTGATTTTAAAATAATGTTTGGTGGGATATTTTGTGAGATAAAAAAATTTATTTTTTTCGAAAAATGCATAATTCAAATAGTAAAGTTTGAAAAATTTGAGGTTAAGAAACGTACCATTAGACAACACAATTAATATTTTTTTGTCTTAAATTGTCTGTAGCAATACATGTGTCCAATATTCACATCGGAATTGTGAAGAGACTTACCTTTAGGCGAACCATGTTCTACATCTACTTCTCGAACAAGAGATCTTTGACTCGTAATTAAGTAAATGGAGCTTTTGTCTTTTTATTCTTATGCTTTATTTATTTATTTCAATTTTTTCCTACCGATTTAAGACAAAAACACACACACACACAAATTTGTGAATTGAATAATAATGTGCTCTATATATATTGTTGGAGTCCAAACCCGAGTCCCACATTGGAAATGGTGATGAAAATTTCACACCTTATAAGTCCCAACTAAACTCTACTAGTACGAGGCATTTTGAAGGATATCCAAAAATAAATCCGTGCGGACTCAGCCCAAAGCGGATAATATTTTACTATTGTTGAGTTGACTCAATCCTCCAAACATATATATATATACATTATTTTAAGTTAATATATAGTTGTTTTTTTTTTGTTTTTGTTTTTTTATTCTTATTATTTTTTGTTTTTGTTTTTGTTTTTGTTTTTTTTTTGTGTGTGTGTAAAATTATATTTCTTACCTTCAATAATATATTAGTGTGTAAGTTAAAACTAATCCAATTATTTGATAGTGATGGATCTTTTTAACAATATGATCAATAATCACGTCTCTATCGGACATAGTCAACACACCCTAACTTATTACTATAGTTTTCCCAATACATAATAAATAAATAAAAAGTTATGTGATGTATTTTCACATTTTTTTAATTGTGCTCTTTGTTTTGTTATTATATTTTTTTATTTATATGAAAAATTATGAATTAAAAGATAAATACATGAGAACTATAAATATAAAAAGCGAAAACGGAGATGTGTTCAGTATAAACTTTTGATTCAATTGATAATTCGTTTTGGATTCGACGAAACTTGCATTATCAAAATTCATAACAGTTTCAAATATTGAATTTCAAACTTGAATCGGTCTGATTAATACGAGGGCCGAGGCCGGGGCGAAACACGGCTGAATTGCCATACTTAAATGGGAGACAAGATTGGATCATCTCTTTTTCGTCTTTTTGACCTAAAAAAAGAAACACACATGCATTCATACATATATATATATATATATGTAAGTATAGTAAAAGGAAGAAAGAGTTATGCACACGCTATTCACAAAAGTCATCATCATATATATTCATATTCATACATCAACTTCTTTCCTTACTTTTTTGCTTTTATTATTATTATTATTATTATTATTATTATTATTGATGCATGCATTTTTTTTTATTTTGTGTACGATATTTATTATCATGTCGATCATTTAAATAAAGTTTGTATAAAAATAACTTTATATTTTGCTAACAATTTATAATATCAAATTGTCCTGAATTTTAAATTTTAAAATATACATTTATATTAATAAACATACCAAATTAAATATACATCAATATTTAGTGTTAAAAATTGTGATGTAGATCATTTATACCAATTTTTAAAATACAGTATCAGCACATGTAGCAAATTTCAGTGTTAAAAGTAAGTTAAATTTTTAGCAATTAAATATTAGATAAAAGACAATTTATATACGATAATTTATAAAAATTATAGAACAAAAGCGACAATAAATACCATAGGTAGAACTAAAAATACTATTATTCCTTTTTAGGTTTAGCCAATAATTTATTAAATACTTACTTTCGAATAGCGGCAACAAATTTCAAAGTTATAAAAAAAAACCTATTATTCCTTATTATTATTATTATTATGATGATGAAGTAGTCTAATACTGTAAACATATATGAGGTTGAATAATGTGTGGTTTGTTTGTTCAATTTTCTTTTTTCACGCAATTTTCAATATATATATTTTATCATCTCACAAGAGTCACTATTCAACCTAAAATAGTATTATTTTTTATATTATCGAAACATTCTCTATTTCTAACATATTTTTTTTTTCAAATTAAAATATTGTGAATTTTTATGAATTTGTTTGTTTTTTAAAAAAATAAATAAAAATGACCTGGGGTCCATATATTTTAAAATATACTATTACTTATATCTCCCATAACAAATTATTCATTTTTTTGTCTATCATATAATAAAATATCTATTTCGTTTTTTAGTAATTGTATTATTTACTTAACATTACAAATACCCTTACAATTTATAATATATTACACAAATGTCATTACCTTTATATTACACAATACTAATAAGGTTATTTTAGTCATTTTTTATTTTATTTATACTATACTAAATCTACATTAAAAAAACAAACCGATACGTAGTTATGGGACGGAGGGAGTATATATTTTTATTTTTCAAAAATAATGTATATATTACAAATTGTTTATTGGAATTTGATTTGAGTTTTAGATTTGTGGTTTGAAATTGAATGTTAGATTTAAGTTTTATTTTAAATATTATTTTAATATAATATTATGTGAGAAAATATTATATTTTTATTAAAAACCGTAGTACGTAAACATGGTTGATTTTGATATCAGATAGTAAAATAACACACCTTTAATTTCAATATTATTTAATTCTTTTTATTTTGCTTTGATTACTTTTGTACAATTTTTTAGTTGATAAAATTCTGATCTATTTTTTTGGAACAAATTTAATTTTACTTCTTGTTTGACCTGATTTTATAAATTGTATTTAAAATGATAAAATAGAAAAAAATTTGTGAAAAATGTGTTCAATTTTGTTCTACCTGTTTTCATATAGAACTTTTTTATTTTTACCATTCTTTTAATGACTAATAGTATATTTTAGTTGTTCAATAATTAGCCAATTATTTTTAATATAGATTTATCAGCAAAAATTATATTAATTATTTTTTTAATATATTTATTAGCGTGCATGGTTTAAAATATATAAAAAAATTTAAAATTAGTATATTATTAAATTTTGTTGTATGCAGTATTAGTTGCGGCTAGGGTATTGTTAAGTTATAAGTTTACCATGCAGATAATCAATTTCCATCCTTAATTACAATAAAATGGTTAAATAAGTTAATTAATTTTATTTAATTATTGGTTAGAATAAAATTAAGTAGTGCTAATTTAAATATAAAATTATACTCCATCCGTCTCTAAAGAAGTGTCTTATTGAGAGTTGGCACGAGAATTAAGGAATAATAATATTTAATTGAGAGTGGGTATAAAGTAGAATGTTAATGACTAAAATGCTTTTACTTTTTGAAGGATTTTAAAGAGTATGTTAGAGTAATAATGTAGGAATAATTTTGTTATAAAGTGGGGACCACAACTACTAAATAAGGAAACAAGACAATTGTTTTGAGACGGACGAAAATGAAAAAACAATACAAATCTTTTGAGACTGAGGAAGTATTTGTTTATGCAATATATTTTTACTCATTTGATACTATTCATTTTTTAAAAAATATCACATCCTAATACAAACATCAAATCAAATATTTACTTTTTACTTTTTCAAAATTTCAAAATTCCAAAAACTTCCTAAAATTTCTATCTAAACAAAGCCCAAATTTCACTTTTATCCTACCATTCAGTTCAGGCACTCAGTTCAGCGCGGCTCGGCTACGAACGCGGCTCAGCTCGGCTCGGCTCTCTTCTTCTTCCCCGTGACAGCATCAGTCCTTCACATCTCCTCTTTTAAAAGCCCACCAAAAGTTCGACGAAGGCCCAATTATCTTTCGGCCCATTATAATCATTGGGCCCAAATTATCATTAATCCATGTTTGGCTTCCTGATTCGGGTAATTTTTGTTCAACCTGCGCCCCGACGATCCATCTGAATCTCGCTTGGGATTTCGAAAATTTCTCGTTGAATCGATACGGATAACGGAGGACTTTGGGTGAATTCCGATCGATTCAGCTATGGAGAATGCAAACGTGCAAGAGGTAATAGGTTTGTGTTTTTTTGCAATTTACATTGTTTTTATGTCGGGTAATCGGGAATGCTTTGTTGCAGATATTGGAGAAGCAGTTGCTGACGGTCGCGAAGGCTGTGGAGGATAAGATCGACGATGAGATCGCGGCCTTGGATCGGCTGGATTTGGACGATATTGAGGTGCTGAGGGAGCGAAGGCTGCAGCAGATGAAGAAAATGGCGGAGAAACGGAGCCGTTGGACCGCCCTTGGACACGGCGAGTACTCCGAGATCCCGAACGAGAAGGAATTCTTCTCCGTCGTGAAGGCTAGCGAACGCGTCGTCTGCCATTTTTATCGGGAGAATTGGCCTTGCAAGGTATTGCCTAGGGTTTGAAATTTCTAGCTATTCCTTTGTGGTAAATCAGTCTTCTACTCGTCGTTTCAGTAAGTTAACTTTCGGAAATAGGTTATCAAACTGTTAATTCAGATCCTTCAATTCGGATTAAATGGAGTTCTCGGAAAGCTGCTCTGAAGTTCTCATTAGATTCTTTAATTCATGGTTTAAACAACAATTGGGATTCAAATTTGATGATTACTGGGTGGTTTCATAGTAGAGAGAAAAGGAAAAAGAGTGGATTGAACCTGTCGACTCAGTGCCTTCAATAGTTCAATTTTGATTAATTCGGGTTTTCCGAAAGCTGCTTTGCAGTTCTCATTAGATTCTTCCAATTCATGGTTTAAACAAAAACCTGGGATTCATGTGGTTCAAATTTGATGATTTCATGGTAGAGAGAATAGGAAAACTGAGGATTGAACCTTTCTGATGATGATAAAGCAATCATATAACCCCCACAATACACGATTATTTCTATATGCTTGATAATTGCATCATGGGTCATCCTATGCTACTGATTTCTAATAGGAACTTAATCAACTTATGCTTTTGTGTTTTGTAAAATCTTTTCCCCTCGACGATTCATTACTTATAATCCATTCTTGTCATTACTAGACTCTTATTTCTGTAGTTATGCAAGAATGCAAGATGATTTCTTTATGGTGGTATTTGATAGCATGTGGAGTGGGTGTTCTTTGTTTATGTTAAACCTCTTTTAAATTGAAAGAATTCATCTTTATGGAAGGAAGAATTCAAGATGTGAAAAGACTTTTAAGTACAATTTATCAAATTTGTTTGATTGATTGATAGGATTGCAATGCATTGTAGTTTGCAAGCTTTCTACATAGGTGTAACGGATGTTTTATATTTTAGTATGGGTTCGATATTCTTTCCTTCAAATATTTCTCGACAGATGAACTTAGTTATATCCTTGCCGAGCAATTTTCAGCGAAATAGATTCATTGCAGGTCATGGATAAGCATATGGCAATATTAGCAAAGCAGCATATTGAGACGCGCTTTGTAAAGCTCAATGCCGAAAAAAGTCTATACTTAAGCGAAAAGCTCAAAATTGTTGTCCTCCCAACACTGGCTCTCGTAAAGAATGCTAAAGTGGAAGATTATGTAGTAAGTTTATTCACTTATGCTAGTAATCGAAAAGTTCGTGAATTATGAGATAGAATCGTTGTTGATTCCAAGATTTGTCTGTGCAAATCAGGTGGGGTTTGATGAGCTAGGCGGGACTGATGATTTCAGCACGGAGGAATTGGAAGAGAGGTTAGCCAAAGCAGAGGTCATTTTCTACGAAGGCGAATCTTCTCGAATCCTTGCCAAACATAAAGCGCCAGGTAGGAATGTTCGACAAGGCTCGACTTCATACTCTTCAGATTCTGAGTAAGTCATTGCTGCCATTACTATCCTTTTGGTCTATATCGAGATATGTATTTGGTTGTGGTCATTTTGGTGATGGCTATTGTTGTAGCATAGACCATATGGAATTGCTTTTGACCTTTATATATTGTTATTAAGGGGAAGAAAGGGTGTGTTTCTTTAGATTTTTATTTAATTTTTTACTATTTGGATTGCATAGAACATCACATCTAATATTATTTAAATGAAAATTTATTATTAATAAACTTAAATTCAAAATTCAAATTCCATAACTCAATCACTTTGGGGAGTCTTCATGATAAGTCATGCTTGGAGATGTTCATGAAGATCATTTTTTTTTTTTTTTTTTTTTTTTAAAAGTAAGCTTCGAGGACTAGCAAAAGTGACATACAAGTTCATAATATTTATCTAAAAATAAGATTAGAAAACCATACTTCTTGAAATCAGAGTGAATTTCAAACACAGGCAAATTGCCTACATCTACAACCTTAAGCTTACTTTGGTTTGGTGGCAGCGATGAAGGATGAGTTATTTGAAATCCTCAACTTTGCATTACAATTCGTGATTCAAAGATTGCAAAGGGACACTAATTGTTGATCTCCATTCACTACATTTCTGTAAAATAATTTGAAATATTTAAACACTATCATTTGAATTTGATCGCAGAGGTCGGTTTCTTTAGCAAATTTTTTCCAATTTTTATTAATTAAACTGTATATTTTTTGAAAAAAATATATTCAAAATATCATATTAATATTTATTTATATCATCAAATAACTAGTTAAATTCAATTTTTTACTATTCAAACATCTAAACAAAAAAAATAAAAAATCAAATCCAAGCACAAGTTTTGGCCTTGTTCACTTAAATTTTTGTTTCAATCTTTGTACTATACAATTTTATTTTATTTTTCCTAAAAATATGGTGTGTTCTTTTCTCAAAATGCTCCACACATTTTTAAAAAAAAAATAAAAAATATATATTTAACTTACACTCATTATTTTTATATTACCTATACAATTCTCTATACTTATACCTAGCATAAAACACAACAAATTTCTCTTATAAAATATCACATCTAACCTATCATTTAAATCAAAACCCAAAACTACAAATCCAAAACGTAAATAACCCTTTATATATATGTAACCTTTACATACATACACACATGTATATGAGGAATGTACAACTAAATAAAATAATTACCAGCTGTTGCATTCCCAACATGATTACCAAAAAAAAAAAAGGAAAAAATCATTTAACAGAATAATAAAACAGTATGATCTAACTAACATATACCTTAATCATATGAAACCTCTAAGGTAATGAAATGGCTAACAAGCAGGATGAGGCTGTTCGCCATCATTCTCCGGTATAGTCATAAGCTTAGTCAGTTCCAGTCGGTATTCCAAGCCTCTAAGGTAATGTCCCAACAGCATGCACCTAAATCCCGACAAAATTGAAGATTGTGAGGAGGCGAAATGATTTTACAGAACCTCTACTAATGCACTTCAGAAAACGTAGCGTACAAATAACATCAGTACATCCTGTTAAGTGACAGTTCTGCAAAAACTGGTCCCGGAAAGAAATTCACTTAAGTCTCCTGGTAAAATTAGGGAGGATACATAAAAAGGGTTGGAAAATTTCAACAATTAATGATATATGCATAAGATAGCATATTAACATCAATGCTATCCCAACTCATATCAAGGCGGAAAAGTGATCAATACATATTTAACCACATTGAAATAACAAGGCTCCAAAGAAAATATTAGTTACTAATTTACTATATGCACATGTAGCAAATGAAACATTTGCACTGACATCTTGTGATGGTTTGCTAATACGAAAGGTTCAGGGAAAGCATGTCATCGATTTTGTACATCAACAGTAGAGGTTTTTCAACGAGATGAACATATATGGGAACCAATTTGGACTTACCAAAAGAGCAAGCGAGCAAGATAATCCCGTGGCAGAGAAATAAGAGGCTGGAACTGAAGAGAGGTGTTCTCAACAAGATCAATACAATCTCCTTCAGTTCCAGTGTTAATGGTTCCAATGGTGCCATTTTCGCCTAAATCCCAACCCTTTGAATGCATCTTGGGAGAAAGGGTTGCTAAGAGGCCATGTACTACTGAATGGATTGTATTTTTCAATTCGGGAGATGTTGGTTCTGAGAGCTCAACTACCTGTTTGCAAAAGTAGATGAATAAATGCAGGCTGTGAAACATACACAAATGAAGAAAACAGAATGATAGGGGAAAAAAAATACCATGAAATTGTCCAGTGTTCAACTGTATGAAACTCATATTGTTTCTCATTGAACGAAATAGACACACAACAGTCTACACACACCATTCTTGCAAAAGAAATGCTTAATAATGCATTTAACTTCTTTTGATTTTCATTATAGTATATTAAAAACAAGACTATTTAACTCACAACACTTTATGACCTAGAAGAATGAAAGCATACTTTCATATTTTAAATATGAGATTTTTTGTCCTTTTAGTATTTACCTTCTCTGGTTTCAAAGATCTTAAGTAATCCAACAAGTCATTTTTTTCTTCCCCAACAAACTGTTGCTGCATCTGAAGTGCTGCACTTTTCTTCGTAATTTCATGGAGCTCCTGAGATTGTAAGAAAATTAATCAAATACATCACAACGGGAATACATTTGGACAATAAAGGATAAACTTAAGAATCAACTGTCAAAAGCAAACAGGATAGACAAAAGGTAAGAAGCTTCAAAACCAAGAATCTAAACTCTCAAACAAACACACCCTAAGGCTTTACTATACATTTCTGATTAGTTAAAGTTGCTATACAACACATACAATGGCCATGGAATAAGTAACTTAGATCGCTCAAAGTCTATTATGCTGCTAATCAGGGCTTCTACCGATAACCACATATATAAAAGTAATTTCCGGCAACAGAAACACAATCAATATGGAATGGAAACCACAATTAAAAGTAGGAAGATGGAATATCAAGGGATACAGCTTACTTGTCACCAAATGCCTAAACACACCTTTTTCACTGAAGATAAACGGGAATGCAATTTCAAAATGTATTGACGAGCTTCAGGAGGCAGTTCACCAAAATCAGGAATGTCAAATGCTGTTTCTCCTGTTCGATCCGATGCTGGCTCTTGTTCTTGTTTATCATTTTTACTTGTTCCTTTGTTTTTCAAATCAGCCTCTTCTGCTTCAAGCTTAGAATCTTCAATATTTAACATACAGTCATCTCCTTCATTCATCTCAAGATTCTTCTCTAGACTGAGCCTGTATTCAGCATTTCGCAGCGTGTACCTACATACAGACAGACCGAAAAAGAGTTGTCATGTAAAAACTTCAACATACAACTCCATGCGATATGCCAACCTTCTGGCTTATTAATACTCAGGATACAGGATGTACCCATGAAATTGCAACAATAACGAAAAATAATAAATTTTATGAAAATCCATAAGCGCCCAATAATACTCTACTGATGAAGTCACAGATCTCAACTTGAAAACTGTCTCATCATTTCCATTTACCCTACAATAACTCAATTGTGTCAAAATGGTTTTTCCATGAGTGTAAATAGAGATTGGACCCCATCTTAAGAACATAAATGTCTGATCTGTTAAAATAATTGCATGAAGGTATAAAACGAAATTTATGAGCAAGCAACTTCTTGGACAATATATCTCACAAGGGTGAATATAACAATTTGAGATTAACAAACCATAAAATCTGGACTTTTCAAATCAGAAAGCGCCACTGTGATACAATACTCCATATCCGAAAACATTTATTTCTTTTTCTTTTATGCAAAAAAAATGCAATGAGAAAAATGCAAGTATACCCTGTCATCATTGAAGAAATCAACAGCTTCGAAAGTGATTCCCACAAAGCTTCAATCATCACTTGAAAGTGGTCAGACGGAAGCAAACCCAACATGCCAGATATGGTCCTCTTCATGGCATCTATAGTGGTAACCGGTACATCTTTCTGAATAAGGCTCACATCCAAGGGCTCTATATCACGTATTAGATTGAACAGAGCTGATCTCTGAAGAAAAGACACACTTGATCAATGCATTCTATCAAAAAATTTTGTGATATTGTCCATAATTGCTCTTTTTCTTTAGCATGTTTCAATCTAACTACGTATCTTACTGGAAAATCTTACACATTCAACAAGAAAAAGATCGTCCTCTCCCAAAAAAATAATCAAAAAAAGCAAGAAGAAATAGCTCGTGCTCGTACTTTCACTTTACGAGTAAACCTACTTTGCATATATCCAGAATTAACAGAAATCAATCAACCAGCGGATATAATCCAAACACCAATCCAAATCCAAAATCGAATCACAATTACATCAGCAAAAAGAAACCGTAACCTTGGACCGCGAATTCTCGTCGCCATCCCTAAATTCCCATACAGAAACCGACGATGAAGAACAAGCAAAAATCCTCGCACTGAAACATCGAGATTTCCCACAATCACTTCTCCGTACGGCAACAGCACGCGATACAGACGGCCAAAACCGCCGACTGGACAAAGATCCGACTGAAGGCAGCGGCGGCGTCGGCGGAGAAGCAGAACGGCAAAGGAAGGAGGCGAAGGTCTCCATCCACAACGAATGACCGCCTCGAGACGGCGCGTTCCGTCTCCGATGAGCCGCCCTGCCTTTTTCCAGATAATATGAAGCAAGAACTCCAGCCACAGCCCGGTCCGGTCCGGTCCGGTCCACGCAAAACGCATGTAGAGTCAAAAACGTCGGACCTCAAGTGGGCCCACTGGCTCAGCGTGCACGTCACGTGACCCACCGCAGCCAGTGCGTTTGAGCCACAAACTATCCTTAGCCAAATTGCTTGTTGGGCTAATTTTTGGGACTTGGAATGTTGCTGATAATTATGCAAATGAATGAATTTGGATTATACTGAAACTTGAAATTTTAAACTATTCCTAAAATATTTTATATTATCAATAATGAAATTATTCAAAATTTAAGATCAATTTGATTGAGAGTTTAGGGATCATGGATTAATATTTTTTTCTCCACATTTTGTAGCCAAAAAAAAAAAAAAAAAACCAATCATCAAGAGTATGGTATGAAAATGAATATGTGATAGTGAAATTGTAAGTTCAAACTTTGATGTCTTAACACATCAACCGTCTATTCTTACATTATAATTTTTTTGTTTCTTTAAACTTATATTATATGCTCAAACTTTATGACAAATTCAAATTTTCATATGATTTCACACCAGTCCACTTTAATTTCATTTTGATATTTTGGGATAATTGGAAATTGTTCTTAACCTTTACTTGAGGAAACTCACTATTTTGTATCTTTTTCATATATATATTTTTTTACGTCACTAAAGATACTCTTTTCTAGTTTATATTCACAAAAAAAAAATAATAATTCCCATTTTTTTTTCTATATATATATATATATGCTTATATTGTTTTTTTTTTCTAAGATTATATTTTTTATTTTGTAAGTAAATAATATATTATTATTTGTCAATACTTTGATTTAGTTCGATAATTAAATTATTTATTTAATATTAATTTTTTTAATAAAATCACATAATATTTGTGTTTATATATTCTAAAATTCAAATTAATAAAACATATTGAATATTGATGTTATTTGTAAAATGCAAAATTTTATTAATTACAAAAATATTACATAATTAAAATATAATAACAATTTTAATATAAATTACAAAAATAATTTATAAACATATATATTATATACCATATATACATGTTTTGTGATCAAGACCTATTTTAAAATTAAAGGTTTGGACACATGTAACTTAAAACAAATTAGTCATAACAAGTAAGAAATATAGAAGCTTGTTTTTAACTCCACCATTGTGTTTGCTCTTAGAAATGAATACAAAAAGACTCATTAAAATTGTACAAAAAGATACTAAAATTTCAAACAGGTACAATAATAATAAGTATGTTTATTGAAAATTCATCGTATAAGAAACAAATAAAAATAGATGATTATCATAATAATCAACATCATCATTATTATTCTTATTCTTATTCTTATTATTAATTCATTATATCTCCATGAGCTTCATATGACCCTTCCCACAAGGTTCCTTAGTCGCAACCATGATCTTATGTTGTCGAAATGTCTTCGCAAAATACCGTTGTGGTCGATCCGGCGTCACGAGCTCCTCCGCCGGCTCGACCACGGTATCGTCGTTCGGATTATTGAAAACCGCCAATGAGAACCTCTCATGGCTCGAGTTCACAATTACTCGGTGTTCTCCGCTATGATAAATTCCATTCGAAAAAATTTGAAGTTGATCCCCTAAGTTGATTATGTAGGCGCCGCGAATTGCCTTAATGGTGATCCATTTGTCCCCACGACGAACTTGTAGGCCCGGAACATCATAATCGGGCATAAGCATAGTGATTCCACCCAGATCTGAATGTGCAGAGAGCCCGAGTGCCAGGTCGGGCTCAGGACATTTTGAGTAATAATTGGCTTGCGTATGTAGCGCCAAATCTTTACCGCCAAAGGCTTCACGCATACGCGACTCTTTTAGTCCAAGATTTGTCGAGAAAATCTTCATTAACTTATCGCCAAGTTCCATTGTTTGATGGAAATACTCGATCACTGTGGATCTGTATAATTTTGTCATACACTATTATTTAATTAAATCAACGAGGAATATAAATAAATATTATATTGTATATAGGTCGGTGAAAGGTCCGGATGATCAACTCTGCAATCAATTGTTAGAATCAACAGGTCTTCAAATTGTTCATTTGAAAAAATAGTAGATCTGCATAATTTTATATCACATACTATTATTTAATTAAATAAACGAGGAATATACATAAATATTATATTGTAAATAGATCCGAGATCCACATCTATGAATTGAAAGATCTTAATGATCAACTCTGCAATCAGTTGTTATAATCAATATGTTTTCAAATTGTTCATTTGAAAAAAAAAAAAAAAAATAGAAACTCTTCTTATTGGATGACTATGATACTTTTTGAAAATCGAAATTCTTGATCGATGGAAGAACATATGTTTTTTTTTCAATAAGATACCAAAGTGGATGATTTGATCATTCCATATTATAAAAATTCGCAGGAAATCCTTTGAGTGATTATGGTGGATATATTTATTATTTTAAATTATTAAGACATTATTTTATATGCTTAAACAATATGACTTTTTATCTTTCAAAGTAAACGCACTCTCAGTATGTATTACCTGAAGGCAGGCGGGAGGGTGGGCCATTTAGCATCGTTTCGAATGCTTTCGGGAAGATAATGAAGCTTGTAATAATCGCGCCAATCCAAGATTTGTCCTTTTTGGAGACCCACACGACTCCCGTATCCTTCGAACGTAATGGTATCGTTCGCGCACTTCTCTTTCTCCTCCAACGGCAATTTGAAAAACCCGAGCCATACTTCCCGCACGCGCCTCATTATATCTTCGCTCACACCATGGTTCACGACCTGAAAGAATCCCCAATTCTTGCAGGCGTCGTCAATCATCGACGCCGTCTTCTTCCGTATTGCAACATCGTCCGAATACAATCCACTCAAATCGATGATGGGGATTTCGACATCATCAACAACGATGTTGTCCAAATTCGGACGATCGGAGAGTGGCTTCACGTAGCGCTCGGGAAGCTTTTCGAGTCCGCTTTCGGACAAGTGTTGGACCCGAACAATGGGCTCGGGCCAGGCCAAGGGCGGGCCGGATTGCAAATCAGTAGCCATTGTTGATTGAAGGAGAGAAGAAAGGATGAATTTATCGATGAAGGGAAAGAAAGAGTCTTGTGGGGTATTTATAGGAAGAAAGAAATACAGATCTAAGTCATGTAATGAAAGAGTTTTGGTTAAAAAACTTGGCCAAATTCGATGTTACTATTATGAGATTTTGTATAATCTAAATTACAAACATATTCGGTATGTTATTAATATAATTTTAATGTTATGGAAATTATATGAAGTGTATATGACTGATTACCATTACATTATCGATTTTTTGTCAATATAATTATCACAATACCTAACTACATTACTATCTTAATAAGCACCATGTTGATTATGGGTGAATTCAAAATTTTGTAATATAATTCAATTAATCTTGTATAAATTCATGACATAGGTTGGAATGTTGGAATTTTTATTTTTGCAAATGATTAAGAATTGTAAAAATGTTTATAATAATAATAATTTCGGTACATTTTATTAGAAAAAATAATATAATTTTATTGAAACATATATTATATATATATATATATTTTAATATAAAAATAATAAGAAGATGAAAGAACAAATATATGGTATCTTTCTTTTGAATAAGTTTGAAAGAATTGATTTTGAATTTGAATTTTATTTGAATTTTAAAAGGTGAGTTTGAATTTTTGAATTTTTTTAGATTTATTAGTTTGATTGGAGTTTTGGGATATTGTTGTATATTAATTTGATAGGTAATAAATATAATGATATAAATATGTACTAAATTAAGTTTATTAAATTAATAATAATATGATTTGAATATTAATTTATATTAATTATAAATAAATAATTATATATATTTTTATTTGTATTATATAAAATGATATATTGTATATTTTTTTATTAACTTATTTTTATTAAAATAATTAAATAATTAATTTACTACAAAGCTGCAAGACCTTGCTAAATTTTATATAGCTAATTTATATATGTATATATATATATATATAAAATAAAGAAATATTATATAGGCCTAGTAGGTAGACTGAAGGAGTTGTTGGAATGGATTGGGTTTCGCACGCAGTAATGTCGAAATAGTAAACCTACCATGAATTTTGACAAAATAAACACACCCATAAACAACACATGCATCAATGTAAATGGGAAACTACTTTCTTTGCAGTTACTCAAATTTTACTATTTGAACTCTGCTTTTGTCACAAAATATCTCATTAAACATTATTTTCATACTAAATTCAAATCAATTTTTTTTCTAAACTTATCAAAAAATAATACACCCATACTTTTAAAAATTTTAAAATAACACAATTTATTTGTTATCAGATAATTTTATTTTTGACATGCCATATTTTAAAAATCGTGTAAAATAACAAACTAAAAATACACCAACTACATATTGTAATATTTATTTTAATATTGTTTAAAATCGATGAGTATTTTTTAGTAGATTATTATTATTATTATTATTTTTTTTTTTTTACTTCAAATATAAATTTTTTTATTATTCAAAATTCAATACCTAAACAAACACATCTTATACAAAAATTTAGTATAGTTTTAGTTTATTCAATTTCTTTTTATATATGTCTAAATATTATATATATTAAAATTAAACTATACTAACAATTAGGAGAAACCAAACTCTACCATTCGGAAAGTCATTAGAATACAAGTAATATGATATGTACGTACGGGTAAGCATGCAAGCGTAAAAAGAGAATACGAAAGTAGTCCATATTGTGAAGCAAAAAGGAAAGAATTACACTATGGATAACAAAAACTTTAATTTTTATAGATTCACTTTTAATGATTGGATTTTTATTTTTATTTTTTAACATTATGATACAAAATATTTACAAATAGACAATATAACTACTAGTAATCGTTTGGTATCCATTCACTTGCACAATCTACGTAGTGTTCGATCCAATATGGTCTATGGAGTGTTTGATCCCGCATTGCTCGATGTTGCATGATTTTGTTTCAATTTGTAGAAGAATGAGAGTACAGAGAAAATTCCGTTTGAGATCGTGCTTGACTTTCAAACAATGACTCTGAGCGTTCTAAGGATTGAACCCTCTAACCTTTCACTATGCCAAGAGATGGCGGACCAAATAAGCAAATATTTCGAGAATTCCGAGAGGAAGACTTGGTTTTATGAACACAAATGTATTCGAAGAGTGCACAAAGGCTTGATGCACAGATACGAGAATCCATTCCCAACATTGAAGAAAGTTGGAGAGCTGGCGTATAAAATAGAATTACCCGAGACACTGTCCTAACTTGATCCCGTATTCCACATCAGCCTACTAAAGTCATACTATAGCGACACCCAGGATCCAAATCGAAATGAGTCGACAAATGCCCCACCAAGCATGCCAATGTCATACAGCAAGGTGGCTGAAAAGATCTTGAATGACGTAGTAATCTGTGACAAGTATCAACCACCATTGACAGAGTACTTGGTTAAGTGGTATGGACTATCCAAATTCGAGACAAATTGGGCAATGACCAAGAACTTATGACAATTAGAGGATCTTATCCGAGACTTTGAAGCATTGAGGACAATGCCTAGCTTAACAAGAGAAAAATGTTATATAAAATGACAAAATAAAAATATCAATATTTAATTATTATCGTTTATCTAATATTTATTTACAATAACTATCACTGACATTATTATATGTCATTTATATTCTTTCTTTATTCATTTTAAATTTATATAAATAACACCATCTACTTTATACTTCATCCGTCCCACCACACTTGAATCCTTTGATTAGGGACACGGTATTTAAGGCGGAGATGTTTAATTAGTTAATAATAATTAATTATGATATTATTATATTATTTTTTTTATAATTAATAATATTTATATTTTTAAAGTAAATTTAATATATATGATTAAAAAATTAAAATATATGTTTAAATATTTAAAAACTATATAGCAATTAAAAAATATATGCAATATGGATATCATTTTGTAGAGAATAAAATTTTCTATAATACAAGTAAATAAAAAAATATTTTTGTTTATTTATAATTAACATAAAATCAATTTTATAAAAGATGTGTAGTTTTAAATATAGATAAAAATATTTATTTTTTTTAAGAGAGGGGTAGAAATAAAGGGATTTTAAGTGGGTCCTACGTCATGTTGTATATAATGTAATTGATTTATATTTGTTAAATATATTTTGAATTAATAATTTTTACCAAAAATAAAAATGTATCGATTGTTATGAGATAGACAAAAATAAAAATAGTTTCAAGTGTGATGGGACGAAAAAGATTACTTTTCAATGTACTAATATTTTATTATTCTTAATTTTTGTGCCGATCCAAAAATATGCTGAAGTTGTCTGATGAAAGGTGCACTTCCAACGCATCTTTAATGTTATAAATTAAGGGTCTGTCATTGAAAATACTTCAAAACTTAGTCATATTAAAAAGGGTTGCTGAATATGTGATGGATATATTTATTGCAATGCGTTAATTATATCATTGTTTGTTTATTTTTGTTAACATTTACGGGCAGTAAGATAAATTATATCGATAATATAAAAAATAATATTTTATAGTTAATTATTGAATTTTTGTGGGAGAATAAAATATATACTCCATATTATTTATATTATATGGATATGCGTATATATTGTAATTTTTATTATTATCTAAAATTGTGTCGACAATAATATGCTGGCCAGGTGAACAGCTCTTATATATAAATTTATATAAATTGCCATTATTCTCATTTTATTTATTCATTTGTTTTTTCTCGCTCATTTGAGTAATATTAAGAGTCGAATAAGATTGAGTTTTATTTTATGTATAATAGTCATTAATTTAATTTCATAATTGGTTCCCAAATTTTGATTTTTTTTCATTTTAATACTTAATCCCATTTTGAAAATTCAATTAATCCTTCTCCAGAAAATAAAAGGCAATATTGTGGCAGGATTCAAATAATATTGCTTGATTAGAGTAATATTAATTGTGACCATTCTTATCAATTAATTAACATACCATATAATTAGTCATATGGTAAATATTATAATAATAAAATGGTTATGTTAATCATGAAATTTGACTATGCAAATTAGGGTGACTATTTTTAATTTTTTTTTTTTTTAAAAAATTATATTAACAAATAATAGAGTAATATTACCATGTAGAATATGACATGTTACCACAATGACTTGGAATTGCAATAACAAATGATATAAAATTACATCTGATTCAATATGATGATACAAAATTAATGTAACATAAATATCAATACCAATAAGATTAGCCACGTTTAAAATTAGTTAGCAATGAAATATTCATAATTCAAAATTGTAACCCTATTTTAGGTTATATATAATTCGACATATATTTTATTTTTATGATGGTCTTTATACATAATCTTACTCGAATTGGCTCTATAAATACCCTAAAAAAAACCCATTCTCTACACATCTTATTCCCTTCTTCTTCTCCTCAATCGATCATCAATGGCGACGAGCGAATCCTTGTCCTCGCCCAAGGTTGTCTTTGGGGTCCAACATTTGTCCGAAAGTGGCATACAAAAGATCCCGGAGGTCTTTGTGAGGCCCCCCTCAGAAAGGCCGAATTTCAAAGGCGATGCTGATGTTGTAGTAGAAATTCCGGTTATTGACATGAGTGAATTATTGCATTCTAGTACGAAGGAAAAGGCGATGGCGATGTTGGATAAGGCTTGTAAGGAATGGGGTTTTTTTCAACTAGTGAATCATGGAGTGAATAGTGAATTGATGAGTCGTATGAGGGAGACATGGATCGATTTCTTCAAACTATCGGTCGAGGAGAAGCGCAAATATGCGCCGGACCCGATCACGAATGAAGGGTACGGTAGCCGAGTTGGTGTGAGTAAGAAACAGACAAGTGATTGGGGTGACTATTTCTTTCTTCATTGTTTTCCTGAAAAAGCTCGAAATCAAGAGAAATGGCCCTCTTTGCCTCCTTCCTTAAGGTAATTAATTTGTTTTATTTTATTTTAATTGTTGTTCCTACTAATATTTTATTCTGTGGCATTTTTATCATTTTGATTTGTTATATATAGCATGTATATAAATAGGTTAATATCTAAATTGAATTTTTTTTTTTCTAAAATATTATTATACCGTTAGAGCTGACATGAACTAGCGATGTGGTGGATTGATTTTTTAATAAATATTCCAATATGTAGATTGTATTGGGCTTGTTTGTTTGGAGGTTTATGTTTTGAATTTTGAATAGTAAATTTGAATTTATATAAATGGATATCAGTGATATATTTTAAATATAAAATAATTTTTTAGTATAATTTAAAAAATAAAAAATAATTGTTTGATTTAATTTTTATGAAATATATTTTTTTTAATAAATAGTAAAAAATCTACAAAATACCCCACACAAATAATATTTTATAATTTTAAAATTTTTTATTGTTAGTTATTGAGAATTGTTAAAGTATTTTCAAAATTTGTGATATTGTTTAGGTGAATACTTGTGTTTGTTTGGGGGTTTGGATTTTGAGTTGGGATTTGAATAGTAAAAATTTTGAATTTGAATATTTGTATGATGTGATATAAATAGATGTTGATGTGATGTTTTGACTATAAAATTAATTTTTACTATAATATAAAAAATGAAAAATAAGTGTTTGATTTGATGTTTTTGAGGAAAAAATTGGAATGAATAGTGGAAATCTAATCCAATCCCCCAAAGAAACACTTATTTTGTGAGAGAAAATCCTACCATTTTTATTTTTTATTGAAAGATAGGATTTTTTATTTTCTTTGAAATGGTCTAAAAATAAAAGACAAACTCATGTGTTTTTTAATAAATTTATAAAATTTAATTCATATCAATATCTTGGTCCTACAAATTATTACATGTAGTCTATCCTTAGGTAGCAATATTTTGATTGCAAATTATCTTTTCAACAATTACCTAATTATATAAGTTACCACAAAAATCAATATATTAAATCCATATGATTCATTTGCAGAGAACTGATAGTAGAGTATTCTGAACAAGTATACAAACTGAGCCAAACCATACTGAAAATGTTCTCAATAAACTTGGGGCTAGAAGAGTCGTACATTCCCGACGCTTTCGGCGGCGACGAATTAGTCGCAAGCATGCAAGCAAACTATTTCCCAAAATGCCCCCAACCCGACCTGACATTCGGGCTCTCCCGCCACTCCGACCCCGGGGGGGTCACTTTCCTCATCCCCGACTACAACGTTAAAGGCCTACAAGTCCGGCGCGGCGACAAATGGATCACCATAAACCCCATTAATGGCGCATTCATCGTCAATTTAGGCGATAAGCTCGAAATTATATCGAATGCGATTTACAAGAGCGTGGAGCATAGAGTATTTGTGAATTCATTACAAGAGAGGTTCTCACTTGTCATTTTCTTTAACCCTAAGTACGATGTGGTCAATAAACCAGCAGATGAGCTCGTGACAGAAGATCGGCCAGCCTTGTATTTGCCCACAACCTTTCAAGATTACAAGAAGTATATTATGATCAAGGGAGCTCAGGGGAAGTCTGAATTGCAAGTATTGCAGAAGAAGAATTGATTAGTTAATAATACTTATGAGGACACACTGAATGAATTATGGATCATGTCTTGTTCTTGGTTGCTGCTGTTACGAGGGTTTTCATTTCAATGTATAATAAGACTTCAAATTAATATATATATATATATATATACACACATCTGTGTGTTCTGAATACAACCATATTCATATTTTATCGATATTTGTGATCTTGTTTTCAACGTGGTCATATTCTAGGTCATATTTACTTTATTGTTTTGAATGTGATAATGTTATAACTCATATTCATTATCATCATTTTTTTTCTCAAATTATTCGATGGATATTTATAATTTAACAAAATATTTTTTACAATTATTCAAAAATATAATAAATAATCAAATTTTTAATATTTTAAGAAATGATTCCAAGAAAAACTTGTAAATATAATAAATTAATATATATTTTTAATAATTATAATTATATATATATATTTAAGTTTAGAGTAAAACTTTTAAAATAATTTAAATTTATAAATTTTAAAATAAAATGGATAAAAATGTTGACTTAGTCGATTTCGAAAGAATTACGTACGTCGTACAAAATCTCTTCCAACATTCAAAAAATCTAAAAAATAGCCCAAAAAACTTAAATTTGCGAGAAGAAGTCATTTCTTTTTAGTTGAGCTTGTTATAGGAAATTGTTTTAGAAAATTAGTTTGTTGAAATATGTCCAAAAGTGTGACAGACAAAGAAAGTTGAGATTCCAATAAGTGAAACCCAAAACAAGAACTTAGAAAGCATAAATAAGTTAGTACCTAAAGGCCAAATTAGACTTCTAAAGAATAAAAAGAGGCTGAAGGACTTAAAAGGATGTCCATGCATATGAAAGATCCCATACTTCCGGTCAAATTAACACAGATCAGTATAATGTTCATGTTAGTTTAATTTTTGTTAATCTTCTTTCAAAATTGTTTATTATTATTATTATTATTTTTAATCTGGAGCAGATTAAAAATTTTACTATTCCGACAAACCTAAAACACTTCGGTCATTCGGAAGTCCAAATTTTGTCAACCGGCACCATGTCTATGTATACATATGTTACTAAAAAGTACTTCCACCGTCCCAAACACACGCTGCAATATTTTATTTTTTTGTTTGTTCCAAACTCACTTTTAATATTTTTAAATTTAAAAATAATTAATAATATTTATATGCATATATTAATATATACTTCATTTTATCTCATCACATTATTCAAATAAAAAACAACTAATTATTTCTCTCAAATCACATAATTTAATATCCAAATTATCTCAAATTATCATATTTAATACTTCACACCTAAATTCTTGTGCTAAATACAAATATTACACGATATTTGAGATAGAATGAGTACTATATTTAAATAAAAAATTAAAAATAGTTACATATTAAAAAATAATCAACAGGTTATCTAACTTAACCTCTGTCTCTACATTCAAATTAAAACAAGGAAATAAATAAGTGATGATAAAAAAATTACCGCAATCGGAACTGACCTTCATGCGCCGGTCAAAGTTCCGGCAGCATAAATTTTGACTCGCATATGAGCTCTATACTCGTTGCCGTTCGCCGCCAAATTTTGGTGGTGTGCAGGTTTTTGGCCGGTGATTCTGATGGTGCTGAAAGTGTCGATCCGATATGCCCGGAAGTAAGAGAAATAGTGATGGATCCAATTGTCAAATTTTAAAGTTTATCCAAAAAAATTGAGTCTACATATAAAAAATATTTTATGAGAAAATTGCATTGATAATAGAGCCAAAAGCTATTCGGGTCGGGTCGGCCCAACAATTTATCTAAACATTCAGATTTGAATCTCATTGTCCTGAAGCCCAAAGCTACACAAAGTCCATTAGCCAATTGAGCCTGCGAAAATTGGAGTGTGGAATCCACATCGGTTTTGCTGTGCGCGCAACAGCGGGCGGTTGCCGAAAGCATAAAAGAAAAGGCCCTCGTTACTTTGTGAGAGAGCTTTGGCGCAGGGAGCGAGGGAAATCTGTATTTGCTTATTTTGGTGGAGAAAGAATTCACGCACGCTAAATTTGGGCGGCGGTTTCACATTTTCTCTGCGGTTAGAGGAATCTTCGGGTAAGCAAATATCCTCAGCCATTAGCTTTATGCTTTTTGTTGTTTTTTTCTTTTTCTTTTGTCTTTTCGATCGTTTTCGTTTCTGCTTTAATTGGGAACTTGAATACACTGTGGAGAAGCAACCCTAGTTTTGCGCAGCACTGTTGTTGATCTGAGACTGTAGGTAAGTGTCTTTTGAGTTCATGGATTTGTGTGTTCGTATTTCTACGAGGCGCAGTGCGTTTTTTTTTTCTTTTTTTTTTTGTTTCTTGGTTAGTAGCTGAATTAGGCATGTGGTTATCGAAATTAAGCATGGGCTATTGTTTCCCGGTTATTCCAGTTGAATCTTTCAAGCCTTGGAATTGGCAGGTTGTTGGTAGAATGTTACTTCTATAATTGACTAATTTGTTCAGCTTGCTGTTTGGCTACTTGTGTGTTGCAGGTCCCAACATTATTTAGTAGCATTGGAAATCTTGGCATCAGTTTGATTGTGACTTTCTGCTGCTTCATATGGTGCAGCTTACTAATCTGTGTTTAATTATTTTAGATGAGGAGGCATTGAATAGATTATAGAATTACAAGGGAAAGAAACTGGATTCATATATGAACAGGCAGTTAGAGGAAACATTTTAATTTGGTTAGTGGCTTTAGTTGGATAAGGAGAGGTAAAACTATCGCACTTGATATCTATGATGGGACATATAGAGAATGTAAATCAAGAACTAGAATCCAACATAACAGAACGTCCGAAGGCTCCTGAAAGTCTGGCTGAAAACCCAAAATGCGAACATCTGACTTCGGAAAATAACAAAAGGGACTGTGTGACCTTAGCTACTGATTCAGAACAAAAGGAGGCCAGTAGGGCTCAAGATGTAGAAAAAGAGTTATGTTCAACAGGAGAAAGACTAGAGAGAGTTGCAGAAGTTGAATCAAGGAATGGACAGATCACTGAGAATTTAGGTGTAGAAAAGCTAGAGCTGGAATTGAAGTGCTTCAAGGCACCGCCAGTCTCTGACAACCGGGAGGTGGCATTGCAAAAGGGACCAACTGATGCAAATGTGTTGATACCTTTTGGCGCCACATCGGTTAATTCTGGTAATGCATCTCTGCAGGCAGATAAAGTTGGTGATTCCAATCACTTGTACAGAGAAGACATAATCTCTTCTGGGAAATTGAGAACAACAAATACCAAGCTGAAGGTCCCTGTAACTAGTTCATGGACATTGCGATCAAAATCACGGGAGAAGACCAAGGCTTTAGAGCTTGATGACAATGGGAAAGAAGGCAACTCTACTGATGAAAAGAAGAGGAGGGGAAGAAAGCCGATGCAAACGAAGAAAAGTACCCATAATGAGTTCTCAAGAACTCGGAATCATTTGAGATATTTATTGAACCGGATTAAATATGAACAATACATGATTGATGCTTACTCAGCTGAAGGTTGGAAAGGACAAAGGTCAGTAATGTGTTCAATCTTTCTTTATACCTGCCACTAATTTTCAATTACAGTTTTCAATTTGCATGGCTTCTATAAGAGAGTAACTTATAATGAATATGGTTGTAGGCATTTGGATCTCTTTTTTCTTCTTTTAAGTGATGGCCAGATGTATATTTTGCATGATTAAAACCATGTGTGAAGCAAGGTTGTCAAGCCCCTTTTTGCGGAGCGGCGCCTGTGGACCGCCATACCGCCGTGGCGAAAAAATCGCGAACACGGTGCACTATATATACTTTATATAGGATGTGTTTGTTTGGGAGTTTGAATTTTGAGTTGAGATCTGAATAGTAAAATTTTTGAATTGGAACAGTTGTACGATGTGATATAAATAAGTGTTCATGTGATATTTTAAATATAAGATTGATTTTTAGTATAATATAAAAATTGAAAAAAATAGGTATTTAATTTGATATTTGGAAAGGAAGGGGGGGGGGGAATTTTGATGAATAGTAGAAAGCTTGATAAATCCTCCAAACAAACACACCTATTATGTGTTATAAGTATTAACTTTTAAGGTTGTTTTTCTTTTGATTTGGTTTAGAAAATTTTAGTTTGGGTTTGACATTAAAATAATGTTTGATGGAATATTTTGTAAGAAGAAAAAATGTACTCTTTTTTTTTGGAAAGCACATAGTCTCAATAGCAAAATTGTAGGGATTTGATGCAAAAGAAACACATCCTCAATAACTAGACAAACAAAAATAAATGATAAATTAAAAGTAAATAATTATACAGTAAATACTATATAATAATGCAATACATTGTCACTATGATAGTATAAATTAAAAATAGCATTACTAGAGTTAGTGGAGTTTGAGTCTAGAACGCTAAAGCACATTAAGATTAAAATATTGGAAGTTTAAATCTTTGAATACTGAATAAAACATTCAGTGGGATGAAACGGTGAATGAAATGGTGGGATGAAGCGGCAAAATGAAGTTGTAGATAGGGAGAGAGCAAGGGGGAGAGAAAGGATGGCAAGTTAGGGTTCTATCGGGCTTAAGAGTTTAGGGACTGAGGTAGGTGTGGTTTTGGGGGCCTTGGCTGACCTATGCTGGAGACTCACAATGTTTTGTATTAACCGAGATAGCGCCATGGCATCGTTGAGGTGGCGCCAAGGCATCTCCAAGCCCCCTTGTTTGATATGGCAAGGCGATGTGTCCCGGTGCTTCCCAAAAAGCGCCAGAACCGGCGATGTGTGATGAATGCTTGAGGTGAACCTACGCCGAGAATGCGAAGACTCCCCTATGGCCCAACATGGAGTTTTCTGGTCCATGAATTGACTGGGAGGCCAGGATGATTCCAGGAACTGCCGGTGTTGTTTCCACTTGAGGTGGACTGGTGCCAAGAATTCTAGGACCCCTCTGCTTCCATGACGGAATTTGTGAGTCTGTGGATTAACAAGGAGGCCAGGACGACTCCGAGAAGTGCCAAGTGTTTTTTTTGTTTTTTTCAAGAAGTGCCAGTGTTGTTGCCACATGTATTTGTGTTGCCTTGACCCTTGTCCATGGGCATAGACTTGCTCTAGTTGCCATTGATTCTGTCGGAGTGGGATCTGAAAGGATGGGAAAACGACTTGTCCGTAGAGGTGAAGGGAGCCGTCATGGGTTCAGTCTTGCTGATCTTTATATTTTGCATTAGGACGAGGACAAGAGTGTTGGAAGAGATTGGATAGCTGATGTTGGCAAGGGCAGCGCTGAGAGTAGACAAGGGTCGAGAGCTCACTTAATTGTAGAAGTTGGCCCTTAGAGAGAACATGCGAAGCCTTATTGTAGAGGAAGAGGCTTTCAATGCTTGTCCAAATAACATGGGTAGACACTCTAGGGGTGAGAATGAACATCTCTGAGATTGAGGCGTAGAGGAACGAGTGCACTGAGAAGTAAGTTGCCTGCCACACCGGGTTGGCAACCACAGGAGCAGAGGTGCTGTAGTTATGTTTGAAGGCCCCAAACTTGCCGAGGAGACATGAAGATTTGATGCAAATAGTTGAAGTTTGGAGGTTTCATCTGGAAGGAGAAGATGATGATTGTGCAAATGTTGATCTTGGATGGTGATGAAGTGGGATTATAGATGATGAGGGTATTGGCAACCACAATAGCAGCAGCCTCCCTCTTGGCAGGGTGGTGGCAGCGGCTATAGCTGCATTTCTGTTGATGGGAGCTAGAGGAGCAGAAAGAGTAACAATTAAAACAGGTGTTAGGCTAACACCACAAAAGAGGAAAACACTTGTGAGAATACCATGATCGATTCACCAGGTATAATAATATAGTATAAGGGGTTGGTAGTTAATTAGAACAAGAATTAAGGAGTGCTAATTTAGGAGAATAAAGAATATATTCCAAATGATTTCTTTGTTCCTAACCAGCACTAGCAGGTTCTATCTTTTTGTATCTATATTTCATAATTTTACAATTACTCTTTCACGACCCTCACCTGAAATTATCGTTATCACCCACCCAAAGTATCTAACGTTATGATTACAGCCAAATGAACAAATATGATAGGATGAGGGCCTTTTAACTTAAACTCTAGTCATTAATTGGTCTAGTGAACATTATGATAATCTCCAAAATTTCAAGGATCGCCAGGGAAGGGTTTATGCAATGGCATGTGAGAGAACCGCTGTTTAACTGTAGAAGTGTTAGTGGTGACAGATACCGATTGTAGGGACGGGTCTGTAGTGACTGACCTTACTGACTTCAATGAGCATGGCTGTGGTGTATGGCAATGGTGAATGTAATCTAGTGTTTAATATTGAGGGAAATTTGTACTTTATGGCTTTGGCTCTAATGTAATCCACTGCTTCATTTATGATTTATGACATTATGTATAGACCATAGGTACCCTATAATAGGAAGCAAATAATTATGTCATATAAATTGTACATATTTTTTAAAGCACACATTTTGTTTACCTATATAGCATATATAAGTAGTGCTTTTTGAAAACTGAAAAAAAATGGTTGTTAACATTACGAGCCAAGGAAATACATTTTAGAAGAAATTTTGTTATTTATTAAAAGAAATTATTTCATGGCTTTATATCCTATACTTTATATTATTCCATTTTAGTACTCCCTCCGCCCGGGATCATTATGCTAGTTTTCTTATTTAGTTGTCCCCTAAACTTATGCATCAATTTTAGTAAAAAAAGTACATCTATCCAGAATTTTGTTTCCCACATTTTAACAAATAATACTAAATTACTTATAAATTTACCACTACTTTTTTTACTTATCCTATTACTTTTTTAATAACTTCTCCTTAATAAATTTCCCATAACACTACTTCACTTTTTGCCTACTACATTTTTATATTAAACTATTATTTTTTAGTCTCCGTGCTCAAGTAAAGTGGCATAAGTATCCTACACAGAGGGAGTAGTGTGTTTTATTTATTTCTTTTATGGATGTGCCACATGACTATATTGTCTAACGTCTTGATTGTTTCAAAAAATTCAGCTTGGAAAAATTAAAGCCAGAGAAGGAACTCGAGCGGGCTAAGTCTCATATTGTACGTTACAAATTGAAGATAAGAGCATTGTTCCAGCACCTTGATCAGTTGCTTCTCGTGGGAAAGCTTCCAGCATCTCTATTTGATTCTCAAGGAGAGATAGACAGTGAAGATGTAGGGCATGATGTGTAGTTTGTGTTTATTTTTTTCCTTTGCTTATCTTTCTTGCATCAAACTGAAAATTTTATTTGCATTACTCATATCCAATCAGCCTTCCTTGTCTTCCGTATGCATGAGTTCTTCATAGAGACTGCTTTAATACTGGCAATTGCTTTGTTTGATCCTTGAGCATTTTTTATAGACAGTGCTTTGGAATTAGCTTATGGTCTTGGAATATACATTCCTTTAGTGATGAGTTGAAAATTGTTTTATCACTTTTATTGGCTAACATTCTTATTGTTATGCTTCAAGGTTAATTGAAGGTTGAAATAGCTAAATCACAGTTCATGCTATTGATTGTCATATTATAAAAGGAAAATGTTATCTTATTCGTAATAGAAATGTTCTGTTTAAAAGAATTTGATTGTTTTCTATATATCTGAACTATGGGCATATTTACCTGACACTCGGTTCATATTTCAGATATTTTGTGCCAAATGTGGCTCCAAAGACCTGACGCTTGATAATGATATAATTTTGTGTGATGGTGCGTGTGAGCGCGGATTTCATCAGTTTTGCTTGGAACCACCTCTCCTAAAAGAAGACAGTAAATTCAGGCTACTCTGGATATCTTTATTTTGCTATCATGTTAATCTGGTTGTTGATTTCTTATTTCCATAACTAAATTGTGTATACAGTTCCTCCTGGTGATGAAGGCTGGCTTTGCCCTGGATGTGAATGTAAAGCCGATTGCATTGACATCCTTAAGGATTTTCAGGGCACTAAAATTACCATCAATGACAGTTGGGAGGTCTAATCAGTCTATTATATGTTACCCATTAAATGTTTTGAGCAGCTATTGATTGTACTCTCCTCTCCTTTACAGAAGATCTTTCCTGAGGCTGCTGCAGTTGCATCTGGGAATAAATTAATTGATGGTTCTGGGTCTGGATCTGCATCAGATGATTCTGAGGATGATGATTATGATCCCGAAAAGCCCGATGTTGATGAGAAAATTAAAGAAGATGATAATGAGAAGGTTGAAGAAGATGAATCAACTTATGATGATAGATCTGACGAGTCAAGTTACTCTTCTTCATCTGATGATTTGGCACCCCCTCGTAATGATAACAAGTACTTGGAGGGTTCATCTGATGACTCAGAAGATGGTGATTTCGATCCGCTTTCTGTGGATCAAGATAAGCAAGTGAAGGAGGATGGTTTGAGCTCTGATTTCACCTCTGATTCAGAGGACTTTGGTGCTCTACTTCAAGATGACACTACACCTGATGCAGATTCTGGGAGAATTTTGACACCGTCAAATCAGGAATACCCGTCAACAGCCTCCAAAGAAGGTAATCATAAAGTGGGTAGGATGGAGAAGCAAACACTGAAAGATGAACTGTCTTACCTAATGGAATCTGGCAGTGGACCTGTATCTGGCAGAAGACAAGTGCAGCGGCTGGATTACAAAATGTTGAATGATGTGAGTTTCTCCTTGATGTACTCTTTGTTTTATTCAACATATAACATCAAGTGTTTACACCTTTTTGTTTTCAAGGTTGCTTGCATGTTTTATCTATATTATCCTTGATGTTCTATGAAAATCTTGACAGCACATTCCTCACATTTTCAGCTGAAATTTCCAGTTAATGTTTTTACAAAGTGGCTTAATCTTTATAGAGTTGTCACTTTCTTTTTCTTTTTCTTTCTTTCTTTTTTTTTTTTTTCTTTTATTTTTCTGAAATGAAACTTAGGAGTTGGTTAGCAGGGGTTAATTGTCAAACTAGCTAAGATCTATCCTGATTGCAGTACACAGATCCAAAATGGACTTCCAGATTGATAGGATCTGCACTTCCCTTAGATTAAAATTGACTTCTAGAAGCTGAGTGTTAGGTCCAGAATAATGAATGATTTGGTTGCATCAAGAAGTGTCTAGTTCAGTTACTAGATTGATTTTGTTTTCTTTGTGCGAAGTCTCAAATTCTTGAACGATTTTGCTGTGTGTTCTAATTACCGTAGAAGGGAAATGGTTTTTGTTGAGTTAAGACCTTGCCATGAAACTTGTTATTGCATGTATGTGACTCCTCCGAAATCTGCTTGGATCTTTAAATGTATGCACAGCTGTTGTCAACGTAGTGTGGAATGATGGTCCATTGCTTTGTACACTATTATTGTGCTTCTCAGGGTGGAAGTCATTTCGGTTCCATCTTCAGTATTCTATATAACGTTAAAGATTTGTATATCTGCTGAAAATGGGTTCATCTATTCTATATTAAACCATTGTTTTCTTGAATTTGGCAATGTAACGTAGGCTACTTGTTCTTATTATTAACTCTTCCGTGTATCTACAAGGAAACATATGGAAATTCTACTTCTGACTCAAGTGACGAGGATTTTGGTGAAACTACTGCTCCAAAGAGGAGGAGGACTAACTGCGGGAAAGCTGTGGCTCCCTCTCCTATCAAAACTCCAATCACCAATAGCATGGCAAACACAAGCGATGGAACCTCAAACGAAAACAAACACTTGTCCAAACGAACTCGAAGATCTATCAGTGATGGGGTAGAAAATGAGTCACCTAACGATGGTTCTTCTAGTGCAGTGCCTACAAAGTCTGCTTCTAGAAGGCTCGGTGAAGTTGCAACACAGGTACCGTATTTGTATTAGTGAGTGTTCTTCGACGGCAATTGAAACTTTAGTGTTGATTGAAAGATTATTTGTTTCTAACATTCTCTCTATGAGGACATGGCCATTCCAGACATCTTGAAAACTGACGTTAGGTATTTGTTCCTGTCTCGATTTGTACACATCCTTTTCTTTGGTTTCAATTGATCCGCTTCTTGTTGCAGAGACTCTATGCTTCCTTTAATGAGAATCAATACCCCACCAGAGCTACGAAAGAAAATTTAGCCAAAGAACTTGGGCTGCTAGTTCGACAGGCATATATGCAATCTCCTCGCCGAATTTAAGATTTCTCTTATTTTGTGATTGTTTGGCTATAGAATCTTTCTTACTGCTGCTGCTTGTGCAGGTTTCTAAATGGTTTGAGAATACGAGATGGAGCTTCAACCATCGCCCACGCATGGAGTCAAATTCAGCCGAGAAACCAAATAATCGTGCAGACAATACCTATCCTACTCCTAGTAAACAACCACAAGAGTCGAGCAGAAACTTAGCTCAAGAACATACAGCCACTGCTGCAGGAGAACATTCTGGAACAATAAAATCCCGGAAGGGGAAACACAAGTCGAAAGAGGGATCGTCAGATAATAATGGAAAACCCGAGGATCAGAATGCGTCAGTCGAAGCACAGTCTCCCCAAATTTGCAGGATCATGACACGGAAAAGAAGCGGCAACTCGAATAATTGAGATATTATTCTTCAAAGGCGATGTTTGGCATCTATATACACATGGGATCGTCAACCTTGTCAACAGGTTTGAGCCAATAAATTACTGTGCGATGTGTTCCTGTAGAATGAGCTCTTTTCTGTTTGTGCCGAGGTTTCTAAAATTCACATTACATTAAGATATTCTTAAACTTCAGTGAGTTGTATCTTCGTCGTTGGCCGAGCATAAGACTGAACCTTATAGTAATACAACATACGGATGTTATGCTCTATTTATGATGAAAAACTTAGTTATATACTTTACCTAAGTAGCGGAGTTTTTATACTCAAGACCATTATTTTTTATGGCGATTGTTACAGTGGTGTAATAATAGTCGAGAGACAGAGACTGTTTTATTATTGCACCATTTCGAGAGATGTATCCATATCAAATATAAAGTGAGTGCTGATTATTTCTAAATTTTCGCCTTAAAATTATGAATTGCATGAAGCAAATTTGACAGAAACTTGAATAAATGTTACTTCCTCCTTTTTATTTGTCCCATAACAGATAGATCTAAATAAATTTATTTGTTTTAAATATATTTAATAAATATAAGTCAATTTAATTAAATTTTATGTTTTATTTGTATAATCACTCAAAATTCTTTTATTTCTATAATCCAGATATCATTTCCATCCGAAGGCAAAGCACTCAAAACTCTTTCTTAATAAAAATAATGTTCCTAACAAAAGAGCTTATATCTCGGAGGAAATAGTATTTTAATGTAATACTGTAGTTTTAGAAATATTAGTATAATATTGAGATATAGCATGAATAAAGTAAAAATAACTAAAATAACTTTGTTATTAGTATGTGTGATATAAAGTAATGGCATTTGTAAAATTCTATCTCAATTCAAACTCAAGGCAAACTCGAATGAAAACCCAAAGCTAAGAACTCATCCTTGTTTTGGGATAGGCTTTAGTTAATATTTCGTCTTGGCCTAAGAGCATGTTTTCAACCAGACTTTTTTCGTTTTTTTTTTTTTTTTTTTTTTTTTTTTTTTTCCAACAAAAAAAATTACCCAATGAGTTAAATCTAAAAGTGCAAAAGTGATGGCGCTTTTGATGCGGCATGGTATAGGTGAAGCTTTGTCCAAGCCCTGTGATATTGTAAAACCCATTTTGCATTATAAATCAAATTGGGGCAGATTGTGTCAGATAGTGTCGGATGACACATCGAGACATATCAGCAATGGAGGCCAAATTTTTTTCAAACCAATGTATAGGAAAATGTTACGGCAAATATCGTGCTAATTTTTCAAAAAAATATATATTTTTATCAGGTATACTAGGTAATAAATACATATTGACGTTTGTCTATAGTTACAAGGTGTGTTGTGCAAGAGTATATTATATCATGTGCTGCAATTAATAGTAATATCGTGTGCTATTTGTTAGTATATTAGGTGCTGTTTAGCTCTGAATGTAACCCTAGTTGAGTGTATACAAATATATCCGGGTTGGAATTTTTTGGTCAATTTTGTTGTTGGAAGTGTACGCTGATTTCATTCCAAGGCTCAATTACAGTAACATGTAAACAAAGGTCATCGATAATTTATTAGAGAATTTTCTTTCTAAATAAAAAAAATCTACAGTAATTAATATTTAGCCATTCTCATGCTGTGAGATATGTGTGACAATTTGTAAAATCATTGCGTTGTTTATTGCTTTTTTCAATTTTATAATTGAATTGTGTCGTTTGACACGTAAGGACTAATATGGATGCATTTTTTATGCAACTATTGTACAATAAGTCTTCGCTGGATCGTTTAAAAAAAAAAAAATGTCTTCCCAGCTGGCCAAATCTGAGTAGTTGTGGAGAGGCCATAGCTTGAATCGAATGAGTCAACGGAGGAGCATAAAGCTGCAATGGTGGTGGTGCTGTTGACCGCTCTCATCGTCGTCTTCAATACCATCGCTGCTTCAAGTTCGTTCGACGTACCCATCCTGCCAGGCTATCCAGGGCCGCTGCCATTCAAGCTTCAAACCGGGTCGGGTCGCCGGCCATTATTAATCAATCAATGGATATATATATGTGCTTTGTTTGTGCAATTATGATGAATTGTTTTGGGAATGAATAATTTATACTCAGATATGTCGGCGTGGGAGACGAAGATGAGAGGCAACTGTTCTACTATTTCATTGAATCGGAAAGCGACCCGGTTAGGGATCCTTTGCTATTTTGGTTCATTGGCGGGCCGGGTTGCTCCGGATTTTCTGCCCTTGTTTATGAAATCGGTCTGTGCTCCTTTTCATTTCTGATTTAGGTTTATTTTTCATGGAAGTAGTTAATGCTAGATTTGATGTTGTTTTATAAATTTGAATTGTTGGCTAGAAATAGTGTCGATTGAGTAATAATCTGAGTTGGGTTTAGTGGGAATGATTTAGCCAACATAGTAATAAGTTTGTTCTTTATTACATTGTGATTATTTACTAGTTTAGAATAATATCTATATGTAACTGAGAGTATCAAATATTAGTTTGATGTTGAAACTATTGTGTGTTTGAAGGTCCCTTGAAATTTGATCACGAGGAGTTCGATGATGGCCTGCCTTCTTTTGTGCTAAATCCTTATTCATGGACTAAGGTGCAATGCAATCTAAATTTGATTCTTGATTCTTCAAACTTTGCTGATTTTGGCTTCACATGGTTGATCAGTTTGCCAACATTTTGTTCATCGATGCACTAGCCGGCTCTGGTTTCTCCTACGCCAAGAGCGAAAATGGATATGCGTCGTCGGACACCATAGCTGCTGAACATAACTACATGTTCTTGAGAAAAGTAACAAGAATTAACTGCTATTTCATTTAGTTTGATACTCAGTCTTGATAATCTTTGTAACTTGAAAAACAAACTGCAGTGGCTCTTAAGTCATCCATGGTTTATCAGAAATCGATTCTACTTGGGAGGTGACTCTTATGGAGGCAAAACTGTGGCCCTCCTAGCTTCAGAAATCATAAAAGGTGCCCTTTAACTAGTTAGATAATTGACTTCTCATGGAGATGGTGATTTAATCGATACTGTTGTTCATCCTACAGGTAATGAAGCTGGACTCGAGCCACAAATCAGATTCCAAGTAAATGTTCTTGCAATTTACTGTTTTGTGGTTGTTTTAATCTCGAAACCTTTTGAGGTTTGTTTCAAGGAATTATATGCAACAGGGATACATGATTGGCAATCCAGTGGTCGATGAGGATAAGGATCATAATGAGCAGACTCCATATGCTCACAGAATGGGGTTGATATCCGACGAGTATTTTGAGGTAGTTTCATCCTTCCTTTAGTTGATATTTCCATCGACAAAGCATAAAGAGCATAGCTATAGGATTTTGGTTTTTGAATTGAAATAGTTGTTTGATATGATATAAATATGTATAGATGCAATATTTTGAATGTAAAATTAAATTTTGGTGTAATATAATAAAAAATTGGGTGTTTTTGATTTGATGTGGAGCTGACAATGGGTTGATTCTTGTTGTATTTGTGGTGAGTTCAATACTTTAAACGGGTTACATTATTCAACTCTAACCCGATTCGTTTATTATCGTTTTGGTTCGTGTTGACCCATTTATTATCGATTAGTATTGACTCGTATACATAATTAAGTAGAAATTTTTTATTCAAATTAAATTATTTTGTGTCAGTGTTACGTTAATTTTTATCAGTTCTGTAATGTGTACAATGAATTAAGTTAATTATTTAAATTTGAACTATAGTTTAAATTAATATATGAGAAAATTATTAAATTATAATTATTTATGCATATAATAAATATATTAATCAATATTAATAAATTATAATCAGGTCGGATCAGATCAGAGTTGAAAGTCTCAACCTAACTCGACCCGTTTATTGTCGTGTCAGGTTCCAAATATTTGACCCAAACCCAATTATTTCGTATCAGGTTTGTGTCAAACTGTTGCGTCGGGTCCGTTTTTCCTATATTTTTTAAGGAAAAAAAATGTTTGACTAGTAAAGTCAGGTGGAAAGTTGTACAAGTAAACACAACCTTGGAGTGATTTTTCTTTCTTGCAAGTTTAATTATTACCGAATATTAGTTTGATGATCGGTGACTATTCAGATGGCGAAAACCAGCTGTGATGGAGAGTATGTGAATCCCGATCCAAACAACAAAGAATGCAAATATGCTCTTCAACTTGTGAAAGATGTAAAAAGACCAAATTTCTTTATTTCATCTACTCTTTTCTTCTTATGCTGACATGTTTATGAAACTTGCTATTTTATTACACCATGAAGTGCATTCAGAACATCTACACTGCCCACATACTGGAGCCGAGTTGCGGAGAACATCCAGGAATCCGGAGATTCGACAATGATCCAATAATCAACTCAGAAGAGCATCGTCCCATCAATGTCCTCAAACAAGAGCGACAATTTTGCCGTGTAATTACGATCTTTCTGAGTTAACATAGTTATGGATGTCGGCATTTAAATTGCAACACTGTAAGCTTCTTTCAGGAAGATCTCCATGAACTTTCTACTCTTTGGGCAAACGACCTAACTGTCCAAGAAGCACTCCATGTCCGAAAGGTACACAATAGATGCATTTTTGGTAATAACTTGTAATGTTATATTGATCATCCTAAATGACAATTCGACAAAATTCAGGGAACAATAGATGATTGGGTTCGATGCAATGATAGCATACGCTACGAAAAAAATATCCAAAGTACTTGCAAACTCCACGGGCTCCTTAGTAAGGACTTGCATATCTTGGTGTACAGGTAACACACCTACTTAAAATGCTTTTGCTATGTAAGATTAGGGTGAATTATATTATTTAGTCTGACCGAGTCTTCCGTTTATTTTAATGTATTAGAAATCTATAGGTCCGTTACAATTATATTAATTTATAAGATTATTAATACAATCTAATTCCTAGTATTACTTACTAAATTATCTAACGCTGTTATTTAAACACTGAGAAACATTTTATATAAATACAATAACAATTTTTTAGCTTAATATATTTTGATTTAATTTGAAATGTAAGTTATATATATCTTTTAAAATTTTAATCAATAATGTGTCAGCTTTCGCACGTTACAAAGGTGGAAGCTGACACGCCCGGCGCTCAGGCCCAAAGGTCCAAGCCAGTCGTCCTTTGTGCGTAACAAGCCTGAGTGTACCGAATTTAAGAATTCTATAAAATATGTTACTGCAACTTAATTTATAAATTAAGGACAAAATTAAATATATTTATAAATAATAATAAAAATATCAAATTATAAAAATATACATATTATGTTATGACAGTACCTCAATTAAATTTTAATATTGTTATATTATATTGGTATAATTAAAAAAATAGATATATATAATAAATAATATTACAATAATTTATAATAATATTATTAAGAATATTTTGGGTAAAAAGAAATAATCATACCATATAATCAAACAAAATAAATATAATATAATTTTATCTGATATTTAATCACATAAAATAAACCTCATATTAATTAGTCTATTGATTATATAATCCATTAAAATAATTTAAATATTATAATAATATCCTTCAAAGTAAACTCACCCAACATATATATATATATATATTCAGTGGGGATCATGACTTGGGCATTCCGCACATAGCTACTTTAAAATGGGTACGCCTTCTCAATATCAGTGTCGACGAGCAATGGAGGCCTTGGATGGTCAACGGACAAGTTGGAGGGTAAGTAAATATTGTTGTTATGGATTTACATTAGCTAATTAATGGCGTGTTTGTTCGGGGGTTTGGATTTTGGATTGAGATTTTGAATACTAAAAATTTTGAATTTGAATAGATGTGATATAAATAGGTGTTGATGTGATCTTTTGAATATAATACTCTCTCCGTCCCAGATACCATGTCCAAGTTGCCGTTTCAGTCCGTCTCACGTACCATGTCACTAATACATTCTTAATTATCTACTAATTACATTCCTCCTAAAATACAGTGTTTACAGTGTAGCAGACACATGGTATCTGGGACGGAGAGAGTATAAAAAATAAAAAATAGATGTTTGATTTGATGTTTTGGGGGCAAAATTGGATGAACAGTTGGATCTACATCCAATCCTCCAAACAAACACACCCTTAAGTTAATTATGTTGCCTAGGATGATTCATTGTGTCTGCAGATACACCGAGAAATACGGAAACAATGGAGCCTCTCTTATATTTGCAACCGTAAAAGTAAGAAAATACTACGACTATTTTTGCTCAGTGAAATTTTGCTCACTTTATTTTTTCATTTGTCTCCTAAAAATGTTATATTTTAACTTTCAATCAAAACTCTACACATTAAAATCCGTGCTACACAAAATTAGAAGACAGAGGGAGTAATAAATATGTTTGATCTTTAGATAATTATTAAATATATAAATCAATACGCAGGGCGGGGGACACACAGCTCCGGAATACATGCCTAAAGAATGCTTTGCCATGGCCGATAGATGGCTCTCTTCGTATCTTCTCTAAAATATACCCCTCTGTCCCTTAACAATTTATCTGTTTTTTTATTTTGGTCCGTCTCATAATAAAATATCTATTTCATTTTTCTTTTTTTAGTAATTGTACTATCTACGTAACATTACAAATACCCTTTCAATTTCTAATATATTACATAAATGTCATTACCTTTATACTAAGATAGGATTAATTTAGTCTTTTTACTTTTATATCTACTTTATTCCACTATAATATTAATATTTCTAAAACTTCGTCAAAAAAAAAATAAATGAATATATAGATATAAGACGAAATGAGTATTATTTATTGTGTTAATGTGTATATATTATACTTTTTTTAATAATATTTATAGAGAATTGTACCAAATAAAAATATTACATGAAGATGAAGAAATCCTTTGTTTCTTGATCTATTTGATCTTATACGTAATTAATGAAGTTGATTATTGACAACTTTTGTAAAGGTTATCATTGTTAAGTTTTGGATTTTAGAGAAAATTTATGTTTAGTATTGATCTTGAAATCATAAATTTGTAGACATTGTATAAAATGAATATATAAATTCTCTGCCGGATGTTGCTTCAGACAGAGAGGTTGGATAAGATCCTTTGCAACCATCGGAATTATTTTGTGATACTCTAAGGGTGTGTTTGTTTGGTGGTTTGGATTTTGAATTGGGATTTAATAGTAAAAATTTTGAATTTGAATAGTTGTATGATGTGATATAAATAGATGTTGACGTGATGTTTTGAATGTAAAATTTATTTTTAGTATAATATAAAAAATAAAAAAATATATGTTTGATTTGATGTTTTTGAAGGAAAAAAATTGAATGAACAGTGTAAATCCAATCAAATCCCCCAAACAAACACACTTCTACAGTAATTTCTCTTTACTTTATTATTCGAATGTAAAAGTATTCGCTCTAAAAAAATTTTAGAAAGATATATTGTTTACTTAACAAATTTTTACTAATTTATTACTATTTATTTTTTCTTTCACAAAATATTAAATTAAATACTAATTTTTTATTATACTTTTTCAAATTTTTAAAATTTCATAAGTTTCTAAAAACTCGTGTCTAAACTAGCCATTGTGCTTCATTCTTTTCATATCGACCAATTTAATATGGGATAGCAATGAAATTGTTATTCCTTAAAAATGAGATGAATCAATAATTTTAACCAAATGAATAAAATAATAGTCATTCAAATTTATTTTTATTCTTATTTTATTTTTTTTACTCTAAAAAATTCTATTAGCTGATAAAAATATATAATATAATATAATATTGATATTTTTATTTCTGTATATACAAAAGAAGAAGAAAAAAAAATTATTCTATTCCAGATATCTATGTCCATTTTACTGAATTTAGGAGGGTATAACTAAATAAATAATTAAAAAAAATTATAATATATAATTTTTTTATAAAGAAAAATAATAAAGTAAACAAAAATAAAAAAATATAATAAATGGGACTAGGGGACTAGTAAAATAAGTCCAGCCAGCCTGTTTACGGAACATATTTTCACTAGCACTATTTAAATTTAAAAAAATATACATCAAATAATCTTTTTGTTTTTATAAAACATCAAATAAAAACTAAAATAGTAAAATACGGTGAAACTCGAAAAAAAATCATATATGTTACATTAGTAGATAAAATATTAATTAAATAAATTATACAGCGTCCCAGTGTTGATGTTCCTGGTTTGGACTTGACCAACGAATGAACACGGATCCGAGTTGCGAACATCTACAGCCACAGGGTAGGGTGGTAAGGTAGGATTTCTGAGGCCTTAAGTTCACTGTAGAGTTCACAGACCAATGGTATGTTTGAGTATGTTCATGTGCTTGATTTAATCCCATAATCGTGGTGAAGAAAAGAGAAGAGGTGTTCGTTGTCCAGAGCTTCAGAATCATTTCACGATTCAGCGACAGGGATGCGATTTCGGGCTGCGTCTCTCGCTCACAAGGCCTCAGCCCTTGCCGTTTTCTGCAAAACCGATTCTCTATTTCTCCAACCCACAGCTCTGAATAAAAATCAGTCGCGGGGGTATGCTTCGTTGAGGGTTACAATCGATTCCAAGTTGCAACACGCGAGTGGATTTTCTGGGGCAAGAAGAAAGGGCAATTTTACCACTGTCTCCGCTGAAGCTATCCTCGAAAACCCAACGAATTTGGGCAGTCGAATGTCGAAGAGAAAGAAAGCGCGTACTATGACCCCGGAATTGGATTTTCGTGTGAAGCTTGAGCAGTGTTCGAAGAATGGGGATTTCGTTGAGGCTCTTCGCCTTTATGATGAGGCTAAGGCTAATAATGTGCAGTTTCATGTGTATCATTACAATGTGTTGCTTCATTTATGTTCTCCTAAAAATGATGAGGATGAAGGGGGGATTGCAAGGTTGGATAAAGGGCTTGAGATTTTTGAGCAAATGAGTATGGACAAGGTGGAGCCGAACGAGGCAACTTTCACGAATGTTGCGAGATTGGCAGCAGCCAAGAAGGACCCGGAATTGGCTTTTAATTTAGTTAAGCGAATGAAGGATCATGGAATTGTACCTAAGCTGAGATCATATGGACCAGCATTGTTTGGATTTTGTGAGAAGGGGATGTATAATGAGGCATGTGAAGTGGATGCGCACATGTGCGAAAATGGGGTATGTGCTGAGGAGAGTGAGCTTTCTGCACTGCTGAGAGTTAGTTCTGAATTTGAAAGAGATGGAAAAGTGTATGAGATGATACATAGGTTGAGGGCAACGGTGCGGCAGGTTTCAAAGGAGACTGCAACTGTTGTAGAGGACTGGTTTAGGTCAAAGAAGGCAACTGAAGTTGGGTCTGAGAGATGGGATTTGGAGAAGGTGAAGAAGGGTGTTTTGGAGGGAGGGGGTGGATGGCATGGCCAGGGATGGTTGGGTAAAGGAGAGTGGAATGTAGTGAGGACGGGGATGGATGAGACTGGCGTGTGCCAGTCATGTGGGGAGAAGCTTGTTTGCATAGATATTGATCCGAAGGAGACGGAGAACTTTGCAGATTCACTCGCGAAATTGGCCTTGGATAAAGAAGTTAAAACCAATTTTGCTAAATTCCAGGTATCCAATTGGTTTTTTATTTTTGTTGTGAAGCATCAATTTTAGGTCAATCCAATTGATTTCTTTAAAATTTTGGAAAAGTAGTAAGTAGTTGTGATATATGGCGTTTGTAGACTAAATTGATGGATAGTAACTATTGCTTGAAAAAAGTTTGGTCTTGTGGTATTGGTATATTTTAAAACATTTCTTGCATTGAAGCTGATATTCTAGCAGCAATAGTGTGAATTTTAAAGAAAAGTTTTCTTCTTTATTGATCTATCTGTACAAGATTGAAACCCATATTCATAGGGTTTATTTCCTCTTCTATGCAATGAATATAAACTACGCAAATTAAGGAAACATTACAAAATACTAAATTGACATGATATTAGTCTTGATTCCATCTTGGACTTGAATAGGCCTGATTTTAGCCTTGATTCCACTTTGGATTTGATTGAGGACAATCTTTTCATATCCGATAGATCTCCAATACTGCCCCTCAATCTGGCTTGACAATGTTCTGCATTCAGCATTCCTATTCGATATCAAACTTTCTGAAAATGACAAGTTGAAAGTCCCTTTATGAACACACCAGCTACTTGGTCTTATGAACAGATGCCAGCCTGGATACTATAGTTACTCTGGTTCTGCTGAATCTCATGTTTTTGTGGCTTCCATTCGTTGGCTTTTATATGATTTTGAAGAGTTTCTTCATCACAATAATAAGATTAGCGAAACTTGACGCTGATATATGCAACTACATTAGCTACTGGTACTAGTATTATAATGTGGCTAAGCTGCATATTGTTTTAGAAAAGGAACAATGATTTGAAAACAATTAGTTAATGTTAAGACTTCTTAATCAAACAATGCGTTACCTTAAAAGCTGAAACATGTATTTAATGTAGTTCTTTCACACAATTTTAAGTCTGATTGTGAAGGCTCTTGTTCAGGACTGGCTTAAGAAACATGGTCCATTTGATGCCGTGGTTGATGGAGCTAATCTGGGTCTTGTTCATAAACGTGAAATCAATTTCCCTCAGGTAAAGATCTAATTTTACTCTTTCTCCCCAATGCCCGCCACCCTCCTTGCCTCCCCCGCCTTGGGCAATTCAGATATATGTTACTGAGCTTGTTCCCTTGTGTGGTTTTGGTTTTCTAAAAGTAGGCACATTGAACAATTATACTTGTTTTTCTTGTTTGAAGATCAATAAAATTGTGAACCAAATGCGTGAACTCAGTCAATCAAAGAGAATGCCTCTTGTTATTCTTCACACGATTAGAGTAAGAGGTCGTGCTGCTCAACATCCTAAAATCCAGAAATTGTTGAATAACTGGAGAAAAGCTTGTGCACTTTATGCAACACCTCATGGATCAAATGATGATTGGTGCGTTTGATTAATACCCAATTCTCAGCTGTCCCTTTTCCTTTCCTAATACATTCTGTCTATCCAATTTTTTAGCATAATAGAAAATAACAATACAATTACAGCTTCATCAATGTTTTCTATGCTTGTAGATTATTAGCAGCATTTCTTTTCATGGAATGTTGTTATATTCCGAAATCTTTTCATCGACAACTGTCTGTTCTATTGGTACCACTGTCAAAACTTTGTTTTGGGTATTGGTGCAATATTGCCTGTTGATAACTCTCTAAGTTTAGGTCTATTTTATTATTAGGATTCAGTTTTGAGAAATAACATAGCATGTGTGTCTAGGGAAATGACTCTTGTGTTGTTTAACTTCATTTCTCGATAAGTCCATATAACAATGTATTATGGCAATTTCTTATGTATAGATATATCACCTAATTCCTTCTGTTTCTTGGTAATCTTGCATTGAGTATCCCTTAACGTGTAGTTGATGCCACTGCCTTTCAAAGTGAATATTCTCTCTTTTTAAACAGTGCCACTATTTGTTACTGACATGTGGTGTATCATGGACCAAATGCTCTCCGGATCATAAAAGCAAATTGTATGATGTGTCGTGCACTTCATATTAGAAAATAATCAACGTACATGGTTTAGATATTTAGAGAATGCTATCATCATTTTGCAGTATCGAATGCAAAATATTTATTGAGGTTTACTTTCTAGCATGTTAGAAAAGGATCGAACACTCGGTTCTCCCACACACTAAAAATAAATAAAAAATAGAATAAAGATAATAATAAATAAATAATCTGTTTGTCCCTGACCTTGTTCTCATGTTTTCCCCAGGTATTGGTTATATGCTGCTGTTAGTTCAAAATGCTTACTGGTGACAAATGATGAGATGAGGGATCATTTGTTCAGTCTTTTAGGAAATAGCTTCTTTCCTAGATGGAAAGAGAGGCATCAGGTACGCAGCTTCTCTTGCATCGTACCTAGGAATTTTGTTACTATCTCTTGTACTCCCTCCATCCATGAAAATTATGTAGACATGCGTGGGCACAGAGATTAAGAAATAATAGTATTTTATTGTAAATGTGGGTAAGTATAAAAGTAAGTGAGTATTTTGAGAAGTTCATTAAAGGAGTGATATAAGTCGGTATTTTATAGTGGCAAAATTGTTATTTGTATTTTAAAGGAAGGGTAAATAGTATTATGAGTAGATAAAGTTTTTTATTATAAATAGAAGTTTAGTGGACAACCAAAAAATAAATACTTACATAAGTTTGGTGGACGGAGCGAGTATTAAATATATTCTATTGCTTCAGCCTGCAGCACATATTCTCTGCTGATTGGATTAGTGAAACTGAACTTGGCACGACACAATCAACACATTTAGCTCACCTGTCTCTCTTTTATCGTATAAAATCAGGTTCGTGTGAAGGCATCCATCGATGGACTCGAGCTTCTCATGCCTCCACCTTATTCAAATGTCATCCAGGTATGATTCTGTTCCCATTCTCCTCAAAAAACCACAGAAGCTTTTCACTAGTGCAATTTCGTGAACAAGACTTTCACTTATACATACAAGTACAATTGCAGGAGTCCGAAACAGGTAGTTGGCACGTACCAATTGTTACCGAAGATGATGATGAATCCCCCCAACAGTGGATCTGCGCTTCAAGAAACAGGTAGCCGGAACTCTGCAAAAGGTAACTCTTGACGAATGCGTGCACTCACACAATAGCGAACTGATATTTTTTTTTTTGGCAACACTCTCAGTTTCGGGCGATGAATATCATGCAGACAGTCGACATAGGAGAAAACCCTCCAGAGAGTAGGTGCAAGAGTCTAGCTTTAAAGCCGCGAGCCGCAAAGTAAGTGTACCCTACCCCTACCCCTACCCTGTGTTTTGTTCGAGTAATGTGGGCAATGTTTTCTCCTCCATGGACTTTCTTTTACCCATTACAGTCGAATGTTGCATTTTTTTCCCCTCTAACTTTATTGTACTCTTAGCTTGATTGGATAATACTTTTACTTTAGGTTTCTGTACAACATTGTTGCTTTGTTAATGAAATACACTGAGGAAGAAACTTCCATAGTGAAGCCATCATACATAGGCTAGGTTATGTTTTTAAGTTTGGTTTCAATATTTTTTACTCCCCCGGCCAAGCTTGTGACGATGTTATTATAATAAATAATTAAAAATGTATTAATAAAAATAATTATGAATTAAGATTAAGATAATTAATTAGTTTAAATTAAAATTTTAAAAAAATTATAAATGAAAAAAATTTCTTGTCTAAACTTACACCATTGACATCTTTAAAAGAAAGAATCAAACTTTGTTGAACTTAATAGTATGTAAACTATAGCTGGTAAAATAAATCACATTATAGGAACATATGTAGCAGAAAACCTAATATCGGTATGTGATTTTATTCATAGTGTTGATGGAAGACAAATAAAATTACAAATTGGATTAAGATCAAATTTGAAGAAACAAGGTTTATTTTATTTTATTTTATTTTATTTTTCCTTTTACATACATATTTTTTTGAAGTTTTTATGTTGTTAATCAACGAACTTTTTTTTTTTTTTTTTTAAAAAATATCCGTTATTGTTAACAAAACTTTTATCTAAAATTAAAATACTCCCTTGCCCCTAAATTACTCCATATTCATTTTTATTGTCCTCTAAATTTATCTCTATTTTATTTATAATATAAAATTTTATTACTTATATTTTAGTAAATAATAATCAATTTATTATTTTCTATTATTATTATATTTATTAATTCTTACCCCTTAACTTATTTTTTACTTATCATATTTTAATATTAAAATGTTTAGTGTAGATACAAAAATTCAAATAAAATATAATTAGTAGATAATTAAAACTGATATTAATAAAAATAATTATAAATTAAAATAAAAATAAAAAATAATTAAAATTAAAAAATTATAAATTATGAAATTTAATGTAATTAATATATTTTTAAATAAAAAGATAAATTGTGTGGAAAAAAAAAGTGAAATAATATTATGTTTTAATATGTTCAAACAAATTAAGTTCACATGATGGAGTTACTATAGATCCGGGAAATTTAATAAATAGTTAAGAAGCGTTAGTAAAAATAATTATTATATAATAAAATTAATTATAAATTAAAATAAAAATATATAATTATATTTTAAAAAAGAATAAAAATAAAATAGAGAAATAGACATCTTTGAAGAGGGAGTAATAAATTATAGATGTTTTCCAATCCCTCATTCCCTTCAAATGGAAAGGTCCGATCCACATGGAGGATGAAGAGAAATTTCGCGCGTATGACCGTTAATTTACATCCTCGAACATTTTGCATACGCATGTCCAAAATTAGGGGATGGCCGGGGCGGGGACCCAAATTCAGTTCATCAGATCTTCCAATCACAAGGTCCACAAGAGCGATCTCCACGTTTCAGGTGAACTTTCGTTTTTAGCCTCAGCTTATTCACCACGTCGGTTGCGCTCGCAAACCAATTTGGATTATTGATCGTCCATTTGGCTGAATTAGGGTTAGGGTTTTCCGCCTCTGCGTCACCTGGATTTGTAAGTCTGCGTTTTGTATAAAATCCACTTATTTCCGAAGAACTTTATCAATTCATCCTGTTATGCATTACTCTACAATATTTCGATAAGCGAGATCACTGAAATTACATTTATTTTATTTTATTTGAATTCAGGTCGATTGTTGATAGTAATGGTAAGCTGTTTTCAATTGCTTGGATTATAGAATAATCGGGGTGATACTCCTGTGTGATTGCTCTAGTAATTTTTCAATTTTTCATTTTGCAGTTGGTATCTTCTGGGGAATATTGACAACTGATGGGTGCACCCAAACAAAAATGGACTCCGGCGGAAGAGGCAGCTCTTAAAGCTGGAGTCCTTAAGCACGGGCCTGGGAAATGGCGTACGATTCTTAAAGACCCGCAATTTAGCGAAGTTTTGTATCTGCGATCCAATGTAGATCTGAAGGTAGAGTTTCACTCAACTGTATTTTTCCATTCTAATGAGATATGAATTGGTTTTATGAAATTTGGAATCAAGATTTTAAACACCATCAGATTTCGTAATAGTGTTGCTCTGGATTTGATATCCATTAGGATAAGTGGAGGAACATGAGTCTTGTGGCCAATGGATGGGGTTCAAGGGAAAGGACCAAGATTGCACTAAAAAGGATGCATCCTAGCCCTAAGCTTGGTGGGAGTTCTATGGCATTGCCTTCCTTGAGTCAAAGCGATGATGATCTGCTCGATGCTAGGGCTCTGGCTCTTTCAGGTTGCTCTTCACCTAACGATGGCCCAAAGAGATCTATCATGAGGTTTAAATTTTTGTTACAATTCAACAGTGTTTTAAATTATTCAGTTTCAACTAAATGTTGCTTATGATGATTTTGATATTTCTGTTATGTTAAGATGAAAAGAAGGTCCCTTTGTCCAGATTTGTTAGATAGATTCCTTTTATTGGATGGCGAAAATAACTTTTATTTTGGCTGGACCTCTTACTGTTTTGTTAGTCACAAATGCTCAGGTAATATACTGGAAAAAGCATCCTAAGAGCCTATGATGATTCTGAGTTATGAGTATTTTTTTTTTATACTACCATTGTTGTTTCTTGATACACTTTGTGCATTCAGGAATAGGCATGCATGTTACAATAATGTTAAATTGCATTCTATATTCTTGAGATGTCTGGGATTGCTGACTCTAGGTCTCAAATTGTTAAAATTAATACAGATTGGACAATCTCATAATGGAGGCTATAAATCACTTGAGGGAGCCTGGTGGTTCTAACAAGGCATCAATAGCGTCATATATTGAGGTGCTCTGACACTAAATCTATGGATTTGTTTCCAACATATTGAATTGGGTCACTCTTAACGTTTCTTAGCTTTATATCTGATTTGGTAAAGAAAATATATGTGCCATATGTCTCTCTCGATAAGTTTGAATCAGGTATCCTCAAATGTTTTTATTGCTTGGATGGTTGGTAGTAGGGTGGCTTCCAATATCAAGTGAGCTCCTCTCGGTGGTTTTAGATAACTGGATGATTGTTTTTTGTTTTTGGGTGATCCTAAATATCTCTGTGTAAGTTTAGGTTGGGGGTTTTGTTTAACATGTTTTGGAGTAGATCAAATATCCAAGGAAAAGATCATGAGCATGTTGATTTTTTGTTTTTTATAATATTTTTTGTTATATGTACTTAGTTCCTGGAGCATAAGGCATGGTTGTTCGACTATTGCTATTGTTTAGTATTCCATACATTACCTGCAATCTTGCGATGCAATCAACTTCATAAATATGGCTGTGTTGTTCTAATCGAACCACTCTTTCTAACTGCAGGATCATTACTGGGCTCCTTCAAAATTTAAGAGGATATTGTCGACAAAGTTGAAACAATTGGTTTTGACTGGGAAACTCATTAAGGTTTCTGACTCCAGTGGGCCATAGTCCTTGTCCCATTTCCACTATGATCATAACTATCCTGTTTTTGTTATGTGTTTACATATATGATTGCTTATACGAGATGGCCCGTAATTGATTTATATTGGATGCTATTTGTGTTTTCTTTGTAGATGAAACTCAAGTATAAAATTTCTGGATCTTCACTGGTATCTGAAAGGTGTCCTTTGCTTCATCCAGGAAGAAGGCAGTGGATATCTCCAAGAATCGACTGTGATGATCCTAATCCTGTGGTAAAGTCTCGGTTTGATCTAGAGTTAGCTAGGATGAGGAGTATGACTACACAAGAAGCTGCTGTTGCTGCAGCTCATGCTGTCGCAGAAGCAGAAGCCGCAATGGCTGAAGCTGAAGAAGCCGCTCGGGAGGCTGAGGCAGCAGAAGCTGATGCCGAAGCAGCACAGGCTTTTGCTGAGGCAGCAGTTAAGACCTTAAAAGGAAGAAACTCTCTAAGGATGGTACGATACTTATTGCTTTTATATTGCTATTGTCAAGAATATTGCATCTCACTGGGGTCAGTTAATAGAAGCCTTTATTTCATTAACAATCATTTTCATTTCTAACTATAGTACAGTTCGAATAAAGAAATTAAAAGATGGTGTTACCATTTGGGGATCCAATATTTAAGTCATTAGTATTATTACAAAGGGAATGGGTATAACATTAGTTGACTGATGAAGTATCTAATTTTTGGTTTATTAATATTTACTTGTGTGTATATATAAATACTGAGTTATACCTAATAATCATATGGGTTTATTTTTCTTTGAACCATATAATTCACTTAACCTCTGCTTTCTTGGTTTGTACTTAACAGAATGTACAGATGATCCAAGCTTGATGGAGGCTATATATATATATATATATATATATATATAGTAAGGATGAATTAGCATTAGCTTATAATATCTCTCCAAATGGCCTGAGTAGTTCTTGATGTTTTGCATTCTTTCACTAGATGCATGTCACTCATAGGAGTTTTGCTAATTGGTAAATGGTCTCGAGGAATTAGTTAGTTCCCGGCGTGGAGTTATTTTTTTATTTTTTATTTTTCACGAGGAATTGTGATGTCTTTTTATGGGGTGTGTAAACCAATCCATAGAATTTCGATATGATATTGTACTTGTCCATGGAATTGAAAGTTTGAAATGGAAAAGCTATACAACATTTAAGTCGCATTGCTCGTATAAGAGAAGAAAAATAAAAAAGAAAATTGATGTTATCCAAAGTAAAAAAAATTGAAACATTAAATATATTGTTGACAAAAAAAATTTAGATGAGGACTAAAAACATTGAGGCCAAATTTAATTAGTTTTTGAGATTATCTATATTCTCGTATCTATTGTTTTTATTATTTTGTTTTATATGTGTTTTTGTTGATTTACTATTATATATCAATATCATTATATATATATATATTTTTTTTTTCATCGATCTTGTTATTTATATTGTTTTTAAATTTATTAAAATTTCAATTATAATTATATATTTTTTTGTTATCTGTGTAATTTATTGAATATAATATAATAAAAAATTAACAAACCCTTTAAAATTTATAAATAATTGATTATATTTAATTAAAATTTTATTGAATAAAAATATATTAATATTAATATTATTTTGTAGATAATAATTCAAAAATATTATTTTTTTCTATCCACCAAATTTATCCTTGTTTTTCTTTCTTATATTTTCACACAAAAAAAATAGGCATTTTTCATTTACACAAAATAATTTTTATATTTTTTAATTTATATCCTTCATTATTACACTTATTTATAAAACTTTTTCTCTCACTTTATTAACTCACTCATGCATTTTTTAAAATACTCATATTTTATGTCATAATAACCGATATAATACTATATTTATTAAAATCCATGTCCAAACAAATAAATATATATGGCTCTTAAGGTGGACAACTACTCAAACTCGTAACTAAGAAAAACTCATATTTTAAAATATTAGCCTATTATTATTATTATTAAATTTTGAAACTCTAATTATGTATTTTTTTTTTTTATCTCTTCTTCTTAACCACGTCACATCCAAATCTCTTGAAATTCAATTGTCACCTACAACTCTCCCCTTCCCGACTCCCCCTCTCTCTTTCTCCCTCCTCCAATCGTTCTCTCTCTTCGAACCTCCCGATACTACCGCAAAGCACTCCCATTTTCTTCTCCTAAATTGACGCTGTCAAATTGCCGCATTCAACTTCTTGTCTAGTTGACGTCAACATCGATTATATTATTTTAAAATAACATTTAGTTGTATGTTTATAAAATATATAATTTATTTTTATTCAAAGCCCCGAAAAATTTCCGGCAAATAAGCATATGTCTTATGAACGGAAGGAATAATATATACATGACAAGAGAGAGAAATACACACCAGCTCTCTCAAGTTTCTTCATAGAACAGAGCATCTCCACCGTGGCCATGCCAAATCATTTTTATTTATTTATTATTATTATTATTATTATCAAACATGACGTGGGGTATTATGTAAAGAAGAAGATGCACACCAGAAAAATCTAGAGCTTCCTAGAGAGGATACGAAGAGAGCCATCTATCGGCCATTGCAAAGCATTCTTTCGGCATGTATTCCGGAGCTGTGTGTCCCCCGCCCTGCGTATATGCATCTTAATTTACAAATTATCCCAATATCAAACATATATATATTTATTACAAAAATAAAAAATAAAAAAAATAGTTATAACATTTTCTCACTTTTATTGTTGCAAATGTAAGAAAGACCTTTTTGTTCATGTATTTCTCGGTGTATCTGCAGTATATTACATAATTAATAATTAGCTAATCTAAAATTATTAATTAATCTTGGCATTTTCAAAAGTGGTTGACTCACCCTCCAACTTGCCCGTCGACCATCCAAGGCCTCCATTGCTCGTCGACACTGATATTGAGACGGTGTATCCATTTTAAAGTGGACATGTACGGAATACTCAAGTCGTGATCCCCGCTGAAGTAAATACAAATATTAGATATGTCATGTGAACACAATATATATATATATATATATATATAATATATGTATACGTGTGATTTAATTTGTACTACCAATTATAATATGAGACTGATTATGGTGTTCACAAGGGTTAACTGTACATTGTAATGATATATACAGCATATGTCGTATGATTGTTGTTGAAACATTTATTGTATATGATATGTGTTGAAATTAATAGTCACATTCTATAAATTATTGTTATGTATTGTCAGATCATATGTCTATCAGAGTGTTGAATAATATAATTCAAACACTCCAACAACAACCTTATAGTATATATAGGATATTTTGTCTATTTTCTAAGGGTGCGTTTGTTTGGGGGTTTCGATTTTGAGTTGGGATTTAAATAGTAAAAATTTTGAATTTGAATAGTTGTATGATGTGATATTAATAGGTGTTAATGTGATGTTTTGAATGTAAAATTGATTTTTAGTATAATATAAAAAATAAAAAATAGGTGTTTAATTTGATATTTTTTAGAGAAAAAAATAGGATTAATAGTAGGATTTTATCAAAATCCTACAAACGAACGCACCCTAAATTTATTCCCATTTTTGTATTTGGATTGTTATAAAAAAAAAATAAAAAAATTGTTTCTCTATTTAGTATAAAATACTAACTTTTTTGAATTTTTCTGCTGTCATAGAAGGAGGTATAAATAAAAAAAAAATAAAAATACACACATTAAGATAGTATCTAAAAGTATGAACACATACTTGGATAATTGATAGGGTATTATTTTAATGAATTATTCCTTCCATCAATCTATCTATTTTGTCATTTTATATGGTCTCAAATTAATAGATCTATTTTCTTATTTAGTAAATATAGAACCAACCGACAATATATAAAAATTATGGGCATGAATCAACTGCTAATCCGGAAGTCAGCATAATGTTAATTTATACATATCTCAGTATATTTATAATAATTCAACATACTCAACATATACTATACTGTGGGTATATATATACGCAGGTTGTGTGTATAACATATGTTGATCCATCAAATCAGCACCACTGGAACTAAGCCGAATCAGCACAAAATCCGCAACAAAAAAATATCGTATCTTTTCATTCAAAATTACCACAATGCCCTTATTTTAATTATTTCAATACATAAATGCGGGCCGTCCTACAACTTATACATAGAATGCTAATATAATCTTCAAATCTACCTGTAAAAGTTAAACCGATATAGTTAATATGAGAAGAAGATAAAACAAGAATCTTATGTAGGAGTATATGTTAAGATTAACATTAATCTAGTTGTTGGCGTAGGACATAATAATCTAACATAAATATTTATTGCCTTATAATTATTTAATTCAACCTACCTAGGAGTGATTAATAATATGATTTGAACTATGGACACTTACCTGTACACCAAGACATGCAATCCTTTCTTGCTAAGAAGCCTGTGATGTTCAAAAGCACTTGCAACATTGTGCTCGTAGGGTATGCTATGATTGAATTCAATCCAATCGCCTACTGTTCCCTGAATTTTGTTGCATTGTCATTAAGAATGATCAATATATATAACATTGTAAGCATACCAAAATGCATCAATTGTGTACCTCTCGGACATGGAGTGCTTCTCGGACAGTTGAGTTGTTTGCCCAAAGGGCAGAAAGCACATAACCATTGGCCTGCAAGAAACATCCAGTGAAACAAGCTAAATGGAGGCATCCATAACTATATATGTTAACTTAGAAAGATAGTAATTACACGGCAAAAGTGTCGCTCTTGTTTGGGAAGCAAGAGGAAATTGATGGGACGTTGTTCTTTTGAGCCGAATGTAGAATTATCAAGTCTCTGTATCACTGGATATTCGCGGCACTTGGGCTCCAGTATGTGTTGGGGGTTGATATGCTGAATGCACTTCAACATTTAAGAAAACAGCAGGTCCTGTAAATATGGCAGCTTAAGAAGAAAAGGAGTAGATAAAATATCGAATTTGGTCGCTTACTTCTTTCACAAGTTGAAGAGCATATTTGCATTCTACGTTGTTTGGATCAGGATTCACATACTCCCCACCACAGCTGCTTTTCGCCATCTGAATAGTCGCCCATCATCAAACTGATGTTCCGAAATAATTAAAATCACAAGTATTACCTAAAAAGAAAAAAATAAAATAGAATCACTTCGATTTGTACTTCTGACAGTATGTTTATGGCTGAGTTCCTCATGTTTTGTCGATGGATTATCAACTAAAGGAAGGATGAAATTACCTCAAAGTATTCGTCGGATATCAACCCCATTCTGTGAGCAAATGGAGTCTGCTCATTATGATCCTTATCCTCATCGACCACTGGATTGCCAATCATGTATCCCTGTTGCATATAATTCCTTGAAACAAACCTTAAAAAGTTTCAAGATTAAGACAACCACAAAACAGTAAATTGCAAGAACATTTACTTGGAATCTGATTTGTGGCTCGAGTCCAGCTTCATTACCTGTAGGATGAACAACAATATCGATTAAATCACCATCTCCATGAGAAGTCAATTATCTAACTAGTTAAAGGGCACCTTTTATGATTTCTGAAGCTAGGAGGGCCACAGTTTTGCCGCCATAAGAGTCGCCCGCCAAGTAGAATCGATTTCTGATAAACGACGGATGACTTAAGAGCCACTGCAGTTTGTGTTGCAAGTTATAAAGATCAATCGCGTAAACTCCATCAAAAAGCATTCAATTCTTGTTACTTTTCTCAAGAACATGTAGTTATGTTCCGCAGCTATGGTGTCCGATACCGCATATCCATTTTCGCTCGTGGCGTAGGAGAAACCAGCGCCGGCTGGTGCATCGATGAACAAAACGCTGGCAAACTGATCAACCGTGTGAAGCCAAAATTAGCATAAAGAATAAACAATCATAGTGCAGAAAACATTCAGCAAATTTAGGTCGTACGATCGCACCTTAGTCCATGAATAAGGATTAGCGACTAAAGAAGGTAGGTCTTCATCGAAGGCCTCGTAATCAAATTTCAGGGGACCTTCAAACACAAGTAGTTTCAACAATCATATTAAAAAGTAATTAAAATCTGTATGAAGAACATCAAATATGAAAAATAAACCTAAATCAGAAATGAACTGATTTCAGCAGCTAGAAATTAATAGATAGGTAAAGGTGAAAATGAGAAGGAACACAGAGGTGGAAAGAACAGACCGATTTCACAAACAAGGGCATAAAATCCAGAGACCCCCGGTCCGCCAGGAAACCAAAATAGCAAAGGATCCCTAACCGGGTCTCCTTCCGATTCAATTAAGTAGTAGAACAGTTGCCTTTCGTCTTCGTCTCCCACGCCAACATATCTGAATATACATTATTCATTCCCAAAACAATTCATAACTGCAAGAAACAAAGCATATATATATATATATATATATATATATACACATTGATTGATTAATAATGGCGGGGGACCCGACCCGGTTTGGAGCTTGAATGGCAGCGGTCCTGGATAGCCTGGCAGGACGGGTACGTCGAACTCCCAAGAGGAACTGTAAGCAGAGATGATATTGAGAACGACGACGAGAGTTGTCAACAGGACCACCATTGCAGCTTTAAGCTCCTCCGTTCTTAGCTTTGGGTTTAGAGTCTTCATTTGAGTTTGCCTTATAATATGTGGGTTTTTTGGCTCGGTTTAAATAGAAGGGGAGAGTTTTAAATTTGAATCATTTAAAATAATTTTTTATTATAAATATTACATATGTGATTGAGGATATAAAATTAAAATATTTATTCAATATTAGATTTTTTTAAAAAAAAAAACTAATTGAAATATAATTATATAAATATATTAATATAAAAGTAATCGATACATATCGTTTTTGTAAGAAATATAGTAGGATTATATATATATATATTTATTATAGCATGTGTTTTAAATTTTTACGTTTGGGAAATAGAAGTTTAGAAAAGCAATTCATTCAATTAAAAACCTTTCCATAAAATACAACCAAGACAAAACTAATAAAAATTTCACGTAACATATAGTATCAAAAGAAAATAGGTATATTTATTGTGTGACTTTGCACGTATTAGGTTCGACCAGGAATTTAGCCACATAATTTCGAGTAGCGACTGCAGATTCCCATATCATAAAAAAAAATAAAATGATAATTCTGTAAAAATATAGATTGTTAGGTCTAAAAATATTGCGCTAACAAACATTATAGGCCTATTAAAACCTTCTTACATAACCAATTACACAAACTTACAAGAAAATTTTCCATTCACTCCAAATTTACCAAGTAAAAACAAAACTCTAAAAGTTAAAAAAAAAAAAAAAAAAGAAAAAAAAAAAAAAAGAAAGGGTATGCAGTTTGTTCAGTGCTTTGATCTGAAGAATTTTTTTTATGTGAAGTATAGAAAATCGTATAATTTTATAAAAATAATATTTTATATTAAAATTAATTTTTATAAAATAATAAAATATAAATATTAAAAATCGTGTCGAAAAAAATATTAGGCAAATAAACTTTTAAGTAAATAGAAGTACAAAATAGGACAAAAAAATCAATGCAAGGAATATATAAGCCAAGGATCAACGGATAAGATCTAAGCCCTAACAAAACAGATGGCTCAGATCAAATTGCGGGAAGAAGGGGTAGTTGTGGACTTTGGAAGCATTATAGTTCATAAGTAATGGTAGATATCAAAGTTGAGTATTTGCACAAAAGAAAATGTAAAAACAAAAAAGAAACACTTAGTTATAACTAAATAAAGAGATAACAACCAATTTATACACTAGCATTTAGTAAAATTAGAAAGAGAATTAGATGAGTCAAATTTATGCAAGGCGACGACTACATTGCTGAAGTTAAAATTCAATATTGTATTGAACAACACACCGTGTACTATTAGACAACATATAATATTACTACAAACACAACACACTATATATGTTAATATAACAAAAATACAACACACGAACAAAAAATTACATGTTATAGTCTTAACAACATATTGTGTGTTGTCTGACAGCACATAATATTACTACAGATAGTATACAATATTACTACAGACAACACATTGTACATGTTAATATAATACAAATATAGTCTATAAACTAACAACACATGTTATAGTCTCATGCAACACACACAGTTAGATTTTAGCACATGACATACTTGTATATAACACACTTGTTATTATTAAAATAACAACACATACCTTTATTATACACAACATGTGCCGTGTGTAATACTAATGTATATATAACGCGTTCTGATGTGAAAAATGAGCACAATAATCATCCCCTTTATGCCAAATTACAATCCTTAAAACATGATACAAGCTTGGATAGTAAGGGTGTGTTTGTTTGGCATAGGACTTTTGGTAGCCATGTTAGTTGGATTAAATTTTGAATGGGTTTTTCCTAGTCCTACAAGACCTTTAGCAACATCATTTATAAAATAAAATTTAACATCAATAAGCTTTGTTTTTTTCATGAAACAAATATTTTTTTTTTAAAGTTAACGATTGTTAGAATAAACTATAAAGTTGAATTATTGTCAAAATTTTTTATTAACCCCATACCTTTTGTCTCAACTTAAGTTTCTTACCAACTACTTTACAAAATTTCAAATGATTTAAGTCAAGACTTCACATAAAGTTATTCAAATTACATAAGGCACAAGCTCTATAAATAGAGTGCTTACCATAGTGAAACTATTTACAATCTTAATTATATAAGTAGTTAGGGTTAAATAATATTTCTTTCGTCCTAATTAATTTGTCCACTTAGTTAAACGTAGGATTTTAGATATTATGTAATTAGTAAGTAATTAAAAAATATATTAATAAAAATAATGATGATATAATAAAAATAATTATAAATCAAGATGACTACATAATTTAATTAAAATAAAAAAATTATAAATTATGAATTTTATATTGTAATTAAAGTGTATAATTGTATTTAGAAAAAAAAAAAAGAAAAAAAAGGGAGTAATGTACAAGTATCACTATCACACATAATACTAATCTCATAAATAACTTTTGCATCGTCACTTAAGAAATGGTCCGGTGATCTGAGAATTGACTCGTGTCATGAACTTAAATTCTCAATGTTTCCAAATATCTGTGTTTGAGGACAAAAATAGTATTTGTTATACTCCTTTCGTTCTACATAATTTTTTAATTTTTTTTTTAATTTTCGTTTGTCCCATATTTGTTTTTGAAAATATAAATTACACATTTTATTCGTATTTATTTTAATTTTAATTTATAATTATTTTTATTAATACAATTGTTTTCATTACTTACTAATTACAATTTAGCCGAAAAGTTAGTTGGGAAGTAATATAGAAAAAAGTACTATTAGGTACAAAAACATAGATGGTGACCCACAATTAATAGAAAGAAACCTCTGCTGTCTGTGTCAGAAAGATTTTTGCTTTCCATTTCTTGTTTTTTTAATCGCTCATGTTGGGGGTAGTTGGCAAAATAAATTTTAGCCATAGCTTGAAATTTGAAACGATAAGTGGATAGCATAGAACGGAGCAGCTTAAAGCTGCAATGGTGGCGCTGTTGACCGCTCTCATCGTCGTCTTCAATATCATCGCTTCCAGTTCCTCTAGGGCGTTCGACGTACCCATCCTGCCAGGCTACCCGGGATCTCTGCCATTCAAGCTCGAAACCGGGTCAGGTCCCCCGCCATTATTAATCAATCAATGTATATATATATGTGCTTTGTCTGTGCAGTTATGAATTGTTTTGGGAATGAATAATATATATTCAGATATGTCGGCGTGGGAGACGAAGACGAGAGGCAACTGTTCTACTACTTCATTGAATCGGAAAGAGACCCGGTTACTGATCCTTTGCTATTTTGGTTCATTGGCGGGCCGGGTTGCTCCGGATTCGCTGCCCTTGTTTATGAAATTGGTCTGCGCTTTCGACCTCTGTGTTTCTTCTCATTTTCACCTTTACCTATCTGTTAATTTCTAGCTGCTGAAATCAGTTCATTTCTGATTTAGGTTTATTTTTCGTGGAAATAGTTAATGCTAAATTTGATGTTCTTCATACAGATTTTGATTACTTTTAATATGATTGTTGAAAGTTTGAAACTATTTGTGTTTGAAGGTCCCCTGAAATTTGATTACGAGGCCTTCGATGAAGACCTACCTTCTTTAGTCGTAAATCCTTATTCGTGGACTAAGGTGCGATTATACAACCTAAATTTGATGAATATTTCTGTACTATGATTATTTATTGTTTATGCTAATTTTGGCTTTACACGGTTGATCAGTTTGCCAGCATTTTGTTCATCGATGCTCTAGCCGGCTCTGGTTTCTCCTACGCCACGAGCGAAAATGGATATGCTGTATCAGACACCATAGCTGCGGAACATAACTACATGTTCTTGAGAAAAGTAACAAGAATTATCTGCTGTTTGATGTAGTTTAAGCGATTGATACTCGATTTGATAATCTTTGTAACTTGAAACACAAACTGCAGTGGCTCTTAAGTCATCCGTCGTTTATCAGAAATCGATTCTACTTGGCGGGCGACTCTTATGGCGGCAAAACTGTGGCTCTCCTAGCTTCAGAAATCATTAAAGGTACCAATTAACTAAGATAATTAACTCCTCGAGGATATGGTGATTTAATTGATATTGTTGTCCATCCTACAGGTAATGAAGCAGGACTCGAGCCGCAAATCAGATTCCAAGTAAATGTTCTTGCAATTTACTGTTTTGTGGTTGTCTTAATTCTGAAACTTGTTGAGGTTTGTTTCAAGAAATTATATGAAACAGGGATACATGATTGGCAATCCATTCGTCGATTCGGATAAGGATCTAAATGAGCAGACTCCATATGTTCACAGAATGGGGTTGATATCCGACGAATATTTTGAGGTAGTTTCATCCTCTATTAGTTGATATTTCCTTTGACAAAACATGAAGAACACAGCCATTAACTTACTGTCAGAAGTACAAATCGAAGTGATTTTGTTTTTCTTTTTAGGTAATACTTGTGATTTTAATTATTATGGAACATCAATTTGATGATCCGCGACTATTCAGATGGCGAAAAGCAGCTGTGGTGGGGAGTATGTGAATCCTGATCCAAACAACATAGAATGCAAATATGCTCTTCAACTTGTGAAAGAAGTAAAAGAACAGATTCGATATTTTATCTACTCTTTCTTTTCTTATGCTGCCATATTGACGGGACCTGCTGTTTTCTTAAACGTTGAAGTGCATTCAGCATATCAACTCCGCCCACATACTGGAGCCCAATTGCGTAGAACTTCCAATTATACAGAGACTCGATAATTCTACATTGGGCTCAGAAGAACATCGTCCCATCAATTTCCTCTTGCTTCCCAAACAAGAGCGACACTTTTGCCGCGTAATTACTATCTATCTAAGTTAACATATATTGTTATGAATGCCTCCATTTAAATTGTTTCGTGCTATGTTTCTTGCAGGCCTATGGTTATGTGCTTTCTGCCCTTTGGGCAAACAACTCAACTGTCCGAGAAGCACTCCATGTCCGAGAGGTACATAATCGATGCATTTTGGTAATATACTTATAATTTCATATATATTGATCATTCTGAATAACAATGCAACAAAATTCAGGGAACAGTTGGCGATTGGATTCGATGCAATTATAGCATACCCTACGAGCACAATGTTGCAAGTGCTTTTGAACATCACAGGCTTCTTAGCAAGAAAGGGTTGCATGTCTTGGTATACAGGTAAGTGTCCATAGTTCAAATTATATTATAGGGGTATTTTTATTATGAGCAGTGAAATGTTTATTTTGACTTATAAGGATAAAGTAAGCTTTGGCATAATACTAATAACATAATTAACTATCATTAATCACTCTTAGGAAGGTGAAATTAAATAATTATAAAGGAAATAAATATTTATGTTAGATTATTATGTCCTACACTAATAACTAGATTAATGTTAATCCTAACATATACATAAGAATCTTGTTATATCTTCTTCCCATATTAATGTATCTGTTAAGACCGTCTTAACAGTATCGCTTCATTTTTTACATGTAGATTTGAAGTTTATTAGTATTCTATGCATTAACTGAAATATTCTTACGAAGGAAATTAGTACGAATTAGCACAGTAAGGGAACCGATGTATATAACTAGCAACACATTCTAATAATATCTTAAGTATATATTTCAATGTGTATATCATTACAATGTGCTGACGCTGATCAATTAAGCCCCGTCAACACTATAATCAATCCGACAATATAATTGTTAGTACAAATTAACACACACACACACACATATATATATATTGTGTGCATAAATGTATATCAATTGATGATACCTACACCTCTAATATTTGTATTTACTTCAGCGGGGATCACGACATGGGCATTCCGCACATATCCACTTTAAAATGGATACGCCTTCTCAATATCAGTGTCGACGAGCAATGGAGGCCTTGGATGGTTGATGGCCAAGTTGGAGGGTGAGTCAAATACTTCTGAATATGCCAAGATTTATATAAATAAATTTAGATTAGCTAATTAATTCTGTAATATACGATGATTCTTTGCATCTGGAGGTACACCGAGAAATACAGGAACAGAGAGGTCTCTCTTACATTTGCAACGGTGAAGGTATGAAAATGCTATAACTACTTTTGTAGTAATAAATATATATGTTCGATGTTGGTATAATTTGTAAATAAACATGAATATATGCAGAATGGGGGACATACAGCTCCGGAATACATGCCTAAAGAATGCTTTGCAATGGCCGATAGATGGCTCGCTTCGTACCCTCTCTAGAAAGTTCTAGATCTTTCTGGTTAGCATCTTCTTCTTTGTGTTAATTTACAGTCCAATTCTCTAATGCACTCTAATGGAGAGTGAGCAAAAATTAATTGCAATGTATAATTGTAAGGGTCCTTAGTTTATTTAGGGCAGTCTTGAGTCTTGACTTTCAAAAGGCCCGGAGAAGATAAAAATAAAGGACCCTCATATATAAATAATGATTTATTTTTTATTTTTTATCTATAAAAAATGTAAATAATTAAATAATTTTTTTAAAGCATTTTTAAATGCAAAATTATCAATAATGATATCCATATTAATTTTGTCTAATATTTCTTTTTCTTTTTTTGGACAAAAATAAATCTTCAAACTATAACTACAAAATTTTAGAGAGTAAATAATTTTTATTTTTACAAAAAAAAAAAAAAAAAATAGTGATGTCTGACATTTCCTCTCCTAATGTAGAGGGTGCAGGCATAATTAATTTGAAATTGATATAATATTAATATTAATAAATATTATTATTTTTTAATTTACTATAAAATTCTACAAACCATCTGATGATAAAAGGAACGGAAAAAATATTAAATTATGTGACATTGAATACTTATCTGTTATTTAAAATATTATATGAAATGTTTATTATTATTATTTAAATATCACATAGAGTATTTATTTATGTGACATCCAAATGTCCATTTTTCTTCTATTCTTTTTTTAATGTTTTACCTATAATCAAAATTACTAAAATAATTGTAAGGCAGAACTAAAAAAACACACAATTACTATTTATTATTTAGAACTATCTATTAAATCATTATTATTCATTTCTCTTTTGCTAATTCATTTAAGTTTGGATGCTTCGAAAATTATTCAATTTTTTTTTATTTAGAAATATACAATTTATATAAACATTCCACATAAAAAGTATAGATAAAATGGTTTAAAAACTATTAAAATTGTCCATTAAATGAAGGCTGAGAACTTGAATGCAAAGAATTGAAATGGGATGAAAAGCTATTGAAAAGCAGATGATTTTGGTGAATAGGATTCAGCTTTTTGCCGCTGAATATATATACATATATATATATGACGGAAACTTATCAACGTTCCTCTTCAAAGTTACTATGTTTAGATTATTTTGAAAGACGGCGGCTTAAATTCAGTATTGTATTCAACGATACATTGTGTGTTATTAGACAACACATAATATTATTAAAAATAATATATTATATATATTAATATAATACAAATACAACGTATGAACAAAATACACATGCTATAGTCTCAACAACACACAATATTAGTATAGATAACATATTGTATATGTTAATATAATACAAATACAACAAATAAACTAACAACACATGTTATAGTCTCATACAACACATACAACAATTGATTTTAGAACATGACACACTTGTTATTATTAGAAAACAACAGATACATTTATTATACATATCATGTGCTGTGTGCAATACTAATGTGTACTGTTTGCATATATGACGTATGCTGATGTGAAAAATCAGCATCGTAACTATCCCCATTTTGAAAATATTAAGATTTATTTATTTATTTTAAGTATTGGATGCAATGCAATAGATAATGAATGAAATGTATTTCAAACTTAATATAACGATCGTCTATAAGAGTTACATTTATTTTTTGTGTTATTGTACTTAACATTAAAAATATCATTATATTTATATAATTTTTTTATACAAATATTATTATATTGGTATTATAAGACACTAATAAAAGTATTTTGTCATTTTCTCTTGATTGGCACTATAATATCATTATATTAGTATTACTATATTTTGTCATTACATTTGCACGAATCAGTGCTACAAATTAGTGGGTTATTTGACTTTCTCAAAAAATAATCTATAACCAAGTCGGTGTAGGATTGAGAAAAAAACAAAGTGTAACATTTTATTTTGATTTTTTTCTTTAATATTGAATTTGATGTTTTATTAAATAAATAAATAAATAAAATGTTGAGCCAATTATATTAAAATAGTCAAATTATTTAATTTAAAATTAAATCATTATAAATAAAATAAAATAAAATAAAATAAATTACCCATAAATATTTAAATGAGTATATATAAATACTAAAACAGCATATATATATATATATGATTAATTTAATTTATAAAATACTATTAAATAAAATTATAAATATAAATGTTGGATAAGGTACCTGTAAAAATAAATGTTGAATAATTGTTTATGGAAAAATAATACTTGATTTTTTTAACATAAAATATTCTACTGTTAGTTAAATTGAATGGAAATAAAAAAGTAAACATATATATAATTATTATAAAAAAAAGTATACAAAATAATATACAAAGTAGAGGAGCATGACAGTACTAGTTAAGTATATTAATGAAAATTAGTACTCCCTCCTTTGCAAATTAGTACTCCCTCCTTTGCAAGCTAAAAGTATACAATTATTTTTGGTGCGGAGATTAAGGAACAATAGTATTTTAATTATAGTGGGTAGGTAAAAGTAGTAAAATAATATTTTTATTTTTTATTTTTTTTTGTATAAAAATAATAATGTGATGTAAAGTAGAAGTATTTGTGAAAAAAAATGGAATATTTAATGAAATGATTACTTTATAATTGGACGTCCCAAAATAGAAATATGTATACTTTCTAACTAGACAGAGGGAGTATTAAACTATTAATCATGCTGTCATATTTATTCTGTCTTTATATATATATATATATATTTATATTTATTAAATTTATTCTATTATTAATTCTGATAAAATCAAAATATTAATATTTAATTATCACTCTACATTTAATATTTATTTACAATAAATAAAATTATTACAATTAAATATCATTTATATATATATTTTTTCTTTCATTTGAATTTTTATACAGTAATACCTACAATTATTTTATATTTTTCAATAAAATATTTATATTTTTTAATCTTCATATCAATCTAAATATAGAAAATCGTATAAGCAATATAAAAATAATATTTATATTAATTATATTTTTTTATGAAAAAATAATATATATATATATATTATATTAGAAATCGTATCGTTAAAATTTTTATTAATTGGATAAACAGACCTGTTATATTCATGCATGTTTCAATTACTTCAAAATATCTATAAAGGATACCAAGCCAACCATCTTTTAATCATTTCTAAGCACTCTTTAGGTTTGTATTCTGGAGCTGTGTGTCCTGCTCCCTGTAAAAATAAAATTAGTTAATATATTTATTTAATTTTATAATATAAATTAATTTTCTAAAAATTTCAAAAATTAATTAAATAAATATTTTTTTGTCACCTTGACCGTTGCAAAAGTGAGAAACGCTTGGTTATTCTGGTGCACTTCTGTGTACCTGTAATATCAATCAAATGTAAAATCATAATTCGGTATAAATAAATAAATACAAATTGTAAACTGTAAATCATTATCATTTCAATTTAAAAAATATATATATATATATTATATATTCTAGGCTTCTATTCTCAGTCTTTCATATATTATGTGATAATTCATTTATATCTGTCTAGTTACTTTTATTTTTCAAAATATACTTTAAATTTTATAATTTCTAATTTTAATTAGATGATTAATTATATATTTTAATATTAGTCTATAATTATTTATATTATATTATAATTAATTTATTACTATATTCTTAATTATTTATTAATTATACTCCTCTTAAATTTCTCTGTCAACAATAACTATGATGGTGTATTCGGGGTGGATATAACACCCTTGTCATGTTATTGAGAAAATTGCAAAAAAATATTATTTATATATATTATTATTTTTGTTCTTTATTTATCTCGCTAGCAAAATATATCCACTACAACAAAATAGTATATTAGTAATGAAATTCCGTCTCTAAAGTTCACGTAGTTAACGCAATTTCCTTTCTAATACCGTCTCTAATGTCATTAGTAACGAAAAAAAGTAGATTTAGGGATGAAAAAACTTATTACAAAATTGATATTTTCTTATAGTGATCCCACATGTTTGCAAAAGTCGCTATTTATATCATTTGGCTGCGAGTAGCCGCGCGTGATCGGCTAAAGGACATAAATAACAAATTTTGCAAATATATAAGATATATTTTGCCAGCGAGATAAATAAATGAGAAAAATGATAATGCAGTATACATAAGAGATATTTTTTGCAATTTTCTCTTGTGTTATCACTACCATAAAATGACTCCATGTAATAAAACTATGAACATGTTCCTGTGTATGAAATTATATCTATGAATTAACTTGTATCAATTTTACTATATAATTTGTTATTCCAATAAAAAATAATGTATAAAATGTTTACTCAATCATAAATTTCTATAAAATGATAAGAATTCTATTCATAGTTTTGATTAATACGAAAAGTAATTATGCAATAAATTATAAGTATATTATTTTATTCATTTATATTAAAATATAGTAAATATTAATGTTGTTGTAAAAATTCTTGTATTATTTATTTTGGTATATGTTACAAAAGTATTAACGTTAGTTAGATTGTTAGAATAGCACAAACACAGTGATATTGTCACTATAAGAAATTATCAATTTTGTAACGAGATTTTTTGTTACTAAATTCACTTTTTCTGTTACTAATGATATTAGAGACGAAATTAGAGATGGAATTACGTTAGCTACGTGAACTTTAGGAACAGAATTCCGTTACAAATATACTAATTTTTTTGTAGTGTGTGTAAAATGAGTTCAAAACATTCTTTGTCCTATCTCATTTCGGTCTAGAAGAGGCAATGGACAAATGGAATAGTCAATGCATTGTCGGATATGCAAATGATCTTAATAATCTTGATATTCATAGTGAAACCTAATGACTTATGATTAACCTAATCTGTTGTGTTAGAGAGAAAATTTTAAATATGTATTGTAGTAAGATAAAATTATCCAAAATGCTCTCAATTGTCATAGTCTCATTTTTCCGGTTTTGAATATATTTTAGTGTTTCCATGGTGACAGGAAGTCTATTGGAAGACGGAGAAACGGAAATTCAACCGGAGATATTAACTACCCGGGATATGTTCTTACTATCAACTAGATATGATATCTATTGATGTTATTGTTGTAGTGTAACTTTAAGTTACGTGTGTATAAGTTTGCAAGGTAAACAGTAAGAGGGATTAGGTGTGTTGGAAGTTTGTTTTTTCATTCAATTCTTATAACTTACTGAAAAGTTATAGTGAATTAACTATTGGATTGATATTCTCTTAGAATAGGTATTTATAATTGAATTGGGTCAACAAACACCTCATGTCATTTACTTATTTGCCTAAATTTGCATTCATTACTTTGACATTATATTGTTATTACGGCATGTCTACCATGAATGAACATATGTGTCTTTTCATTTGCGGTTCATGATTTTGTTGCACATTTACTTATGAGAGTTGGCTTTTCTGTTATCAGTTCGAGAGGATTTTGTATGATTATTTTTCAACATTTGGTATCAGAGCAGTGTACTTCATCTCTCTTTGGAGAAGACATTTGAAGGACAACTTAAGTTTGAACCACTAAAGTTCAACATATAGAAAGCATATATTAAGTCATTAAGACTGACTGCGTATTAATCTATTAGTTAGTACTACAAGTTCAAAGACATTAATCAAATTTATTCTCTTGGATTGTATTATGATTAATACAAGTTGATAAAAATTTTCTATTGAAAAACCATTTGTTGATCACAAATAATTGATATTTGGTGATACTTCTTAAAGCAAACCAATAGTATTTTTTAGAGATAGTCTTCTCACTGAGATAGTGATTGCAGAAAACAAACGAGGTTAAGTGGTGATTGAAAAGGTTAAGAGGAATAGAACAAAAAAATAGTTTTGGAATCACGAACAAATCAGAATGTCAGACCATTATTACTACAACAAATTGATTGCATATACTGTGGTTTTTCTGGACATACAATTGCGAAGTATTTAAGACTGGCTAGGGAGGCTATGAATGACATAAACATTTGATGGTCTACTGTGAGTATTAGACAAAATATCAAGTTTAAGTTTGTGTGAATGCCAAATAAGAATAAAAAATAATTGTGTGCAATGTCATTTTGTCAAGCCAAAGATCTATAAGTTGAAATAAATTTTACTTTTACCGTGGGTGCTCACACAACACAATGAATCAAAAATATCTATTGAAAAACTGTATTACAAAATAGATGTGGTGATATTAATTTTTGTGATGGTGCAAAAATCAAAATTGCATGCAATAGTATTCTTGATGCTAAAGGAATTTTTCGACTTTAAAAAATATATTTTGTCAGAGGTCTAAGCACAACTATGATAATTATCAGCCAATTATGCAATGATGATTTATATGCGTGATGTTCACAAAAGATGCTTGTGGGGTGTACAATGCTGGACATAAATGTGTGATGAATGAAACTCGATTGAAAGATAATTTATTATTTGTTGGAGAATCCAAAATTGTAAACATTAATTCTTAAGAATGATGAAGCAATGTTATAACATACCCGACTAGATTATGTCAACCCCTATAACCTTATGAGGACTAGCAATATTGGTTAATCAGAGGTTTACCCAATTTTTTTAAGGTGATAAACTTTACTAATGGTTGTTGTGCAAAAGGAAAATAGTGAAGAGTTGTTCACCAATTATTAGAACAAGATAGTAACTGCTATCTGAATTTATTGTACATAAATCTCGTGGGTTCAGTCAATATCTGCAGTCTTGGAGGTAATTGGACTCATGAATAAAAGGAAATTGAATATTAACAAGTTGAGGACCGATTACGGAAAGGAATTCAAAATTTAAAGGTGCACAAAATTTTGTGATGGATTGAGATCCAAGTATGAGTATTTAGCTCCTAAGACTCCACAAAAAACAAAGTGGTGGAAAAAGAAAAAAAAAAAAACATTATAAGAGATGTCTAGATCAGTTATGCAAGCCAAAGATGTTGCCTAGTTCTTGTGGGTCGAAGTTGCTAACATAGTTTTCTATGTGAGTAATTGCGTGTATTTTAGAACACACGTCGAGAAGACTCCGTATAAGATTTGGAATGAGGCGAAGCTGAAGGTCTCATACTTCCATACATTCGATAATAGGTGTTAAATTTTGAAGGATTAAGACCAATGTCATAAGTTTAATACAAGATCAGATGATGGTATTTTCTTTGGTTACTCACAAAATAGTAAAGCTTACAGAGTCTACAACAACCATACGGAAAAAGATCATGGTATGGTGTCCGATGATGCAAATTTGAAGAATAAATCAATCTATCCAAGTATAATGATGATACTACTGCTCCTACTTCGTTAATTCAGAATACTCCTCAGAATAAAAGTGCCTAGCCTCAAAATATTCAAGATGATGCTACTGAGAGCCAATCTGATTCGATTGTTATAATAGCATGAAAACAACAAGGTTATGTAGAATGTACTTATTGGTACATAATGGTGTAGTGATGCAAAATTTGTGCAGAATATTTTTTTTGTCATATCCAATTTCGGTATAGAAAAGACAAAATGAATAAGTTAAATGATCAATACATTGTCTGATATGGCTAGAAAATACTTCATTCTATCTTGGTGCAAAAAATTTTAATGGTCATGATATTCACAGTCAAATCTAGTGACTTATGACCAACCTAGTCTGTTGGGTTAGAGAAAGATGAGTTTGTATCTATATTTTAGTGAGAAAAAGTATTCAAAATGTTTTCAATCGTGGTAGTCTCATTCTCCCTCATTTGAATATATTTTAGTGCTTTAAAGATGATTGAAAATCCATCAAAAAAAGAGAAAACGGAGATCCGATCAAATATATTAACCGACTCGAAAACGCCCTTACTCTTGTTTAGATAGGATATCTATTGGTATTATTGCTACAGTGTCACATCCAATTACTTGTGCTTAAATGTGATACCCTCTGTAGTTTGGCCGTTGCTAGGCCAACTCCCGTGTATGGCTGAGCCGGTATTAGGTCATCCGAGGTTGAATATAGGTTAAATGAATTGAATAGACTACTTATGTCAACAATGTGTACATTCATTTTCGGGAGCCCTACTAAAAGAACTCTACATTTAAGTGTGTTTACCCTAGAGTAATTTGAGGATGGGTGACCCAACTTCCCAATGTGCACATGAGTGAAGACAAAGCGCGCTAGAAGGACTCGTGTTGACCTATGAGGCCAGTCTATAATCCTGACATGCCCGACTTTGCGTGTCTTGCGGGATGAAAAGTGATAGTAGTCAATGTTTTTTTATTGATGGTTTGAAAGGATTCAAATGTATAATTTTAAATTTAATTATAAAGAAATTTATTCTTTAATATTTATCTAGTTGACTAAATCCTAATTAATTAAGTATTAATGCACAAGGAATTGGTATACTTACCCCGCGACTTGGCCATCAACAGTCCAAGGCCTCCACTTAGAATCCACCGTTAGATTTAATTGTCGTATCCATTTTAAAGTGCTCAAGTACGGAATATTTCCGTCGTGATCACCGCTGCAAGCAATGTAACCAAGATTATATTATCGATCATATATGAAAATTAAATATGGGTTTTGTATCCATGCATAAATTAAAAATATTCCGTCAAAGCTCTTTTAGATCAAATGGTGAAACATCTTTAGCTTAGAGCATCTCAAATCCAGCGCCATTAATGGCGTTGGGTTGGCTTATTTGGCGTCGGTTGTCTCCAACCAACGCCAAATCAAATGCCACTTTTTGGCGTTGCTACAGTGCAACGCCAATTTTGTTATTGTATTGTAGCAACGGCAAAAAATGGTGTTGCTTTATTATTTTTTAAAAATTTTTAAAATTATAAATTTGATTTTTTAAATTTAATTTTTAAAAATTTTATTTTAAATTATAAAAATAAAAATAAAAAGTTGTTTAAAATAATAGAAAAAATTGAATAATTGAAGAATAATGGTGAAAAATGGAGTTATGATTGGAGAAAATAGAGTTGATGGGTTGGAGATAGGCTTAAAGACTATGTCCCAACTTTGATTTCGAGTGGATGTTGTATGTGCGTGTGTGGAGTTTAAAATATATATATATTTCATTTCTTTTGCATGTTTAAACATTTGCACAATCTTTTCTTGGTAAAACACAAATAGTTTTAATAATAACACAAGTATTTTTTTAATTTCATTTTAGACTAATACAAATATTGTAAAATACAAATACATTAAAGATTAATCTTAAATTCGAATGTATTCTTTCATCACATTTTTATCAAATTCTAAAATATTTTTTTAAAAAAAAATCAAATCAAACATCTATTTTTTTTATATTTTATATTATAATATTAAAAATCAATTTTACATTTAAAACATTACATCAATATCTATTTATATCACATTATACAACTATTTAAATTCAAATTTTTTACATCCCAAATCTCCACAAAAAATCTAAAACCTCAACAAAGGCACCCGAAGTATTTATTTATGTATTATGAAGTCAACAAACACGCATAAACCATGTAAGAAAACGGGGTTTGTTTGGTTTATAATATAAATTAAAATTTTGATTTAAATAATATTTTGGTTTATAATATATTCTTATTAGAAATTAAATGTCTTGAATATTGGTAATTTTAATTTGTAATATTACACCAAAATTTGATTTTGCGCATAAATAGAAAAGTTTTCATGCACAATAAATGTCACGTTTATTAAATTTCATGCATTTAAACCAAAACGCAAATAGTAAAAACATCACCTGTATGCCAATGCCTGAAACCCTTTTTCACTCAAGAGTCTGTGTACTTCCAAAATACTTTCCACATCTTGCTCGTAGGACAAGCTTTTATTACATCGTTTCCAATCAGATATCGTACCCTGTAGTTCCTTCCCATTATACAATCTTCGATCAACAATCGAAGAAACAAATGCTATTGATAAAAATTGTTACCTTTCTAATGTGAAGCGCTTCTCGAACGGTTTCATTATTCATCCATGCATAAGAGCTCTCATAATTATCATTCTGCGCCGTACGTGTTATACGCAATTAGATTATCATATATAAAATCAAAATATACTTTTTTCTATATTAAATGGAAATTTGCAGCCGCTATCTTTCGGGTGTGCTCTGGATAAAGAAAAATACATACATATACATATATATAATTAATTTTTGAGGCGGATAAGGGCATTGATATTATGTCTTACACGGCATCGTAGCACCTCTGATTTGGACAAGGAAATTAATTCGATGGGATCGTCTTCAAACAACAATTCCCTTAGTCGAAATTCATCAGGTTTTGGCGACCTGAATTTGCACTTTGGCTCCAAAATGTGGGCGGTGTTGATGTTCTTTACACACTGCAATGAGTGCGTGCATTTGTATAACATGAGAGAAAGATATAACAACTTGGATACGTATTATAAAAATAAAAAGTGTGTAATATATTAACGGGTAAACTGTTTTTTTAGTTCCGTAACTGAACCCTTTATCATTTTAGTTTCGTAAGTGGAGCTTGTCGCAAACTAGTCCTATAAGTGGAAAATTTTCGTTGTCTTTTAGTTCTCCGGCGCCGGAGATGCCCGCGTGGCTAGCCGGAAGCTACGTGTCCTCCGGCGAGCTACGCAGGCGTCTCCGGCGCCGGAGGACTAAAGCAACAAAAATCTTTCACTTGTGGGACTAGTTTGCGACAGCTCTAGTTATGGGACTAAAATGATAAGAGGGTCTAGTTACCGACTAAAAAAACAATTTACCCTATATTAATTTTTTTTAAAAAATGTATTGAAAATTTTATTAAAAGAACATAGCCTCTTTCAGAGTTAGATGATAACTATAATCAACAAATTTTTTTTCTTTATTATTTTGATATATAAGATTTGTGTTTGTTCTACAATGCACATGTACATGTTTGTATTTAGCAAAAATAAAAATGTAAATTCACCTCATCGACAAGTTCTAGCGCATAAAGGCACAACACATTGTTTGGATCCGGGTTTGTATACCGTCCATTGCAGCTACTTTTTGCAAGCTGATCCTAAACGATCGTCAATTCATGATGAACTTGTAATATGTTAAATGCATCCAATGACAAAAATGAAACAACCTCAAAATATTCGTCAGAGATTAATGCCATTCGGTGATAATAAGGAATCCTTTCATTCTCATCTTGAACGTTATCTGTCAACGAGTTTCCAACTATATATCCCTGCATACATGCTTCAATTTTACTGTTGAATCTTATGCAAGAAAGTGTAAGATGTTTCAAAATGGCGTGACTGACGACAACATTCTAAAAGAAATGACAAGATTGCACATAACTCACATGTATTTTGAAAAGTCGGTACCATTCTCATTCATGATTTAAAAGCTGCGTAAAAATCCTTGTGTTTTAAAAATGTTGCACAAAATTTTCGAAAAACCAAGAGCTCCATGCAATTTCTAAACAACAAGAGAGAATGACACAACTCTTCAAATCACAAATGAATCATATATACTTTTGCCAAATGAAATTAAAATTGCAAGAAGATTATTACTTGGAGTAATAATCGCGGCATAGTCCCGGCTTCATTACCTGGCGAGACATACAACATTAGCGTTTCAAAACTATATGTATATATACATATATATATATGTGTAACAAATAATTAATGAATTTATTACACCTCGAGCAATTGCTAGAGCTACCATTGGGGCAATTTTGCCACCATGAGAATCACCAGTAATGTATAACCTATTTTTTCTGAACGAAGGATGACTGTCCAACCACTGCAATCAATTTAATATCAAATCAAATTGCCAATTTATCACATATTTGTACATATATATATATATATATATATGTATATTTGAGTGTCTAACCTTGGTAAGAAACATGTAATTATGTTGTGCTGCAATGGTCTCGCTTGAAGCATAAGCTTGTGCAGTAGTGGCGTAGGAGAAACCAGTGCCCACTGGAGAGTCTATAAATATAATGCTAGCAACCTAAATTGCAAAAAAATATTTGTATTTGTATAATTAATAAGTTGAATTTATTAGTGAATTGGCAAGTAAAGATTGGAATAATATTATGAAGTAGTTGGTGAGTACATACTTTTGTCCATGAATAAGGGTTAATGATCAAAGATGGAAGGCTCCCATCAAAAGTGGTTTGATCGAAAGTAAATGGCCCTGCAAAAAATAAGCATAAAAAAATTGTAATATAAACCTACATTTAGAAGCATTGGAAAACAAAAAACATGGATATATATGTCTGTGTATATGTATATTTAGTTGAGATAGATGCCTATTTTTCGATAATACTATGAAATAGGGTGTGTTTGTTTGGGGATTTAGATTTTGAGTTAGGATTCGAATAGTAAAAATTTTGAATTTGAATAGTTGTACAATGTGATATAAATAGGTGTTTATGTGATATTTTGAATGTAAAATTGATTTTTAGTATAATATAAAAAATGAAAAATAAGTGTTTGATTCGATGTTTTTGAGGAAAAAAAATTGGATGAATAGTAAAATTTTGCACAAATCTTACAAACGAACACACCCCTACCACTTCTATTAATTAATTAAGAAAAATCATAAAAAGTTGATAATACTTTAATACAAAAGTTGGTAGATAAAACAAATGGAGTAATCCCAAAAATTATTAAAGTTTTAATAAGAAAATGGTTAAAAATTCTACGTAGATAATTTTTTCTTTTAAAATTATGCCTAAATTTAGCTGATAGGGGAAATAAAATGGGTGTGTTTGTTTGGGGGATTTTTCCCCAAATATATTATTCATCCAATTTTTTTTTCTAAAAAACATCAAATCAAACATTTATTTTTCATTTTTATATTATAGTAAAAATCAATTTTACATTCAAAACATTACATAAACACCTATTTATATCACATCATACACCTATTTAAATTCAAAATTTTTACTATTCAAATCTCAACTCAAAATCCAAACCCCTGTAGAAACACATCTATCGGATAGGATAAAGTAGGTATTACATATAATAACAAATGAAAAAAAAATGATAAAAAAAACCAAAGAAAGGCAGAAAATTCAAAATGTAAAAACTCAGACCGGACCGATTTCATAGACCAGGCCGGAAAATGCAGAACAACCCGGTCCGCCGGTTAACCACAAGAACAAAGGATCAGTGTTAGGGTTTCCTTCAGACTCAACAAAGTAGTAGAACAGCTGTACTTCTTCATTCTCTCCCACGCCTATGTACCTGTTTGATATTCATTCATTCATTATACACTAATTAATTAATTAAATGAAACAAAATAATTTGTATATATATATATATATCTATATATGATATGGGTTTGGATTCCGACCCGGTTTGGAGGTTGAAGGGGAGAGGACCGTCGAAACCAGGCAAGGTTGGGACGGCGGATTGCGACCGAATCTCATCAGTAGCAAAAACCAAGAAGATGAGAAGATAGGAAACCAGAGGCAGCAGTTTCATCCTAGCTAGCTACTATTTTGCTTTATTTGGATATATATATATACTTTTTATGTTTCACTGGTTCGCTTATTTGGATCCGGTACAAATATTAAAAAAATACTCTCTCCGTCCACGTTGCTGTTTCTGTCGGTCCAATGTACCATATCATTTTTATTTTTGAAAAATGATTACACATTTTAATCTATTTTAAAATTTTTAATTTTTTTTTAATTTTAATTAAACTAATTAGTTATTTTAATATTAATTTATAATTATTTATATTAAAAAATAATTATTTTCACTGATACATTCTTAATTATCTACTAATTACACCCATCCTAAGATACCGTGTCTACACTGTAACGTGTATACCTTAATATCACTTTTGTCATATATTTATCTCACTGACAAAATATATCTACATATTTGTAAAAGTCGTTATTTCAATCATTCGATCGTGCGTTGTGTGAACGTCACGCACGACCAAATAACAAAAATAGCGATTTTTGCAAACATGTATAATATATTTTACCAACGAGATAAATATATAATAAAAGTGATAATGGGATATACATATTTGATAGTTTTTGTAATTTTCCCGTAATTGGGGATTTTTTAAAAAAAATATTAATTATAAATTAAAATAAATGAAAAGAAAATGTAATAAATGTAGTAGTATTGATTGTAAATAAGAATTAAATAAAGAATAATAATTAAATGTAAATGTGTTGACTTTGTCAAAATTAATAATAAGTAAATATAACTAAATAACTAAAAAAAATGAGAATAAATTTAATAGAAGAAGATAGTAAATGCTACTACTTTTTACACCAACAAGCTCCACAAACAAACACACTATACAATTTTAAATTAATTCACTCAATACTTTTTTAAGTAACACGGATTACGAAAAAATATAATATATTACATATACATTAAAAATAATAATAATAACTATTCAATATAAAATAATACACTATACAATTTTAAATTAATTCACTCAATACTTTTTTAAGTAACACGAATTACGAAAAAATATAATATATTACATATACATTAAAAATAATAATAATAACTATTCAATATAAAATAATATATTTTTTTTTTTTGTTAATGGTACCATTTTTATGTCTAACCTAAAAAATAAATAAAATGAACATACTTTTTATAATCCGATGTATTTTATATATGACTCCTACCTGCTCCGCAATTTTGTTGTCCGATGTGGATTTTATATACTCTTTTCGTATTATAACAAATTATTTATTTTTTTTTTATTTTAATCCGTTTCGTAATAAAATATTTATTTTTTTTAATAAATATATTATCTACTTAATATTACAAATACTCTTATAACTTATAATATATTATACAAATATCATTACTTTTATATTATATATATTAATAAAATTATTTTAATAATTTCTATTTTATTTTTATTTATATTTTAATATAATATTAATATTTTTAAAATTACGTATAAAAAACAAATAAATATTTACTGAGGGTGGAAGTATTATATTCTATAACTAGGATGCTTGACTAAAATAGTAGGGGTAGATGAATGATATTATTATATTAATGGACATCAATCCGCCTACTATCTTTGACTTTTCTTCCTAGTCACACCTAAATCTTCAACCCGCCTACTATCTTTGACTCTTCTTGCTAGTCACACCTAAATCTTCATTTATTCAATAATGAAAAAGAGTTGTGTATATCTTTTCTAAGACTTCATATATATTTATATACTCCGTCCATCCGTCCCAAATAATAGGTTCACGTTGCCGTTTCTCTCCGTTCTATATACTATATTATTTTTTTTTTTTAGAAAATAATTATATATTTTAATTTTATTTTAAATTTTTAAATTTTTTTAATTTTAATTAAACTAATTAGTTATCTTAATTTATATTATAAAATAATTATTTTTACTAATATATTCTTAATTATCTACTACTTCTCCTAAAATACAGTGTCTAGCAGACACGGTATCTGAGACGGAGGGAGTATATCTTACGTAATTTTTATTAAAATACGTTATTTTTTCCGCATGAAACGTTACAATATATTGTTGATTAAACGCAAAAGTAATCACATCTATAAAACAAACAATGTTTCTTTCATTATGATTTAAAATTAATTTAAAAATAAAATTTAAATTTAAATTTTTGTTTAAATAGTATTTTTATATAATATAGTCTATCCATCCGTTTTTTTTTCAAATGGATCATTTAGGGTTTTGTAATAGATTAAAGAGTAATAGTATTTCATTAATTAACGGAACTGTTCAAGAAATTTTGATATTTTTGTCTTTATGCATAAAATAATTGTATATTTTAAAATATGATTGTAATTTAAATAAATTTTAAGAATATTTTTAATATTAGAGTATAATTATTTTTAATAAAAATAAAAAATAATTTTTTTAAATGAGATAAATAAAAATTTTAAAAATAATACCTTCAGTGAGGACGAGAGAGTATTATAATAAAAAAATAATATATTTTTATTAAAAATAAATAATATTAATTTTAAATTGAAATCATAATCAAACACTCTAAATACCACGTTTTATTAAAAAATATAATCGACTGGTCAAAATAGAATAATGTCCTCATTTCGCCATCTATACTAATGTACTACGTTTCTTTTTTCAATATATAAATATGCATATACTTGTAATGATTGGAACATAATTTGATGCTCCCAAATAGTATAGCTTTAAGTAGCTAATAACCTATTGTAGAATTATAATATTATTATTATGCGAGAAAATAAGTTAAATAAAAATAATAATTAATAATATAATAAAATAATGAATAATTGGATAGAGCGATACAAATTAAAAATAAAGTTGAGTTAAATATATTTTATGTCTGCAAGACAAATTAAGTTTCAATAGTATCTTCGCTGATAACATTTTGTTTACAAAAATAAAATGATTTTTGTTTTCAACTCCAGTGACACTTCAATAACCCAGAGCTCCAGTGCATAAGAACACGAATGAAACCGATCTTGTTCCGTGAGGGATGGTCTGGTGATGTAGGGATTGGACTTGTGACCATGAGGTCATGCGTTCAAACCTCCGACGCCTCAGGTCACTAGTGTGACTTTTCCATCGGGCCTGGTTTGCAAGGTATTAGGTTTAGCCGAGAGTTTACCCAGTGTGCATTTTCGGGTAGCGGTTGCGATTGCTTGCGGTCTGATTTGTGAATGAAGAGGGAGACCTTTTTTTACAGGGGTCTTCACTCGATCAAAATGGTAGGAGATTAATTAAAATAATAGTTACAGGGTCGATCGTAATTTATGCTGATTTCAAATATTAATTCATGCTAACTTCAAACATTTCATTTGAGGTTATATTAAATATATATCTATTGGATAGAGTTTTATCCGGATAATCTTGCAACTTAGGTCCTATATTCGGATTTAATTTTAGCTTTTACAATTTCATTTGTGTTTAGACGGCCAAAAATAGTCAAATATTAATATTAATATATAATCTTAATAAATATATATATATATATTAATATATATAATCTTAATTAATTTGGTTCGTTGTCTATAACATTTTTACTCATCAAATAATTGGTTTCAAAAATTTTAAATTAAATTTTATCAATTAAATAATTAATCAATTATCCAACAATCCCCCATAAATAAAAATGTCTATAAATGGACATATGCACAGTTGAGTTACGTAGAGACATTAACACATTAGCGCAACTAGTTTGTGGCTTTAAATTTTCCATAGTTAACAATACAGAGTGTAATAATGGTTCAATTGACATGATGTATTGAATTGTTCCACCTTAGCGTACATTAAGTCAATAATGTTAGTGTGTCGTTATCTCAACCCCATTTCATTTTCGCGTTTTCATCTGTTTCATCTATATATTATGTCTTTGGATTCACAAGTATTTCTTTTGAAGCAACTCACACTTTATACTTATATAAATAATTCTATCTTAAAGTATCAAACTCATACCTTCCGGATTATTAAAAGTCACTAAATTAATTTCACCACTTTTGTACTTTTTAACATATGTTGTTTTTCATGGAATGACCATTGAGTGTTCGTATCTTACAATTTAGTTTTCCTATTGAACTAAGACTTTGGATCTCCAAGTGATTTGGTTAGGGTAGCACTTTAATAGTTTCTAAATTGTGTGATTCAAATCCATTCCCTTTAGCAATCTATACATTTAATCCATTTGTAATATTTTGGTTAGCATATCTGTTAGGTTTTCTATTGACTTCACATAGTCAATAATCAAAATTTCACGATCGAAAGTAAATAACAACTACAAATATTTTTGTTGTATATGATCTTAATATGAGCTTGTTTGTGCATTGATCGATTATAAAAAAATTTCATGATACTAAAATTTTTTTATGAAACTTTTTCTAATTTGAAATACAATTTTTTTTACCACCTAAAGATAAGCAATATTTTATTAATTATTTTTTCATATTATTTCATTAAGTTTATTGTTTTTCTTTTTTTACTTATACAAAACTAATGCTTTTCTTTTCTTTTCTTTTCTTTTTTTGTATGTAAGTAATATATAGTGGATTCAAGATATTCTACGTATGATGGATGAACTTTTACAATCATACTGAAATAATAGATATGAGGTTGACTATAAAATTTTAATCTCAAAATGAGTGCTTAATTTTTATTACTCAATGATGAGAAGCATCATTGAAATGGTTTTTGGAGTTTGTAAAGTGAGATGTTTGAACTTCAAAATCAAAATATGTGTCCGGACAGTTGAGAAGATAACAAACTAACTTCCTAACAACTAATATAATGATAACTCATCGATTGAACTAGAGCTAATTGACAATAGACATGGTAAATTTATTGCTACATAGGCAATGGAATGATATGTTGTTCTCTTTCTCTTTATTGTTATTGTGAGTAAGCATCTTGATGTTAGAGAATGAGAATGACCAACGACTCAATGTATCAAATATATTGAAGAGAACATAGACTCTATTAAAGATCAAATTTCACAACGATAACGTGATGATAAAGTTGAAATTATATTATTTAAAATATATTATCGATGAAACTTTTTATTTAATTGCTTTGAAAATGTTTATACATAATTATGTTTTGATTTTTGTTGAATACATTTAAATTAACATTTTGATTTTTCAGTTAAATTGTATATTTTTTTTTAATTTATATGTTATACTTACATAAAATTTAAAATATAATTGAGATGCAAATTTTAAAAATATACTAATTTTTTAATTATATTTGGTAATATATATTTTCAATTTAACCTACAAAAAATTTAAAATATATTACAAAAGTTTCAAATAAAAATACATTTATATTAATAGTATAATTTTTTTTAAAAAAAATTGTGATAGTTTAAAATAATTTAATTTTACTACATCCAAATATTATTTATTTTCTAAAAAAATGCTTTTATAACAATATATTTAAACATACTCCGTCTCTTCGGTAAGAAAAATTGCATTTGCTTTTTGTAAGTATATTTTTAAATATTAATATTATGTTAATTTGTATTTTTTTTTAAAAAAAAATAAAAATAAAAATACTTGTAAAAGTATTTATTATGTTATATAGACAATACAATTACTAAAAATGGTACCCTTGTCTTGAGACAGACAAAAATAAAAAGTAATATCATTTTTATGGAACAAAATGAGTAATATATACTACAAGCAGTAAATGCATATTTCCATAAAGCATCGTATATATGGTTATCGAACATCAGATATGTTTTATAAAACGTAGTATATAATAATATATAGAATACCAGATATATTTCTATAGATCACTAGACGTACTTCTCTAAAGCACCACAAATAACGTACTGTCTTATCTCATAGAGCATAATACTATCTACCTTAAAAATTGTAATTATTTTAAATTTATAAAAATAAAAATATAATTTAGTAAATTTAAGGGTGTGTTTGTTTGGGGGTTTCGATTTTAAATTGGGATTTGAAAAATAGTAAAAATTTTGAATTTGAATAATTGTATGATGTGATATAAATAGGTGTTAATGTGATGTTTTGAATGTAAAATTGATTTTTAGTATAATATAAAAAATAAAAAATAGGTGTTTGATTTGATATTTTTTTGGGAGGAAAATGGGATGAATAGTGGAAATTAAATCCAATTCCCAAAACAAACACACCAGGTTAAATATATTAATGGTTGGTATTAATACTCTCCAATTATTTGGAAGCAATCTTCCATTTAAAAACTGTTTATGCTATGTTCATATTTGTATACAATTTACTTCAAAATATCTATAAAGAATACGACGACAACCATCTTTTAACCATTTCTAAACATTCTTTAGGTTTGTACTCCGGAGCTGTATGTCCTGCCCCCTGTTAAAATAAAATGGATTAATATATTTATTATATTTTATAATAATCTCATTACATAAATTAATTTTACAAAAATTCAAATTTGAAGTAAATATTTTTTGTCACCTTAACAGTTGCAAATGTGAGAAATGCTTGATTATTTTGGTGAACTTCAGTGTACCTACAACATAAACCAGATGTGAAATCATCATTATCATTGTCATCGTTTCAAATAAAAATACAAATGTAATTTTTTATTAGGTAAACTCACCATGTGACTTAACAAATGTAATTTTTTATTGCGATATAATTTTTAAAATATTTAAATGCATATTTTAAAATTTTTTAATTATTCCTATATAACTTATAAGTTGATTCATGGATATAATTGCAAACACAGCCGATCTTCTAAGATTTAATTTAAAGTTATCTGAGGGTATTCTCTTAAGTATGTTTATTGTACTCCCTCTGTCCCATAACTAAATATCTATTTACTTTTTGCGCATTGATATATTTGGATATTAATTATTATATTAAAACATATTACAAATCAAGGAAAAATTGCAAAAATATTTGTATTAGTGTCTTATAATATTAATATAATAACATTCGTATAAAAAATTATACAAATATAAGAATATTTTTAACGTTAAGTATAATAACGTAAAAAGTAAATGAATACTTTGTTATGGGACGGAGGAAATATATGATTTTCAAAAATATTATATTAGTGCCCGAAGTAATTAGGTAAACTCACCCTGCGACTTGGCCATCGACAGTCCAAGGCCTCCAGTCAGACTTTACCGTCAGATTTAATCGACGTATCCATTTTAAAGTGCTCATATAAGGAATAGCTAGGTCATGATCACCACTGCATCCAAGTTAACTAGAGTTTATAATATATCAAATATATATATATATATATATATATCAAAGAAAGAAAATGAAATAAGGGTTTGATTTAAAAATACTTGTTTAGTATTTAAAAATACTAAGGGTTTGTTTGGTTGTGATTTTAAATTGATTTGAATTGAAATATTGATTTAAATTTTTGTTTAAATATTATTTTGATGTGATATTTTATATATAAAAAAATAACAACGTATTTTTATTACAAATCGTGTCAAGTGAATAGTGTTAATTTTTGATTTAAAATGGTAAAAGAATAAACCGTAAAAGACATTACCTATATGCCAATGCCTGGAACCCTTTCTCACTCAAAAGTCTGTGTTCTTCGAAGATACTTTCGACATTTTCCTCGTAGGACAAGCTTTTATTACATCTTTTCCAATTTGATATCATTCCCTGTAGTCTTTCCCATTATATAATCTTCGATGAACAATCAAATAATCATATTACATTGAAAAAAAGGTTACCTTTCGAATGTGAAGTGCTTCTTGAACGGTTTCATTACTTATCCATACATAAGAGCTTACGTAGTTATCATTCTACACTTTTTCAATACACAAAATTATTAGATCCTTATACATATGTATAGAATGAAATCTTTTTTTTTATTTGGGTAAAGTATATAATACCCGCGTGTTTTTAGTAAATATTCACAAAATATCTCGTATTTTATTTATTATGTAAATTTTTTTTATATTTAATTAAAATATGCACAAAACATCCTGTTCGGCTGAAGTTGATGTTTGGTTGTAAAAACATACCAAATTATGCAAATAAAAAAAAATAAAATATCTTAAATAGTATTTTTTTTTTAATAAAATGAATAAATACATTATTTATCGATTATTAATTTAATAGTTTTTTTTAGATAAACGTAATTGTTATCTAATTTTTTAAAAAAATATATATATAAATAAAGGATTGATTAATTATTTTTTATTTTTTATTCAAATAAGATTATTTAAGATATTTGGCATATTTTATTTGTATAAAAGTTACATAATTAAGTGTGTATTTATAATCAGATATCAATTCTCGAATGGGTATTTTGTGTATAATTTGATTTAACAAGTTTCGTGTAATAAATAAAATACGAGATATTTTGTGCATTTGTCAAAAACACAAAGAAGTATTATGCAATTTACCCTTTATTTTTTTGGGTGGACAAGAGCATTGATGTAATGATTTACGCGGCATCGTTGGACCCCTGGTTTGGACAAAGAAATTAAGTCGATCGGATCATCTTCAAACAACAATTCTCTTAGGCGAAATTCATCGGGTTTTGGCGACCGGAATCTGCACTTTGGCTCCAAAATGTGGGCGTTGTTGATGTCCTTTATGCACTGCAATGAATGCGCAATATGTATAACGTGACAAGAAAAAAAGCTGTAATAAAGCGAACATATTTGTATTTAAAAAAAAAAAATCGAAATTTTAAAATCACCTCATTCACAAGGTGCAGCGCGTAAAGGCACAACACATTGTTTGGATCGGGGTTTGCATATTGTCCTTTGCAGCTAGTTTTCGCAAGCTAATTGTATTTGGTGTACGTATATATCATGTACATGTCGACAAAAAAAATAATTATATTATTATCTATTTGTGATGAACTTCGAGTTAGTGAATTATATTAAATGGAACAACCTCAAAATATTCATCGGAGATCAATCCCATTCGGTGAGCGCAAGGAATCTTTTTGTTGTCGTCCTGAATTCGATCTGTTCTAGAGTTTCCAACTATGTATCCCTGCATACATGTTTTGATTTTACTATTGAATCTTATGCAATAAAATTTAAAAAATTTTAAGATGGCAACATTAAATAAAATAAAAAAAAAATAATAAAAATTGAAGTTGTAAGATTATAACTTGAAGTAAGATTTGTGGTATAGTTCCAGCTTCGTTTCCTGACGAGACATACAACATTAGCATTTCAAAACTAAATATATATATATATATATATTATAAGAAATAATTATTCATATATTTATTATACCTCGAGCAACTGCTAGAGCTACCATGGGCACAATTTTGCCACCATAAGAATCACCAGTAATGTATAACCTATTTTTCCTGAATGAAGGATGACTGTCCAACCACTGCAATCAATTTGGGCAATATGATTTATAATGGCTTTTAATATCAAATCAAATTACCAATTTATCACACATTTGTACATATATATGTATATATATATATATATTTGAGTGCCTAACCTTGGTAAGAAACATGTAATTATGTTGTGTTGCAATTGTATCGTTTGAAGGGTAAGCTTGTGCAGTTGTAGCGTAGGAGAAACCAGTGCCCACCGGAGAGTCTATAAATATAATGCTAGCAACCTAAATTGCAAAAAAATTCTTTGTATAAATATTTAGTTGAATTTATTACTGAATTGGTGAGTGAAGAATTGGAATAATATTATAAAGTAGTTGGTGAGTGCCGACTTTTGTCCATGAATAAGGATTAGTGATCAAAGATGGAAAGCTCCCATCAAAAGTGGTTTGATCGAAAGTAAACGGCCCTGCCAAAAAAAAGAAAACTTTAGTCAGGTAAAAACTCAAAATTCAAAAGTATTGGGAAAATTTTAAAAATAAACTTGCATATATAAATATATATATATGTAACATGTATGTTTTGAATTTTGTTGGTTGTTTGTGCGTGCTTTGGAAGTTCAATATGGTAGAATGTCAAGTCTAGCTTACAGACTATTAGATTCGATGAAAAATTTACTAAAAGAGCTTAACAATCAAAATTATAATTAGCAAATGAAAAAAAAGAGGACCGATTTCATAGACGAGGCCGGAAAATCCTGAGCAACCGGGCCCGCCGGTGAGCCATAAGAACAAAGGATCAGTGCTGGGGTCTCCTTGAGACTCAACAAAGTAGTAGAACAGCTGCACTTCTTCATTCTCTCCCACGCCTATGTACCTGTTTGATATTCATTCATTCATTCATTATAAACAAAATATTGTAAACTAATTAATTAATTAATTAACTAAATTCAACAAAGTAATTTGTATATATAGGTTTTGAATTCCGACCCGGTTTGGAGGTTGAAGGGGAGAGGACCGTCGAAACCGGGCAAGGTCGGGACGGAGGATCGCGACGGAATCTCGGCAGCAGCAGCCGAAGCTAACAAGAAGAGGAGAAGACACCAAACAAGGGCCAGTTTCATCCTAGCTAATTGTTTACTTCATTTATTTATGACACGATCGAATTTATACATAACTATTTTTATTATTCAAAAATAGTATGGTTAGATGATCAATGGGATATTATTATTATTATTATTATTATTATTATTATTATTATTATTATTCAAATTATATAGATGCCGTGTAACCTCCAAACGCTTCACTAAATGTGCCAACATTCTTAGCACTAACTTTTCATTATAATTGACTAAGGCTGTCTATTTTTGAAAAAAGTATTATTAAATATTAATAATAATAAAATAAAAGTAATAATAACAAAAAAACAAAACAAAATTTTGATCATGTATTTAGTTCTGTGTTTCATTCTAAAAAATACTATGTCCGTTCCACATTCATGTCTTTTTTTTTTTTTTTTTTTAAAATAATTATACACTTTAATCTTATTTTAAACCTTTTAATTTTTTTTTAATTAAACCAATTAGTTATCTTAATCTTAATCTATAATTATTTATATTTTAGCATAATTATTTTCACTAATACATTCTTAATTATTTACTAATTATACTTATTCTAAATTCTCGTGTCTACAGTGACCCAGATCTCGAATGTGGGACGGAGGGAGTATTATTTACTCACGCAACACACCTTATGTTTCTATTATTAAAAAATAATAATAATAAATTCAAACATAAAATACAAATGCAAAACAAATCAAACACACCTTTGGTGTCGCTCTATTACGAGAAGAGTTCCAAAAGTGTGATCCACTATTCAAAATAGAATAATGTGGTATAAATAAATAAAAGTCTTATGTGTAAAAATATGTTATAAAGCATTTCAGGATTTTGGATAGTTTATTTCAAAATAATTTAAAATTTGAATAGAAAACAAATATTTGATATAATATAAATAATATTAAAAATTTTATTTTAAAGACAGAAAATATAATTTTAATATAATATTCTATACGAAAATAGAGCTTTGATGTTATGCTTAAGTTTTTTGAAGCGAGAATTATACACACGGTTGTGTTCGTTTTATACACACGGCCAGGGAACATGACCGTAGTTCTTTAACACGGCCGTGGATGGTAACTGGCGAATGCTGACGGGTATGTTTATGGACGTGTTTTATGGTACACGGCCGTGTTCATTCCAGGTCACCCGCTAGCTCGACTCCGTTAAGTCCACGTCATTATTTTCTGTTGATTTATTGATGGTGGGATAAAAAAAGATGAAATATAATTATATTGGGATCAAAATTGACAAAATTTTTATATTGAAATAATAAAAATTAAATATATTTTACTATTAATGTATGATTATTATTACGAAAATAGAAAAATATATATATATATATATGTTATTTAGTTGGATAGACAAATTAATGAAAATAGTACTAAAAGTATATTTGATCTAAACTAGATTTGATGGGTTATAAAAATTTTGGGGTGTTTTAGTATGGTGAAGATAGCACTACTTCATGTGAAAGTGATATTAAAATATCTAATAAAAAATAAATAAACGGTATGGGATCCTCAGCCCTATGTTTGCCTAACCCCGCCGGATCCGTCACCCAAAAGTAATAATATATATATATAATGTGTCTGTATATATAATTATAACATACTTAATATATATTACCCCTTCCCTCTCTATTGAAAGATTACCATTTTTTAAGTTATTATTTTCTAATTTAATAATTGTACTACCTACTTAACATAATAAATACCCTCTCAACTTACAATATATTACACAAATATCATTACTTTTATATTACATCGTACTAATAGGGTATTTTTGTCTTTTTTTTACTACAATCCAATATAATACTAATATTTAAAAATTTATGTGCAAAAATCAAATATCACCTTTCCAACAGAACGGATGAAGTATTTTAAGAACAATTATATATTGTATATATCATTATAATATGTGACTGGAGACTATGCTAGCATCATAACCAACCATGCATAGTGATTTGGACGACAAACTAGGCAGCTCTGCAAACCGCTGCAGCTAGCAACAAAAGCTGCACGATTTTTTTTAAATTTAAAACATATATACAATTAAATTATTTTATTTATTTAATATTTACAATAATTATAGGTTAAAAAAATGTATACAATGTATATGTTATTTTGTGTAGATGATAAAATTTTCTATAATACAAATAAATAAAAATTTAAAAATATTTATGTTGAATATAATATAAATTAATAATCAAATCATACCACTATTAATTTTTTATTAATTAAATTTAATACATACTTATATCATTATATTCACTATTCATCAAATCAATATATATTAAAATTCTTCAAACTCAAACCAAACTTACACATAAAAAAAAAACACAAAAATTTAAACATATTTTAAAATTCAAATAAAAATAAAAATCAAACTCAAAGCCAAATTTCCCCGAACAGATTTGAAGAAACACACCCATAATTTTTATTATGTCATAACTTGTGAGGGCTAAATTACATTTGTCTTTACAACCAACCACTAAAAATTCAAAGGCATCCCAATAAAACAGCATCTCCCCATCTAAATAGTGCACATTTGTCACATTTTTATCACTTTATCAGCACCCCCATAGCCAACATAACCCTTTTAGTTCCTATATTTTTTCTACAATTTTTTTAAACTATTAAAACTATTATTATCATCATTATTTAGTGAAGATATTCATCCACACAACCTTAAATTGAGACCTCATAGACAAGCCTTCATGTCTTTCTTCCTATTCCCTCATTAACCTCAAAAAACAACATTCATTCAATCCATGCATGGCAGCCTGTGGCAGCTTAGAACACATTTTTGAGAAGCCATTGCAGCCTGAAAATCCAACCCTTCTTGAACCCATCTCCCCATGGAACCACATCAAATCGATCGATTCGTCGTCCTCGTCGCCGTTTTCCGAATTATTCGAAAAATTGCATTTTAAAGGTACCAATGCTGATGGTGATGCACCTCCTCCTCCATCATCATTGTCATTGTCATTGACATTGTCGTTGTCATCTTCGAAAAACTCATCATCGTCGTCGTCCTCATCAATGTCCTCTCCCTTCCCTCAATCCCGAGACAACCTCAACGACGACGACGACGAGGGGCAGATCGCGGCAGGACAACATGGGAGGCTACAAAGTTTCCCCTCCATGAATTCTGACAGGCTCTCTCTATGCACCGAAGGGCTCGGATTCGAGAGCTTCGACGCTGTCGAGGATTTAATCTACAACGGCGACAACGACAACAACAATGTATGTAATGATAAGAGCAAGGATAGACAAGATGAAGAGGAGACAAGAAATTATGGTGTAAGAAATCCTCTTAGAAGATCAAGAACACATCAAGAAACATCATTCCCACCTCCCATTTCTTGCATTGGCAGCCATGGCAAGCCTTGGGTGTGCTTCAAGCCGTATCGTCGCGAAGGTCGATTTATCCTTAAAGAAGTTAGGATTCTTACACAAGAATTCTTACACGCCTGCCGCGACAACGGTCGCCTGAGGCTTCGGTTTGTCTCTAGCAATGAATTCGATGATGGCGTGGAAGAAGAAGACGGCGACGATGATGAAGACGACGACGAGGAGAAAATTATCGAGGCAGAGAACGAAGGAAATGAGAATAAGCACATAGAGACAGGAGGATTTCTTCAAGTATGATACATCATTTTGATCATTTTTTATTTATTTTTTTTTTTTTCATATTCAGATTTCTGCAAATAAAATTGATTTTATGTTTGGAGTAATGTTCATCTTTTTCTTCAATTGATACAGATGATGTGTAAAGAAGATTTTTTATGGAAATAATGAATTGTATAGTTTACTTTTTTTTTTCATGTATTTTAATAATTCAATTCTTTTATTGTTGTTTAAATACTATTTTTATCATTTGACGTGATATTTTATAAAATATATATATATATGTTTTTATTGGGAATCCTATAGTAGGAATAGTGTTAGATAATCGGTTTGAAATAACAATCAAACACACCCTAGCACATTCAATTTTCTACACGGGATAAACAATATTTAACAATAATAAATTTATGTTTAGAATATTAATTTTTTAATATATATCACTCTCTCACTCAAAACAATAGTATCATTTTTGTTATTTTCGTCGTCATAAAATTATAGTTTCATTTCTAATTTTTTTGTAACTAACTCCTTACTTTTTTACAAAATTATCTCAATTTTTTCACAATAATACTACTTCTTCCGTCCTATTGAAATGTTACCATTTTTCATTTTCGTCCATACCAAAACAATGTTACAATTTTCTAATTTAGTAATTGTACTACCTACTTAACATAATAAATATCCTTTCAACTTACAATATATTACACAAAAGTCATTACTTTTATATTACACCATACTAATAGGGTATTATTGTCATTTTTACTACAATCTAATATAATGCTAATATTCAAAAATTTACGTGCAAAAAACAAATGTCATCCTTCCAATGGGGGATGAAGGGAGTATTATTTTTTAATTCTTTATTGTTTTGGGACGGATGGAGGATATTATTAAAAAAAAAATGAATTATATGGGGTCTCATAAATCCGTCAACTAATCAAAAATTAGAAAGTAGTATAAACTTAAATATATAAATTATATATTTATAAAGATAATTTACATAAAAAATAAAAGAACTGTAATTATTTAAAATGATATTGTATATTTTTTTGTGTGTGATTAAACTTAAAAAATAAACCTTAGTAATAGACCTAACCTGTTTTTTAATGGAAAAATTATCACGTAACAAATTTATTTTTCAAATAATAATTTTATTATATAAAAGTATAGAATAATATTAAAAATAAAAATAAATTAATTGAAATTTTACAGGTAGGTCCCATATATCTATAAAAAAAAAAAAAAACAAAAACAAAACAAAACAAAGCAAAAACAATAAGGGTGTGTTTGGTCGTAGAGTTTTGGTTTTGAATAATAAAATTTTATATTGAAATAGTTGTTTGATGTAATATAAAGATATATTGAGTTGATATTATGAATGTAAAAATAAATTTTAGTGTAATATAAATAAATAAATAAATATTTAGTTTGCTATATTTTGGAGAAAACTTTTTTAGAATAGTAAAATTAAAACCAAATTTTACAAAAACAACCACACCCTAAAATTCTACAATATTATTTTTGTGGTACATCCTTCTACCATATCATTGTTATTAAAAACTAAAGATTAACCTTATTTATAGCTGAAAAAGAAAAGACTTACGTATTCTATTTCTTGTGTGAAACAATCAATATGTGATATATTTATTTTAAAAATATTATTTTTGTAACATATAAATAGATAATAATATTAGAATGAAAAAAATTTAATTTGAATTGTATGTGCATTTTCATAAATTCATCAATAAAAAAAAATATATATATATAAAATAATAATAATAAAAAAAAAAAGACAATGAAAGTTTGCCAACAAAATAAAAGACAGCCATATGAACTAAAATCACACTTTTATTACACAAACTCACAACATAACTTGGAACCAATACGGATATTTTATATATATATATATATATTATCCGACACACTTACATACACACGATATCTCGCCGTTTGATTTAGAAGGGCGATCGATATATAAGAATAGAAGGTTTCACTTACGACTTATTCTTACACGCATCCAAATTCAAATCCAAATTCAAATTTAAATTCAAATTCGATCCATCGATCATGACATCGTCATATCAGGTGGTGTGGTGGGCTTCGATGTCATTGGTGATATTAATTGCGAGTTCCAAATAGGAAATGGGGTCGGCAACGTCTTCACTTACCTTCTCGTACTGTACGGTCCAAGTGACGACATGATCATCCCCGTTGGTGTCGACATGAATGCAGGAAGTGAACTCCTTGTACTTCCCCAGAATGTCTCCCTCGTCTACCTTGAACTTCACCAGCTTCTTCTCCTCGTCGATTTCTTGGATCACCACTTTCATGCTCTCTTTCTTCCCATCTATATATTTCATTTATTTATTTTCACACAACACCAAGATTCAACGATCGATCGACGAAATTAAATTATTAATTACTCCTTCCGTCCATCCCAGCAAAAGTAAGTCCTTTTGGTTAGACACACCATGTTATTGATGTTTTAAATATTTTTAAAATTATATCTCAATAAAACATATATGCAATATCACAGTCATTTTATAAATAATAAAATTTTATATAATACAAATAAATATATTTATTTATAATTAAAATTTAATTAAATTGATTTATATTTCTTAACTATGGTTAAATATAATAAATTTACTTAAAAAAATTATCTTTTATGAGATAAAAAAACAATGTGTCATATGTGAGGACGGAGTTAGTATTAAAAGATAATACTCCCTATGTCTCGGCTACCGTGTCCTCTTTACCATAGATACGAAAATTTAAAAGATCTATAATTAGTAAATAATTATAACTTTAGATTAATATTAAATAACCTTAGATCTATCATATAATAAAAATAACCTTAGATTAATATTAAAATAACTAGTTAGTATAATCAAAATTAAAAAATATATATAACTTAAAAATTTTAAAATAAAATTATAAAATATATAATTGTTTAAAAAAAATAAAATAAAAGAACATAATAAATAAGACATACGAAAATTAAAAAAAATTGACACAATAGGTAAGACGGGATGGAGCGGGTATATATATATATATATGTACGTACCGTGAGTGTACTCCCAGAACAGAACAGATCCAACGGTCCCAAATTCTCCCTCGTGTACATCGCAGCTATGAATGTGATCAGGGGCAATATCGGAAATTTCATGTGGCTTGTTTCTGAACAGTTCATGGAAGATATCGCCATGGCATCTGATCTCTTTTTCTGCAACCAGCTTCCCTTTCAGACCCATTTATCTTTTCTTTTTTTATTTTTTATAATTAATTTCAACCAACAATATATATAATATTAAACAGATAAATACAAAGTATATATTGCTGAATTGATGAGTTAAAGAACCTCCCAATCCATGATTTATATAGAAACCAGATGCACCTTCTCCTTCTCAATAATTGCCCTATTTATTTTATGTAATAATAATAAAAAAAAATAATTTGGTCATATCATAAACTCAATTATTGATAATAATATAGGTCGTGACAATGTTATCTGAGATACAGCTCGATTTTATTTATTTATTTATTTATTGGATGCTATTAATTTGATAGAATCAATTAGCAGTTGGCTGGCATAGTTTTGGAATGAGTCCTTATTAGTGATAACAAAAAATTAATTAGATCAATAGAGCTGTGTGACATAACTACTGTTGGTTTACTTTGAGGAAATTAATCAGTTGAAAAATATTAAGTATGAAGATATATATATATATATATATATAGGGTTTTATTCAAATTATTATACAAAGGTGAGAAATTTAAATTTAATTAGTGAGTATTTTAAGTTTAAAAGAAAAAAAAAAAAAGTTGAAATCGTAACATAGCCAATTAATTTATAATTTTACATTGATTTGAATAAATTTTATTTAAATATATTAATATGTTTATAAAAATGCCTCTTGTATGTTTAATTAAAATAGTACTTAAGCAATGATGTGATGTATGAGAAAATTAGTTAATATGTAACACTAACATAAACTTGTTAGGTTTGAATTTAGATTTAATTTTTAATTTAAATAATATTTTGAAATTAAAAAATAAATAAATAAAAAATAAAAAAGGTTTGACAAAAAAATCATACCAAATGAATAGTACAAATTTTGATTTGAAAACAAATCTAAGTCGCGTAAAAAATGAATTTGTTCATTTAGCATTTTTTTTAATGAACGATTCATATAAATGTTACTTTTTTCGTCCTCCTTAAATTGTCTCATTTTACTTAATCACAGAGTTTTAGGTATTGTATAATTAGTAAATAATTAAAAATATATATATTAGTAAAAAAATAATTATAATTTAATAAAAATAATTATAAATTAAGATTAAGATAACTAAAGAGTTTAATTAAAATAGAAATATATAAATTAGGAAATTTAAAATGTGATTAAAGTGTATAATTATATTTCTAAAAAATGAAATAACAAATTATATATGACGACAGAAATAAAAATAAATAAATAAATTAAGTGAGATGAAAAGAATAGTATTAAAATAATTATAATATATATTTTCACATAATATATATTTTATCAACTCACTTAAGTTAAAAATTTAACATAAAATATTATTTATTATATTATCTACCAACACAATTCTCCTTCCCTAATATAAAAAAACTAATTCATCCAAAAAATACAAAATGAACATCCCAATGAATTTGTTTGGTTTTAATTTATAATTGAGTTTTCTTTTTAATTTTTCATTTAAATATTCTTTTATGTGATATTTTATGAAATAATCTAATATACTTTTTTATTAAAAATCAATGAATTGAATAATAAAATTTTGCTTTTGAAATCAAGACCATACAACCCCATATTTTTCATGAAACTTAGAAATAATTTCTTAAAAATATAGGAGTTTGTATATTGGGATTTATTTTTCAATTCAATTATTGAAAATATTATGGTGTGTTTGTTTTATGATTTTGGATACATGCATTTTTTATATTAAATTCGATGAATCATATCGACAATGTAAAAAATAATATTTTGTATTGAATTTTTACAGTCCATTTGCGTTCTTTTCCTTACCTGGTGAATTTTTTGTGAGTTAATAAAAGTTTTAATATATTATATTTTTTTCGTCCGACCAATTTCATATGGTATATTCTCGATGCTGGATTTCAAGGAGTGGTATAATTACTATATTAATTAAAAATATTTATAAATTAAATTAAAATAACTAGTTAATTTACTAAAACTAAAAAATTATAAATTGTTAAATTTAAAATATAATTAAATTATATATTTAAAAAATAAATAAATAAATGAGACGGATCAAAATTAAAAAATAAATAAATTCAACAAATTATGGTGAAATATGGGGTCTCTAGTGTATGATTATGTTTATATATTACTTCTTCGATTCTACTTAATTTGTCAATTCTTTCAATTTTTGTTCGTCCATCTAATTTGTCGTTTTCTTTTATAAAAATATAATTATACACTTTAATAACATTTTAACATTCTTAATTTAATTTTTTAAAATTAAATTATTTGATAATTTTAATTTTAATATATAATTATTTTTACTAATACAATTTTTAGTTACTTACTAATTACATCATTCCTAAAAGTTTGTGCCTAAACAAAATGAGATAATTTAAATAGAACGAAAATAGTATATTTTTTTAATAAAATTTATCAAAAATTATATTATTAAAAAATAATTGGATGAAATTTCAATATTTAAGTTTTATTACATTTAATTTTTATTTTTAAATATTTTAATAATAATTTTATTATAAAATATATAGTATTTTTTCAACCATTCAAATTTATTCCTTTTTTTTTTATCATCCAACTTTTTTTTCTGTTTTTTCCTAAAAAAACATATCATTTAAGGTATGTTTGTTTGAGGGTTTGAATTTTGAGTTGGGATTTAAATAGTAAAAATTTTAAATTTAAATAGTTGTATGATGTGATATAAATAGGTATTGATGTGATGTTTTGAATGTAAAATTGATTTTTAGTATAATATAAAAAATAAAAAATGTGTGTTTGATTTGATATTTTTTGAAAAAAAAATGAGATAAACAGTAAAAATTAAAACTAATCCCCCAAACAAACACACTCTTATTTTACTCTATTTATACAAAATACATATTATATTATTATCTATTTTTATTAAAATTCGTGTCCGATCAAAATAATTTTACATCATGCACACACTATATATAAATAAGGAACACGCACAACACACCAAGTATGTAACCTTCAATGATTTTGTCAGACATTTATAATTATACGATAGGACAGTAGACAATATATTACTTTCTGTATTTTTAATGATATTAATAATAATAATTTACAGATATGACTTGGATTGGATTGAGATGGAACCATCTAACGGTTGAAAATAAATATAATAATAATAAAATATTGAATATTATAAATAGGGGACTAGTATTCGTAAATGTGAGTGTTTACTTTTTTGTGCAATCATATTATTATATACTACTCTTTCCTTTCTATATATTAGTATCTATTAGACTGTAGAAACGGTATTTTTTAAAAAGGATATAATTAGTATATAATTAAAAATATATTAGTGATAATAATTATTTTATAATATAAATAATTATAAATTAAAATTAAGATAACTAATTAGTTTAATTAAAATTAATAAAATAAATTAAAAAGTTTAAAATGAGATTAAAATGTGTAATTATTTTCCAAAAAAGAAAAGTGACATGAAATGTGGGATAGACAGAAATGGCAATGTGGACATAATATGTGGGACGGAGGGAGTACAATAATTATATTATTTTAATGAATTATATAGTTACATAATAAAATAATTTATATTTAGATTAATTTATTATTATATAAAATTAGTAAAAGATATATTTCTTTTGATGAATTGAAAGAAAAAAATTGATTTGAATTTAGAATTAAAATAATGTAGATGTTCTGTGATATGAAAAAAATGTATTTCCTTCCTCCTATAAATTAAGTATTCAAACGTTTTTTGTGCAAAATTTAAATTTTATGAATATTAGTATTATATTGATGTGTAGCAACAATAAAGTTAAAAGAATAAAAGTAATTTTACTAGTTTTGTATATATAGAGTATTTGTATAATATATTGTAAATTGTAATGATATTTTTAATGTTAATTAAATAATATATTTATTTAAAAAAATATTTTATTCTGAAATATACCAAAATAAAAAAATAAATAATTTGTTAGAGACGAAAGAAATATTTTTTTCGAGAAATGCAAAATCACACTAATAGAAACCTAAGATCTGGAAAAGCAAACCCTAACTTTTTAAAATATTTTTAGTTATATAATAAAATAATATTAAATTTGTTATTAATATTAAAAAAAATACGCAGCTACCAAGATCAAATGACATTCTTACGGTCACAAATCTATCGTAGGTCATTTTTTTTATAATATTTTAGCATTTCTTTTGTTCGACTACAAAATAAATATTTACTTTTTATATAAAATTTAAAAATAATAATATTTTTATTACAGTGAGTAACTAAAAGTAATATAATAATATTTTTGCTATTGACTTTTGGTATAAAAATAATAATGTAATATAAAATAGAAATATTTTTTCAAAAAAATAAAATATTTAATGAAATAATTATTTTGTAAAGTCGAGAGGAAAACAGCCCAGATCTTACGCTAAGGTCTTAGACAACAACAAAAATGAGACTAATAAGTTTTAGTTATCCTATTATTATTATGTTGAATTTTATTATATTGCGAGCTATAATAATATCAATATCCATAAAATACAAAAATAACACAAATTCTTATTAAAAACATGTGTTGTTTTGTGAGACTATATCATATATTGTGTGTGAGACTATATCAAATTTTTAATTTCAAAATAGATAACATTAATATTTATTTATATCGTATTATACAACTATTCAAATTTTAAATTTTTACTATTTAAATATCAAATTAAAATTTAAACCCCCAAACAAACTAGTTTGTTTGTTTTTTAGTTAGGGTTTGTTTGTTTTTTAGTTTTGAACCAAAATCTTTATTATTCAATTTATACTATTGTTAAAAAATATTTATTATTTTTATTTTAAAATACTATATTAAAATTGTATCCCAATAAAAATTTTAATATAGATCTGGCCCACGGAGTATAATCTAACCAGCTCCGGAAAGCTCAATATGGCAAGCCCAATTAAGTCACTTTTCAGGGGCGTCTGTTTGAAAGATTTTGGAAAAATTATCCCATTCATACAAATTTTTTTTGCTCAAATATTAAATCAAATATTTATTTTTTATTTTTTTATATTATATTAAGAATCAATTTTACATTCAAACTTTAAAAAATCGCGACCGATGGCTTAATTGGAAAACCATGCATGAAGTAGTTTGTTCAAAGGGTTCACAACCTCCTTAAAAATGGATCCGGACTATCTTGCGATGTAAAAAAATTAATGTAAAAAGAAGACAAAATAAAGCTAGTAAAACAAGAACGAAGTTGGAATTAATTAAAGGCAAAATTGACCATAACTCCACTATGATTTCGAAACTCAGGGTAAATTCTCATTTTCTTTAAAAAATTGTATGGCGTTCCCTTATATTTTAAAAAATATTGCATGAAACTATTCTGTAGTTTCGAAACTCGGCGTAAATCCTCGTTATATTTTAAAAAATTGCATAATACTCCATTTACACTTTAAAAAATATTGTATAAACCCAAAACATATAGATAGAAAATTATTTTCTCATCACACATAAAAGGTTTCAGGTAGTGGAGTTCATGCAATGTGTTTTAAAGAATAATAGGGTATCATGCAATTTAAAGTATAAAGAGATTTTAGTTATGAGTAATTTTGCTTTAATTAAATAAAACTGTAAAAATCTAGAGAAAATATAGAAAAAATTATGCAAAAATATCATTACACCATTTTTAACTACACACTATAATTAAAATACTATTATTTTTTAAATACCGTGCCAAAAATAAATGTATAGATTGTAAGTGGACGAAGAGAGTATTTTATTTCATTATTCTGCATTTGGATCAGTCCAATTGCAATAGATTTTTATCGAAGTAATTAAATATAAAATCGTTTATTGTAATAGTTCCATTTTGAACCAGTTGTGTATCAGATTTTATTGTGAGACAAAATATGAATCCTTTTTTGAAAAAGTTGAAGGATCCAATTAACTTTGTTTTTTTTATAGATCTAAATCCGTTGGGCCAGCATGAATAGATTTTTGCAACAACAAAAATACCACTCCTTTCGTCCGCCTCTAAGGATCATATTTACTTTTTGCCGTCATTTTACTTAATATTAAAAATATCTTTATATTTGTATAGTTTTTTTTTTTTTTTTTTTTAACAAATGTTCTTCTATTAGCATTATAAGACACTAATAAAAATATTTTTGTAATTTTTTAAAAATTTATAATATGTTTTAATATAATAATTAATATTCAAATATTAATACACAAAAAATAATAAGACTCTTGAATCGAACGGATGTAGTATTTAAGTTAAAATTTAATCAATGACCAAACAAAGCCCGATATTTAATACTTAATTGAATAGTTTTGTTGTAATGCATATGTTTTTATAGAAAATAATAAGAATTGAACGAAAGAAGTTGAAATCAAAATAAAAAAGTAAAAATAATAAATAATAAAAAAAAAAGAACGTTAAGATTATTTTAGAAATAAAAGTAAAAAAAATAATTATGCTTTCACCATTTGTCTCATAACTAACGTTATATATTTTATTTACATTCGTTATGCTTCTTATGTCATTTAAAAAATATATTTAATTTAATTGTATTTTAAATTTTATGATTTATAGTTTTTAAATTTTAATTAAATTAATTAATTTTTTATTTTAATTTATAAGTATTTTTATTATATTATAATTTTAATTATTTATTAATTATATTCCCGGTAAATTTTTGTACGTATGATAACCGTGGAGTAGTAATTTGTTAATTACTGTTTTGACTCTGTCGGAATAAGCTGGACCGGGCTGGAAGGGATTGGACCGGGCTGGGTATAGTAATATTACTAATGAAATGGAGAGAAAAAACACATAAATAGACAAGTATATAGAGAAGTGTAGAACTTTCCAGACTGTTTGAATTGGATTTGGTTCATTTGGATTGGATTTGGAACTATTACCATGTAGTTTCTCTTCAAAACCTTACAACTAAGCATTTGGCTAGGTTTAATTAAATTTTTTGATTTTTTGATTTTTTTTCGAAAATTTGACATTATTTATTTTTTTATTTTTTATAAAAATATAACATTAAATATTAATTTTTTACTATTTTTATACTTTCACAACTTAAAAGATTTGTGTCTAGCAATATTTTTAGTTAACTCTCTCTTTGAACATCAATCTCTGTTTTTTTTTGTTTGTTTGCTAAAAAAAATATATATATATTTTTTTTTTATAACCACGATGAATAATATTAAGTAGGATAATTTAAAAATTAAATTATATGATAAAAGAAAAAAAAATGTTTATTTGTTATTACTTATGTCATTCTAATTTTTTTATTTTTTTTATCTTAATTTATTCTTATTTTATTTTTAATAAAAAAAAATCAGTTCTTCTATTTTTTATTTACACTAAAAAAATAAAATTTTTTATTTTTATTCATTTTTTACACGGACACAATTGGATGAATGACTGAGATTTAAGACATAAAAAAAAATATTGCACAATATTTGAAATCGGAAGAAGTATCTTTACTTTTATTTATAAAGTATCAAAACTATTTACACATTTAATTTTTAATTTCATATTAATTCTCACTCCATTCTGGCAAGAGTGTTTAAAAATTTTAGAATTTTAAAATTTTAAAAATAAATAAATAGATGTTGATGTGATGTTTTGAATATAAAATTGATTTTTTAGTATAATATAAAAAATAAGTATTTGATTTGGAAGAAAAAATGAAATTAGAAGTGAAAATCCAATCCAATCCCCCAAACAAACACATCCTTAGGAAAAAAAAAAAAAAAAAAAGAAATAGTGACAAATCTCCAAAATTATTGTGTAAACATATATTTTTATTTCAATTTACCCTTTCATTATTTCCAAAAACCATAAAATCACAGCCGGTGTTGGACCACCCCCTAAACACGTAGAGCCTTGAAGCAATGCCCAATTGAAATTAGAATTATAGTTAGTAGTAATTAAGATGAAACCGATACGCTTCTTAGGAGGGGCAAATTCATTTAATGTGCGCATTAAATAAACAAACATTTTACTTTTTCTTATACGTTTTACAAAAACATTTTTATTTTTTTATATTCAATTTAATCAAATTATCATATTCTAAAATAAAAAATAATGAATTAATAATATAAACTAGAGAGGAAGCTACTAGCTAGTCAGTACTACTTCAATCCAAAAACACAAAAAGTTAATCGGCAACGGAAGAAGAAGATCAAAAGGTAAATCCAAAACCGACACTGTAATTCCATTTTGCTTTCAAATCAAATCTCAAAACACTCATAGAGAGAGAAGGATTGGATGAGCAACACAGAATCGGCAGATTCATTCATTCAGTAATTCTTTCATTCACATACCTACACAGAGAGGAGAATAGAGAGTAGATTAAAAGTTAGGAGAGATTTTTCTTGCCAGGACGATCCGCCGCTTTCAGAGTCTTCGCGATTAGTTGCTTCGCCTTCCGGCTGCGGATCTCAACCTTAACGCTCGCACTCTTATCCATCTTCACGTACGGTTTCTTCGATTTCTTCAACGACCTGACCTTCGATTTGATCGATTGCACCAAATTCTCCAGCTGAATCGCCATATATATATATATATATATCTATATACCTATATTTACGTATATATATACGCTCGATTACTTTTACCTGTGCGTAACTGAATTTGAGGAATTCGGTTTAGCTAGATTGCAGGTGAAGCGCTAAATGGAGGAGTAGCTGAGCCTCGGACATGGAGGCTGTGGAAAAATTGCAGAGCGTGAAAATTTTGGAAGGGAAGATTGGGGAAATGTAGAGAGAGAGAGAGAGAGAGAGATTTTGGCATTGGTGCGGTATTTATGATAGGAAGATGGGAGACTGACCTGACCTACTACGGGTCCTGGAGTGGAGTACGGACACAAAACACATCTCAGCCGTTAATTTATTTATAGTTAACTATATCAACGGTCTGTATTCATCTGGACCACGTGGTTACAGGGCTGCCAATACTAGCGTGGTGTGGATGGTTGGCCATAAGTTTGGGGCCGGAGTAGACTTGTCAAGCCTATATATGGTTTTTGGAATATTATTATAAATAAATAAAGAAATAAATTTACTGCACTTCGTCAAACTATTTTCTTTTTTTTATTATTTTATAATAAAATTGTATTTTAGAATATAGTATTTTTATAATAATAATAATAATAATAATGTATTCTCTGTTTGGGATATGGATGAAGGAAAATAGGAATCATATTTATTACTACAATAAATTTGTAGTTATAACATCAGTAGTCAGTACAAGTACATGGGACTAAAGTATTAATATTATATTTAATAGGACTTTATTAATGATTCTTGTTTAGTTAAGGCAATGGTATAATTTTGTTCTCATATATTAACAGGTTTAATATTTTTTTAGTTAGTATCATTTTAATAAAAGTATGCACCATGTCACAAAAATACATATATATATATATATTTTTTATTTGATCGGATATGAGTTTTAAAAAAATTAAATAGACATAAAAGGAAAAAAATCCTTTTAAGATAAGAAAAATAATATTTGATTAGATACGAGTTTAAAAAAAATAGATAAACATAAAAGGAAAAGAAATTTTTTAAGATAAAAAAATAATAATAATAATATATTTTAACTGAGAAAAAAAAAACTGAAATAAATTTAGATAACAATAAAAAATGAAGATAAATTTAGCCGACGGAAGGATTAATACATATATTAAAAAAAAAATTAGGATATATATTTAAATATTTTAAAAATTATATATACATAAAATATATGAATATAGATATCATTTTATAAATAATACTTCTTCCGTCCCACTTCTTATGTTCACCTTTCCATTTTTCTCCATCTCACTTATTGTCACTTTCATTTTTTGGAAAAGAATTATACACTTTAATCTTATTTTAAAAAATTTAATTTATAATCTTTTTTAATTTTAATTATAGTAATAAGTTATCTTAATCTTAATCTATAATTATTTTTATTATACACTAATACATTCTTAATTATTTATCTCAAACAGACTCGCAAATTGCGCATACAATGTGTATGTTATTATCACTTCAATTAACAAGATAATATTAACAAAATATAAATGTATGAAAGAAGTTTGTTTATTCAGTTCGGTTGTAAAAATCTATTATGGAGGAATATCAATTCAGACCAGACTTTACTATCCCGAGTAGACCATTAACATGATATAAATCCTCTTCCAACATCGACTCAAATTGTCTCACGATTACTTGACCCAATAAAACTCAAACATGTGTCTATCGGACATTTTGAATTGTTCCGCACCAAATAACTTCTCAATGTCGCAACATCAACATTTTCATCGACATAATGTAATTTGATATTCAATCCATCAAGTTCTTCATCCAAGAATAAACTTGAATAATTTTATAAAAATAATATTCTTAAGGAACTCAATTTGTGTCACATAGATTTCCTCAATTAAAATGATTTCCATCTAGTTTGGACTCTACTCTCTCAATACTCCCAAATACACACTAATTCACGTTTGAATTTTTGTAACAGTTGTATAATGTAATATAAATAACTAGATGTGATGTTTTGAATATAAAATTAATTTTTGATCATATTAATCTCCATGCTGGATCCAAATGGACTAATTTTAGGGGACGAAGAAAGTATCTAGCATGTAATAATAAGCCGAAAACAAATTTTATATAATCATAAGTAATATTAATAATAAAATAATTACTATTTTTATTTTAAAATCAAATTACATAACACACTAAATAATTGGAAAAAAAAAAAGAAAAAAAATCATATTGTGGGAGTGTTGAGTCTAGTCAAACTTATATCACATTTGACATTGCCGCCATATATCTTGATAGCAAATATATATATATATATATATATATGTATCATAATTAAGAAATGGCAATGGTTTCATAGTGAGACTTGAAAATTTATCCTTGATACGACTCGTTTTTATTGATTATATTTGATTTGATTATTCAAGTATTGAATTGAATATGGGTCTATCCAAGTTTAGGGTTGGTTTGGTTTGCTGTCCAAATAAATTTTTTTTTATTTAGTTGATGAGATTTTTAATAAAAAAATATATTATTTTATTTTTTAAATATTGTTTAAAATAAAATAAAATAAAATATTACATCAAAACCAAAAAAAAAAAAAAAGAAGGAAAAATTAGAGTCAAGATTTGACAGCCAAATTGAAATGTGAAAATGGTGGCCAGTCAGTCAGTCATATGCATAAACCTGAAAGCAGTTACATGATGAACAAATTAATAGGAATACAAATTTCAGACTTATCTCCAAATTGTCAAGTCAAAAATTGCAAGTTTAGGGTTTGTTTGATTGGGATTTAAAATTGGGGTTTAATTTTATTTTAATTTTTAATTTAATTTCCAACCCTTAACAAAAACATATTTTAAGTCACAAACATTTTTCTTTTCTTTTTTTTTTTTTTCGTAAATCAAATAGTTATTTTTGTTGGTCTAAAGTATATTGTTAAGCATTTTATGTGTGATAAACCTGGCGTGATAAGCCTTCCCAGCATGAAATGAAATTGAATTTTGACTCAGGCCACAACAACAATTTTGACTATAAGAACTGCTCTTTTTTTTTTTTTTTTTTTTTTTTTTAGAGGTACTCTCACATACGTGGGGAGTGTTTTAAGATGTTATTATTTTGAATTTTTATTTATTTTTTTGGATTTAATTTTTAAATGTTGTTTTAATATAATATTTCCTTAGTCTACTTTTAATGTTCATATTTACTTATTTATTTGGATATTAATTATTATATTATTAAAATATAAGTATGAATTAAGAAAAAAAATAAAATATTTATACTAGTATTTTATAACATATGTATAATGATATTTATATAATAAATTATGCAAATGTAAAATTTGCACAGAGGGAATATTTTATAAAAATAAAGAGTATATTTTAGAAAAAATAATAACAATTAAATGAAAAATACTCTCTCCGTCTTATCTAATTTGTTCCAATTATAATTATAATTAATCAATTTTAGTAGCATTAAAAAAAAAAAAATTATCAATTTTAATCTTAATATAATTAATTTTAATCATTTTTTTTTGGCATATTCATACAAAATTAACAATCAGCGCTGACATGGACATAAGTAGTTGTGACGTAAGATTGATTTGTAACAATAGGGTTACACGGCTACGTTCAACAAAAACATGGCCATGTAAATTTTGTAAGAATGTAACAAAAAATGATTGAAATTAATTATATTTGGACTAAAATTGATAAATTTTTTATTACGAGATCAAAATTAATTAATTTTAATTACAATGAAACTAGTTTTGATTTTTTTTTTCACTTTTATTTATAAAATATATATATATATTGAAAAAAATTGAAAATATCCTGTGTCTAATTCTCTGATTTAAGATAGATAGATAGATATATATAGTCCAACGCTTATGTGTCGCGAGATGCCGTTGGTGCCACTGATAGCAAATCTTCTCGTTTTCAGGCCCACGCTGCAGCCCGCGTCTCAATACAATGCCCATTGCTCTCTCTCTCTCTCTCTCTCTCAGTCTCAGGAAGCAGATTTGCTTCTGATGAGAGGTGAGACGGATGCTGCTGTTGCTGCTCACTGTTGCGGATTGAAATCCTTGCCTGCCTGCCTGCCTACATGCTGCCTTTTTTATTATTTGTCTTCCAATGTTCCTATTTATATACTCCATGTTTAGTTTAGATTCTGTATTGGTTTTCCCGATTTCGTGTTGAATGGATTGTGTTGCAAATTTGAAGGATTTGATCCTGGATTATTATTATTATGACTTCTTCGGATGTGGTTTTTTCCGGTTTGGTTGCTTTAACCAGGTTTTAGGCCTGTTTTTGCTGTTCGCCTTTGGTTTGAACATTTTGTGTTCAGGCAGATTTTCCAGGTGCTTGATTCGGTGTTTATGGTGTTTGGGAGGGAAATCAGGGGGAGGACTGAAGAGCAGTAGATTGTGTTCCAACGTTGCTCTGGATCTGGATAGGGAAAATGTCGAATCCTTGGAGAAATCGTCCTTGTTAGATAAGGTTGGGGAAGCAATCGAAGAATTAAACCCTAGCGAAGCATCTGGTGAAGAATTAGATATCGGGAATGGCGATTGGGAAAGCGGACACACCACCGATAAGAAATTACCATCTGATTCAGAGCTATCTACATTGAAAAGACTGATACAGATTGAGAGGCAAAGAGCCAATGCGGTGCGTGAAGATCTCGCCAAAGAAAGGTCATCTTCCGCCATTGCAGCTAAGGAAGCCATGGCAATGATATTGCGGCTTCAGAGCGAAAAAAGCTCCATCGAATTGGAGTCAAGGCAGTACAAAAGATTAGCAGAGGAGAAACAAATCCACGACCAACAAGTCATCAGATTACTGCAATTGCAGGTGTGGAGGAACGAGTCGAAGACGAGGTCACTGGAAGATCAACTGAAACTGTGCAGGCAAAAATTAATGTGTGCTGATCAAAGCACTGCAAATGCAAAAGTCGAGGAAGCTCCGAGCAGCTCCTTCAATGGCGGTATTCGTGAGGCTCCCGAAAATGTGCTGTATAGCTCACGCGAAGCTGCCTTATCCCCTGAGTAAGCTCTTGTACCGCCATTACATATATGCTTAAGCATTTCTGCATCATTGCAATGGTGGGGTGGGGACGTACATAAATGGAATATACCAAAATTGCTTTTACTAAAAGATTCTTCTGATAAGAACAGAATCAATAATATATATGTATTATTAACAACGCCATTTTCTAAAGCCAAGAAAGGTTTCCTTCTAAGTAACTTAAGTGTGGCTTTCACCATGTTTTCTTCAGTAGAATTGCTGCTTTCTTTCTTTTTCAAAATTAACAAACACATACATAGTTGATCATGAAGATTTGATGCAGATTCAACATATACATGTATATAATAGTAGTAGTATGTTTTATTTGTTCTAATTTGCAATCTTGCACTGTTGGTTGAATTCAACAAGAGAGAGAGATATGATGTGGAGCCCATCCATCTCCATTGTTGTTGGCCTTTCCTTGTTGCCAACGGCATTTTATTGGTTAGATGAGATCTCAAAAGTATCTCATTAAACAGTTAGAATGGATGCTGAGTATGGGTTGTAGATGTGCTTGTGCAAAATTCAATAATGGGCTTCTTTCCAATAATGAATTAAGGTTGGGAGAATGAATACATGATTGTATTGCATGATTGAAGAAGAATTAAAGAAAGTGTAATGTAATATTATTGCATTGCATTGTAATTATAACAATCAATCATCTACAATTTCCGAGGTATTGGTATTGGTATTGGTATTGGTAAGTCTAAAGTGATGCCGTTGCCCGTGGATGTGTCACTCATTTCATGCACATAAGGAGGCTTCACAGATCATATTATGGCTCTATTAACACATTTAGGGTGTGTACGTTTGTAGGATTTTGATAAAATTCTATTATTCATTCAAAAATTTTCCCCTCAAAATATCAAAGCAAATATCTATTTTTCATTTTTTATATTATACTAAAAATTAATTTTATGTTCAAAACATTACATCAATACCTATTTATATCACATCGTACAACTATTCAAATTCAAAATTTTTACTATTCAAATTCCAATTCAAAATCCAAACCCCCAAACAATTTTTTTTAATTCATTTAATACTATTTATTTTCGGAAAAACATCGTATTAAATATACTCATTTGATTATGGCTTCACAGATCATATTATGGCTATGTTTATACAATTAATTTTTTATTCATTTTAAGAATAACATCCCCTAAATATATATTTTTTTTTTCAGAAAAGACGGCGGCGCTGAATCTTAAAATTCAGTAACGACCGCAGCACATATTGACAACATATTATTACAGACAACACATCTTAAAATTGAGTTGTATACCGACAACACACCGCACAACAAGTGCTGTCAAACAACATATTATTACATACAACACATCGTACCATATACTCTTATAGAATTTACTACATATGTTGTATATAATAAAATTGTCTGTTTCCTTACAAAATATCAAATCAAATATTATCGTTTTTTAAAATTTCAAATTCCAAAATTCTATTTATAAAGCTAATTATTCCATTTATATTTAAATGAATAAGATAAAAAATATATTTATATATAAAAAGAAATTAAAAAAGCAAATTTAATATTAACAAACTCTACTTTTGGCGCCAAAAAGGCCGGGCATTACATTCCCGTCCTTCAAATATCCAAACTGAAATCAAACGCATTGTTCACACGAAAAGAAACATCCAAACCAGAAGAAGACAAAAATAGAATAAAAGCTTAAAAATATGGCGGGGCGGGGCAAGGACAAAAGCTATTGGCTGCTGAAAACGGAGCCGGGGGAGTGGTCGTGGGAGGATCAGCGGGGGTCCGACGAGGGGGTCTCCAAATGGGACGGCGTGCGGAACAAGCAGGCGCAGAAGTACATGAAGCAGATGCGCGCCGGCGACCTCTGCTTCTTCTACCATTCGGGATCGGGACCCAAATCTCGATCCGTGGTGGGCGTCGTCGAGGTGCTGCGCGAGTGGTACGCCGACGGCGACGGCGGTGCGGTGGAGGTGAAGGCTGTGGGAGAGATGGAGAGGAGGGTGGAGTTAGGGGCGATGAAGAAGGAGATAAAGGCGCCGGAGTTTGCGCTTTTCCGGCAGCCGCGGCTGTCGGTGGTGCCGGTCGAGAAAGGCGTGTGGGACATGGTCTGCGAAATGGGCGGCGGCTATGTGGCTGTGGACGAAGGCGAGGGAGGGACTGAATGAATGTAATGGGAGTGCAGGGAAGGTGTTCGATGAATTGCCTCAATGGAAATATTTTGAGATATTTTGAGTGCATTTTGAGCAAAAAGATATTTTTGGTCTCATTCCATATTATCATTATCAATATTAGTTTCAAAATATATTTTTTTGTTAATTTTGATCTCATTCAAACATAAATTTATTAAAATATGGCCGTGAATATAGTATAGGATATGAATCTGAATACAAGTGGAAATATTGTTATGTTGAGAACAAAATCGTATGAATTCAATACGATCATATTTAATATAGGATAATGAATAATGTTGTATTGACTGTATAGGTTGTCTAGTGTTTATGATACCAAAATTGATTAATTTTAATTTGAATGAGACAAAATTGATAATTATAATATAGAATAAAATAAAAAAATAATTTTTATTCCTTTTATTAGCTCTATTATTATTTTATTGAACGAATATGTTATAGAAGTTCAATCATAGTTTTTGCTTTTGTGCAAAATGCAAAATGAAAAATATATCTAAGTATCAATCCTCTTGCAACTTGCAAGTAAGGCTGCGTCTGGGAAATAGAGAGAGAGAGGAGGAGGGTTTAAATGTAATTTTGGCTGTAGCTTTCATACAAACAAAACAAAACAAAACCCTTCCAAGAACAAGAACACACAATCGAATCCAAGGCCGGCGCACGACTGAGCTTCGCTAATCGCCAATGCAATCACCTGTTTCTGTTCATCGCCTACTCAGACTGCCCAACCTTTCTACTTCTTTGCGTTTCAATTTTCGGGCTTTCTCCTCTTCTTCATCTTCATCTCCACCTTCTTCTTCTGACTCTAACCAGTCTCGCGGAGGCCTTCCTCGCTTCTTCTCCGAGACCTTACCCCCTTCCAAGGCACGCTTCTTCACTCTTTCCTACAGGCTACACTACAGAAGAAATGCAACATCCCTCGGTAAGGAACCTGTATTTAATTACCTAGCACTCACTCGAATTGTTGGTTGGTTTGCAGGGTGGTGTTGTGCGGGTGGAAGGGGATGAATTCTGGCACATGACCAAGGTTCTAAGGCTTGGGCTTAATGATAGGTATAATTGATTTTCACTGCATTTGTCGATTTTCTCATTCAGTCAATCTACATTTTTTTTTTTTATCATTTTACGATTTATTCCTCATTGGTGATTGATTATGTTTGCGTTCTTTGATTTACTTGCATAGTATGTAATTAAGCAATCACGAGTGAAAAGCACAATAGGCTATGCGCTTTATAGGTTACTTGCAACTGTAACTTACCGAAGCCTTTTTGGAGTTCCGATCGGAGCTCATGATTTCTCAGAAAACCAAATCCTAGTTGTTGCTATGGGATAGCCTGGCGGCTGGACTGTTAAAACGCTATAGCTTATAGTGGTACATCAGGATGATCGCAATTTAAGGAATTTTTAATAATCAAATAGTATATACAACAATCATATTAAAAATAACATGCTATCAAAGATATTTAGTAGTCTAATTAGTTTTGTAGGTAGATTATCAAATTTGATAACTTTAGGATAGTGGCTGATAGCATGCTATGGAGAGATTCAAGTTGGAAGATAAAAGAGCGAAGAAAAACAACAATCTGAAGAGATTTATATAAGGTTGTATGGAAGCGAAAAAATGAGAAGAAAACAAAGAACAATTGATGTAGAGTTGTTTAACTGCTGAAAGATAAACTGATAGAAAGGAAAAAATAAAGAAAGAAATCAGAGAATGACAATAGCAGGGACAATAGCAATTTAGATGTTTAATTCTATTTAATTCTATGACCTAAAATACCATTTTAGCTTTCGGTAAAGTAAGAGGTGAAAGGGGAATGGGGAGATGTGGTTCAGCTCCTAACTGCTCAGCCAGCCACATGTCGAACAGGCCTAGCTCTTCCACAAACTGTCCTGCTTCCCCTGTCAATTATCTCTACTGTTGCCATGTTCTGGTCCTCTAGAAGAAAAACAGATCCTCTGTGATCAACTAATATGAACTAAATAGAATTCTGTATCTAGCCAACAGGAATGTAGGTGGCTGTGGTCATTAATGGCACTCCATCTTAGGACAGAGTGATCTTTTAGGGCCACTTTGTTCCATTGTTTATCATATGGCTTATTTTTTCCAAGGGTGGAGCTATTTAATGGCAAGGGAGGCTTGGTCAGAGGATGCATAGAGAAGATTGATCGTTCAGGGGCAGATTTTGAAGCCCTGGAGAACCCAAGATTAATATCTACACAAACCACGCAGTGGCATGTATTTGCTGCTTTTGGTGAGTTTCCGGATAATCAACCACTTCCCTCTTGGTCGTCACTTTTCACACCTCCATTGGTTTTTTAAGATTGTATTTCCATGTATTCTTTAAGGCACACTAAAAGGAGGCCGGGCTGATTGGCTAGTGGAGAAGTGCACTGTATGTTTCTTCCATTGATAGTGAGTTAGTGATGTTGATTTCTTTATGCATCTTAGGAGCTTTTTATTTATTTATTTTTTTATGTATCTTAGGAGCTTGGAGCATCCAGTGTGACTCCTTTACTGACAGAGCATTCTCAGTTTATATCAGAGAATCGGATTGAGAGGCTGCAACGGGTCATCCTAGCTGCCGCAAAACAATGTAAAGTGTGGATTATTTTCATTGCTAGATGACCTCATACTTAATAACAAATGCTACTTTCTTTTATAGGTCAGCGATTGCATCAAATGGTTTTAAAGCCTCCCCTTAAGCTGGTTGATCTCCTACCTGTTGTAAGTATCTCATCTGTTGAAATGTTATATAAATTTCTAAACACTGTAACTTACTGCTTGGCTTATTTTCATGATATGCAAAACTTTATGATTTCAACTCTGCTCTTTCGTTCTTGTAGATTTAAAAATTTTCGGGTCTTTAACTTAGGTTGGTGAGTCAAGTTTATCCTTTGTGGCTACTGCAGAGGCCCCTCCTGTTTTTAATGCGTTGAGCTCCTTAAAAAGGCAATCTTCTGGGATCATTATAATTGGGCCTGAAGGAGGTTAGAAATCGTCACACTCTCCTTTCCCTTATGAAAGAATTCTAGTTTTCCTTATTGCCTCTTTTCGACGCATACAATTTCATAGTAGAGCTTGAAAAGTTCCAATTTTTGCCCCTTCCTGTGGATTCTAAGATTCTTCTGTTCATATAAGGTTTGATAGAGAGAGCCCTTTAATCCAAAAAAAAACATACATTTGCCAATTTAAAGTGGAAACTATACATTTCCGTGGCTTGCTTTTTCGGATGTTTTGATCCTTTTATCATATGGTTTTTAGAATTGAATGAATGAATGCATTGTAGACTTGAGCAAAGATGAGGTGAATTGGGTGATGGAGGCAGGTGCAATTGGTGTCGGTCTTGGCCCTCTTCGGCTTCGTGTCGAAACTGCTACTGTCGCTCTCCTTTCCACTCTTATGTTGTGGTCGGACTCGGACTCGGACTCCTACAACTACACTAACACTGCTGATCTTGGAAATGAAGAAGAAGAAGAAGAAGAAACTATCATCTGATGGATGACATTTTAACATGCATGTTGTCAACTCTCTCTGTCTTTCTCTCACTCTACATTCATTGTTCATATATAAACATACTCTCTCAACTTTGTGGAATTTTGTAAGTAAAAGATATCTCTTTCTATCTTTTGTAAGTTTGTCCATCTTAAATATATTCAATAATCGAGTTAAATCTGTAACATTTTACACTTACGATTCACTCAAAACCTCTTCATTTCTATATTTCTCTTCGGTTAACAAATATTTTTATCTACCTTTAAAATTTTTTATTTTTTATAAACTTAATTTATGATAATGATAAATAAATAAATATATATATATATATTTTTATTTATTTGTATTATATAAAATTTTATTATCTACAAAATATGATATTCATGTTACAGATATTTTATTGAGATATAATTCTAAAGAGATATAATTCTAAAAATAATTAAAATATTTTATTGAGATATACCTCTAGGTGGATGGAAGGATTTGTACTTGATTTGAAATAGTTAATATATTATTCTATTCAATTAAAAATTTTAAAATACAACTTTAAAAATATTAATCAAATATTAATTCAAAATTTGATTTTTTTTTTTTCTTTTTCGATTTGATTTGAAGATATTCAATTCCGTGTTAATAAAAAATACAGTTGTTATTTACTAATTTTTTAAATTGATATAGAAGGTTTCCTTTCTCTAATAAATAAAAATATAATTTTAGTTTTAATTATGGTATATACTTTTTATTCATTAATATTATTATATTTAGAAAATAATGTAATAGATATATTTAGTTTGATTTATTTACTTAAAATATATATATATATGTTATAATACATATATTAAGAAATAAAATCTAATAACACAATTACAACAAACCAGATAATGAATGAACAACCCATAAATTACAATCACTTGATATGAATCTTACTAAATCCAAATCAAATAATATTATTATATCATATCAAATCGTATAACTGAATATCTTAACAACCATTCTTGTGCATATACATACATATACATTTATATATATATATATATATGAAACCTGAGTACTCTGCTAATTAATCATCGTCTGCAACTATGAATTACCTGAGAATGGCGGCGAGCTTGTCTGGTTTCTCTTCTGAAGCATATCTGAGTTTTGAGGATTGGTTTTTCAGACATATTTTCAACAATGAGTTTCTCAACCGCATTTTCGACGATTGGGTTTTCAGCCATATCTTCGAGGATGGATTTTTCAGCAGAATTTTTTACGATTGGTTCTCAATCTCCATTGATCCTCCGGTGGTGATAGGAGAGAGAAAGAGTTACTGCTGTGAAGAGTGCGAAAATGAAGAGAAGAATGGCAAGAATCCGACATCATCGTTCGAGTTCCATCCTTGCGTTAACGATGCTGTGGTAGTCGGTTTCAGGACACAGGCCGGTCCAATCGGTCGACCGGCCGGTAAACGCAATTGATTCGAGTTTTTCTAGGCCGAAGGGCAGGGACCGGTCCAATACGGTAGGGGAGAAGAAAGAGTAGTCTAGTTACCAGTATATATTTAGAAGTCAAATCCTTGTAGAGATATTAATCTCTTGGTTTACAGTACCTCAAGTTGAATATAGAATATAATGGAGTGAATTTAAAATTTTAAAAAAATTTGGAGTAATAAAAAAAGAAAAATCAGTTAAAGATGACATTATATGACCTAATTAAAAGTTTTTTTTTTTATTATTATTTTTGTCTATTTTATTCAAAATTATACTCTTTTCGTCCCACAAACAAGTGTCTATGAAAATTTAGATAAAATATAATTATTAAGTATTTAAAAAAGTGTAATTATTATATAATAAAAATAATTATAAATTAAGATTAAGATAATTAAATAGAATTATTAAACTGCATAATTATATTTTAAAAAAAAAGACAAATTAAGACGAAAATAAAAAACAGAGACACTTTATGCTAAGAGGAATGGAGTATTCTTTTTTTTACATATATATAATTACTTTGTCTTAAAAAACAGAGACACTTTATTTATAAAAATAGAGACACTTTATGTAATTTATGTGAAAAACAGAGATACTTTATGTACAAATATATCATTACATATATATAATTAATTTATACATAATAAAATTATCAAAATTATATTATACTCTATAGTTTTATTAATTAATAAAATATTATACTATTATTTTTTAATATACTAACTGACTAATAACGGAATGACGAAACAGTTTTGTTGAGGTTAGAATTTTAAATAATTTTATCATTTTGAGTGAAATCTTAACAAACAAATAAATTATTAATAAAAAATATCTAAGAAAATTATTAATAGCAAATTTTATTTAAATAATTATTACCTCAAATATTTTTCGTAATATATTATATCAATTACTCATGTTTTTTTTTCTTTTTTTTTTTTTAAAAAATAATTGGAGGCAATATGAAAAATTATTTGGCCATAAAAATCTTATTTTATATGGATGTATTTTAAACTTGGCAAAATTGCTCATAACTCTCGTGGTTTCGAAATTCAGAGTAAATTTTCCCTTTATTTTAAAAATTGTACGACGTCCCTTTATACTTAAAAAAAAATATTTTATGAAATCACTTTGTGGTTTCGAAACTCAGCGTAAATTCTCATTTTACTTTAAAAAATTGCATACGCTCACTTCTGCTTTCAAAAATATTGCATAAAACCCCCTGCTATACGAAACATATAGATAGGAAATCATCTTCTTATCACATGAACGAGGAAAATTTCATGGTGGTGGAATTTCATGAACGTTTTTTAAAATATCAGAGTGGATCATGCAATTTTTAAAGTATAAAGAGATTTTACACAATTTCGAAATTACAGGAGAGTTATAAGTAATTTTACCTTTAAACTTTTGATATTTTTGATATTATTTTATTATTTGTGGACTATATATATATTTCAGAAAATATCATTAAACAATGCCAATTGTTTTTATTTCAACAATAAGCTAAAATATATGGTTTAGTTAATACTAAATGAACCACAAGTAAAGTACAAGTTTATTATCGAATAGTAAGATATGTGACAAGTTTTTTTTTTCAAATATATTAGCTTTTTTCTGGCTTTCTGGCAAAGCTTATAATCCAAAGCAGATCATCTTATTATTATTATTATTATTATTATTATTATTATTATTATTATTATTATTTTAATGACGTGAGAACCTGCACTGCTCCACGAAAATATCATCTTATTTTTATAAATATGTACAGTAACCAAAGCGAATCCAAACACATCAGTAAGCATGATTTTGTTTATAAAATTAATAAATAGAAAGTAATTAAAAATAAATAAATACCTTACCTCCCATTGGATTAAAATAAAATATGATCCAATGCCAATGTCCTTCTGTATCCATCCATTAGCCTTTCTGTTGGACTTATTACACACAGATATCAACATAAACGAAAAACATATCATAAACATATTTGTCAATAATTTTCTCAAAGGGATTCTGATCAGATTCTAAGTATCATTAATTAACAAAAAAAATGACCAACAGTATTAAAGTAGAAAAACCAATAAATGTTTAGAACCAAAATATCGATAATGTTGATAAGCAATTTGAAGTCTTCTCTTAAGCAACAGTCCTAACCTGAATGGATTGAAACACTGTCTGTGTGGTAGAAGTTGGAATGATGTCCGAGACTACCAACACTGTGTCTCCCTTCTTTATCGGTCCCTTCGCCTTTATCAGATCGATCGATCGGCTGATGTTTGCTTCCATGTCGTCCGAAAGATCAAGCTCAAGTGGCGTCACTCCCCACTGCAAGTTTAGCGCCATCCTTGTGCTTCCGTCGTTTGTGAATGCAAATATCGGAGGATTTGGACGGTTGCGCGACAGCAGCGACGCCATCTGCCCGTGTCTTGTGTACACAAATATCGCGTCCAGCCCTAAGTTGTCGGCTGCAGCCATAAAAACATGTAAAGGATTAAGAATTTTTCATCTAGTGGGCAGGGCAATGTGATTCGACCAAGAAAATTGTTGTGATGGATTAGGATTAATGGTCGAATAACAAACATAAAACGTAAAGAAACATAGATTTACGTGATTCACCAACAACATGTTGGCTACGTCAATGGACAAAAACGAAGAACTTCACGACAAGATTACAAATTCATATCTCTAAGTCTATTCAAATAAACTAAGGGTGTGTTCTTTTGGGGGATTTACCCAGATTTATACTATTCATTCAATTTTTTCCCTCCAAAAATATCAAATCAAATACTTATTTTTCATTTTTTATATTATACTAAAAATCAATTTTACATTCAAAACATCACATCAACATATATTTATATCATATCATACAACTATTCTAATTAAAAAATTTTACTATTCAAATCTCAATTCAAAATCCAAACCCCCAAACAAACACACCCTAAGAGAATACACTAGATGGGCTCAGCCCAATACGAATTCAAAAGCCCAATATTGCATACCGTCGGTGAAAACTCGGCGAAATGGCAAACTAAACTAAGGCATATAAACAAAAATATTTGATCCTATATACAATCCATTCCTCAGTTGAATCCTTCTATAATTATTATGATCAAATTTCAAGAACGCTTGTTATAGATCTCTTGCGAACTCCATTGTTTAAATTCGTCGACTATATTTACATGGAGGTAAATGAAAACAGAAAAGTGTACCCATTTCAGAAGCACAATTGCAGATTTGCTCGGCAATCTGGTCGGGCAAAGATGCTTTTAGCTCATTCCTGTATGTGGTGCTTCGCCTCTTTTCTTCCCTGTTCAAAAGCTCCATTCTGCTGCTGGTCGTACACAGCACAGAAACAGCTTTCTGTCCGTAAGGTCCGATAGCTGACTCTCCTGAGAGCATCAGCGCATCGGCATTTTGTCTGACAGCTTCGGAAACATCAGCAACCTGATATATTAATCCAACTGAAAGTTAAATTCCGATTTTTCATGCTTTCATCTTAGGCCCTTTGATTAATCAGGTCGGAAAATTGCTATAGAAAGTTATTGGCAGGTAGAAAAAGCCAGTACCTCAGCTCTTGTTGGTGTAGGATATTCAATCATGGACTCGAGAAGCTGAGAAGCTACAACTACAGGTTTATTTAGCTGCCGGCATAAATAGGTGATTTTCTCTTGCACCGTTGGAATCTGTTCCAATGGTATTTCAACTCCGAGGTCTCCTCGGGCAATCATGATCCCATCTGAAGCCTCCACAATTTCTTCCAAATTACGGAGGGACTCGAGTGTCTCAATCTTAGCCAACACTTTTATTGATCTGGGAACAATAAAACATTGTTAATGCTCAGTATTGTCTGCAAGAGTAAATTCAAAATCATAACAGCATCCATGCCGGGATTGTGTTTTCGTAGTGACAACAGATATGAATAATGAAGAGGGAAATTAATTACTTCGATGATTTGATGGAGAGGTAGTTCTTCAGATGGGAAACAGAATCGGCGTCATTGACAAAGGACATGGCGATAAAATCTACACCTTCAGATATTCCAAATTCAATGTCGGACCAATCCTGTAGATGACAACAGGAGATACCTATGTTATTGATCAATCAAGAAACATTTTGGACTAGCATTGATCGCCTACTTTATTAAATGCATTCATAGCTAGAAAACGATGTATCAACCTTAGCCGACAAAGTGGGAAGCTCGTAATTCTTCCCAACTAGCTTTCCCTCCCTCCAAACACTCAGCTTCGCTCTCGGCAGGAGCAGGCCTGGATCTGTGCACTTGCACTGCAAATCATTCCCAACCTTCTCTACCACTTCGAAAGTTGCCATCCCTCCATCGAAAACAATTTCATCTCCCACATTAATGCCTGGAGAAACCAACATTAACCAGTGAACAAAATAAAAGGAAGATGGAAACCACTCAATTCTGTAGCTTAAGAATCTTCACATTCATCTCATGCTGTTATGGCCAATAGTTCTCATGTTCGAAAACAAATACAACTTAAAGTTTAATTTCAACTTCTTTTACTATATAACCTCTACGATTACTTATAAAACAACACTACTTACTCCACAAAATGTCGACAGAACTGAATTTACCTTCGGAAAAGCCTTCATAGTTTGCTTGAATGGTAAATGGACGTGAGCCCTGGAATTTCTCGTTGGTGAAGAACCAGGTCGAGCCCTCCTGAGACAACAAGAAACAACAAATTCGTGAATAAAAGGACAGCAAATTTCTGAAACGAAAAACATAAGAGCTGCATAAACTCATGGCTATGGAAGCTAGATTGGATACCTCTGCTTTGACAGAGGAAGGAGCACCATGATCAACCACGTGAATCTGGCTTCCTTCAGTGTCGATCATCAGAGAGACACAGTATCCTTTCTCCTCATTCAACCTCTTCACATTCCGAATCACATCCCGCTGCCAATCCCTAGTGTTGTGACACATGTTGAGCCTGGCCACATTCATCCCTCCGGCGGCCAATTTCTCCAAATCCGGCAACGAACAGCACGCCGGCCCTATTGTGCACACCACTTTCGTCTTCCTTAACCCCCTAAATCCCTTCGCCTTCAATTCCCCTTCCGAAACCACATCCAATCCCACCGTCTCTTCCTTCAAATCGCCAGAAATCCCTAATTTCGGCACTCCGACCTGCATCACAGATTGAACCCTAATTTTAGCGCTCCTCGTTCTAAACTTGCCGCCGTTGCCGAGACTAACAGAAATCGGAGCACCGAACACCCCTTTCTTCAAATCGACACCATGTTTTTGGTTGACAGTCCCGCAGACGTTGAGTACCAAATCAGCCGCGGCAGCCATGGTATATGCTAATTCTGCAGTCAATGAACGACAATGCAAGAGATCTGCGGCAGTGATCTAAGGGATGAACACAATCAAACGTACGGCCCAAGCGGAAATACTTGGGCAACACGAATTCTAAGAAATCCGTCAAGATCTTCGCTCGATGAGTTATAACTATTCAACAGAAACAAATTTGCGGAATTCACAAGGGACGAATATGGAGTTTTGCACTTTGCAGGCAGGCAGGGGAGGCGTGAGTGAGTACGTTCTTTTCTTTTGCATTGGCCTGTGACAACTATAGTGTGGGGAACCCTAGGTGGGTGGGGGGTAGGGTTGGGTGGGGTGGGGGTCATTAAAAAATTACTCCTACTATATTGCTATAGGGACGGCACAGCACAGCTGAAAAAAACGTGCAGCATTGGTCAGTCAGTCGGTCAGGTCAGGTCAGGTCAGGTCAGGTCAGGTCAGAAGTACCTAAAAGTGTAGGCTATTGTGTATAGCAGCCGTAGGTTTCGGCCAAATTTAACGGTCAACTACTCTTGCGGCAGGTAGGCTAACGAGAAATCACAATTATGCAATTGGGGTGGATTTGGTTTATATTTTAAATGTAAATAAATATTATTTAATTGCTATAAAAATCAAACAAATTCTTAGAAATTGTTGAGATGGCTTTTTAATTTTTGAAATATTTTTTTGGTTTAATTTTAATTTGAAATTCGATAATCGTGATGTTGGTTGAGTTTGTTACGATATATTTATATAATTATTGAGTAAATTTTGTAAATATTATATTGGATAAAATTTATACTATTTTTATGTTGTTAATAACGGTAATATGATATTTCTTGTCTCTTATCTATCATGCATTGAGTTTCAGGAATATTAAGATTATATTTGTGTGATATAAAAGTAACGATATTTATGTAATATAATATAAATTGTTAAAATATTTTTAGTATCAGTAGAAATACATAATGTAGATAAATATGATATATTTATATAATTAATATAATTTAATTTAAAAAGATAATATTATATGTAGCATCTGATATATAATAATGTGTCTTAATACGCACATTTCAGTCACAATCAAAAGTTGAGCTTTAGCAACACAACTGTCACAGTGAGATTTATCACATACTTATAGTGTGTCACTTAGTCTAAGTGATATCACTTACATTTTATGATCTAAATGTTTTGAAAAAAGAGAAGTGATTGTACCCTTGAATCCATCCCGATTTATATACTCACTGTTGTCGGTCATTACTAGTGTGCTCGGAATTGTAAAATCGAATTATCATTCGTTTTGACTATAGCTTGGTCCAACACTCATATCGTTGATGCTCGTAAAGGTCAACATCTCGCCATCAAATAATCATATTTGATGATTTGCAACGAACCCTCTTTTGCATAGGTTTATAGTAATTTCGCTAGTACTTCTATATTTTTTATTTTTGCACTTTAAACGAGGGTACAAAATTTTTCCTCCAACGACCCAATCTCATACTACAAACCCGATTATAGGCTCTCCTCATATTGATACTTATTGATAGTGGAAATAATAATATATTGTTCAATAAATTTAACAATAAAAATTAAATGAGTAGCAATTTAAATTTCATAAAGAGAATATATAATGACTCAACATGCTAAGACTATAACATCTGGTGAAAAGAAAAAAAAGAAAAGAAAAGAAAAACCAACTTCAATTAAAAATTTACATCTAAACTATCAACACGATGTATTCATCTTTCAATAAAATCTGCCTAGATTTTGAAAAAAAGAAAAAATCTGCCAAGTTTTAGTAGAAATTATTTAAGTCGAAAAATTATTACCTCCAAAGGCTGAAATTTATTTTAAAATAAATATTATAATACAATAAAATATAAACCTACACTAACAATAAAAAATATAACTATTTTCTATTTAATCTAGAAATAATACATTAAAAGAATATAAAATATTGTATAACAAAGAGTAAAATAATACACTAAAACACAAATCAAATAATACAATATAATAAATAATAAAAAGAATAATTCCATTTGTACAAGAGAGAGTATTAATATTATGTACATGATATAATAGTATTATAATTCAATTCATCACACCTACATAAACACAATAAAATACACTTCCAGCACAATCGTTTGATCTGTACAAACTTACTATAAAAACGTGATTATTAATACAATTTCCTAACAAAAAAAATAAAAATAATGAATATAGGATCAAAAAATTCTAAAAATTTCCTAGTAAGAAGCAAAAGAAATTCAATGTATGGATAGATGAATACCCCTACAATGCACCAATCAAAATCAATCTCGTGTCGATCTCTATTTATATCAAATCAAATATTTATTTTTTATACAGAAATTTTGTAACAGTCGGCAAGTATGGCGAGAAAGAGCCGAGGCCGTCAAAAGATTCAAATGAAGAGAATGTCGAAAGAAAGCAATCTCCTCGTAACCTTCTCGAAGCGCCGGTCGGGACTTTTCAAAAAAGCCAGCGAGCTTTGCACTTTATGCGCGGCCGAAATCGCGATTATCGTATTCTCTCCGGGGAAGAAAGTTTTTTCGTTCGGCCACCCTAGCGTCGACTCCGTCGTCGATCGCTACCTGGACCTCCAGGGCCAGGCGGCTCAGCCGCCCAAGCCGGCGGCTCTACAGCTCGTGGAGGCTCACCGCAGCGCCGGAATACGGGAGCTGAATTTGCAGCTGAACGAATTGCTCGGCGCGGTGGAGGCTGAGAGAGGCAGGGCGGAGGAGCTGAGCCGCCTGAGGGAGAAGAGTGGCGGCGGCGGCGAGGGGCGGTGGTGGGAGGCGCCGGTGAAGGAGATGGGTATGGGAGAGTTGGAGCAGTTGAGGGAAGCCATGGAAGATTTGAGGATGAATGTTTTCCGGCAGGTGGAGAAAATGATGATCTTGATGCCGCCGCCGTTTGTGGCGGTGGAGGCTGGTGGCGGCGCAGGGCAGCTTCCGATGGGGCTGCAGGGATTTACTATTGGATTTGGGCCTTCGCTTTTTTGAGTCTTTACATTGCTATTAATAAAACTTGTTTTTGAAATAAATTAATCGTTTTTAATATTGAGTTTATTTTAGACATGCACTATCATGTGTTTTGGTGATTATATATCTAAAATACAAGGCAACAAAATTTATGTAAATCGAACACTATCATATGTGTTTTGGGGAAAAAAATCTAGTAAAATTAATGTTTTGATATTGAATATTGTATACATATGCCAATTTTTATATTATTAATGCCAACTATTGATATCATGATATCAAATTATGCTAAAAGTGAAATGATATATGATTATTATGTGTGTAGATATAATTATAGCAAAATTAGCAACAAAATATATTATTCTTGTAAAAAATAAAATAATATGATGTACAAAAGGCAAATATAATATAATTCCATTAAAGCAATAGTTACATGACATTCATCAACAAGAACACAAGATGTTGTGACGTGTGTACATATACAAGTTAAAATTGGAGATTGTGTCAACAAAATTATAAGACATGAACATAAGTTAAATTAGAACTATTAATTAAACTAGGCGATCTTAGGCTATAATGATATCGAAAGCCCTGTTTTTTATTTTAATAAGGTTTTGAGTCATATTTCCGACTCTATCGAGAATAGCAAGGACATTGTTTGCAATTGATGATAACGTGGAAATTCAAAGCCGCTACTCTTCGGATGCGCTATGGAAAAACCCCCGACCGAACATAATAGTCTTGAAACTAGGCTTGAACACATTAGGAAAACTATGTGTGGTATGCAAGTCATGAAGGTGTCGAGATTTTAACCCATGACATCACGATCACGAATCCATCTCCAGGGAATCCCATTTTTGCTGCCTACATGTGCAAACAAAATCCGTGCAGGAGTTTTTTGGGACACATGGCGCCCACTCAGTCTCGATTGACGGCCTGAGCGGCATTCGTACGTCGAGTTACGAGTTCGCTGTTGTCTGCCGGGGCAGACATCGACAATGATTCATTCGCAGGTTAACCTATAGAATTCATTTTACGAATTCTCCTTTCTCTAAACGATAAGGGTTATTCGACTTCTCGCGATGACGCGGGTTTGTCGGCGCTCGTGCGTGAACCCTCGTACGAAAAATTCGTCTGGGCGACGGCTCCGTGAGCGGCTGACGGGGTCGTCGTTCGCGATTGCTGGCGGCGACGTGGATCGCAGGGAATCCCATTTTTGCTGCCTACATGTGCAAAGAAATCCGTGCAGGAGTTTTTGGGGACGCATGGCGCCCACTCAGTCTCGATCGACGGCCTGAGCGGCATTCGTACGTCGGGTCACGAGTTCTCTGTTGTTTGCCGGGGCAGATATCGACAATGATCCTTTCGCAGGTTCACTTATAGAATTCATTTTACGAATTCTCCTTTCTCTAAACGATAAGGCTTATTCGACTTCTCGCGATGACGCGGGTTCGTTGGCGCTCGTGCTTGAACCCCCGTTTGCAAAATTCGTCTGGGCGACGGCTCCGTGAGCGGCTGACGGCGTCGTCGTTCGCGATTGCTGGCCGCGACGTGGATCGTAGGGAATCCCATTTTTGCTGCCTACAAGTGCACGAAAATCCGTGCAAGAGTTTTTTGGGACTCGTGGCGCCCACTCTATCACGATGGACGGCCTGAGCGGCATTCGTACGTCGGGTCACGAGTTCGCTGTTGTCTGCCGGGGCAGATATCGACAATGATCCTTTTGCAGGTTCACCTATAGAATTCATTTCACGAATTCTCCTTTCTTTAAACGATAAGGCTTATTCGACTTCTCGCGATGACGCGGGTTCGTCGGCGCCCGTGCGCGAACCGCCGTTCGCAAAATTCGGCTGGACGACGGCTCCGTGAGAGGCTGACGGGGTCGTCGTTCGCGATTGCTGGCCGCGACGTGGATCGCGGGGAATCCCATTTTTACTGCCTACAAGTGCACGAAAATGGATTTCCTACGATGCACGTCGCTGCCAAAAATCGCGAACGACGACCTTGTCCGCCGTTCACGGTCCCGTCGTCCAGCCGTATATTGCGAACGAGAATTCGCGCACGGGCGCCGACGAACCCGCGTCATCGCGAGAATTCCAGTTAGCCTGATCGTTTAGAGAAAAACGAACTCGTAAAAGGATTCTATAGTTGAACCTGCGAAAGGATCATTGTCGATGTCTGCCACGGCAGACAACAGCGAATTCGTGACCCGACGTACAAATGCCGGTCAGGCCGTCAATCGAGACAGAGTGGGTGCCCCAAAAAACTCCCGCGCGTATTTTCGTGAATATGTAGGCAGCAAAAATGGATTTCCTGCGATGCACGTCACGGCCAAAAATCGCGAACAACAACCTAGTCCGACGTTCACGGACCCGTCGTCTAGCCGTAGATTGCGAACGAGGATTCGCGCACGGGCGCCGACGAACCCGCGTCATTGCTAGAAGTCCAGTCAGCCTTATCGTTTAGAGAAAAAAAAACTCGTAACAAGGATTCTATAGTTGAACCTGCGAAAGGATCATTGTCGACGTCTGCCCCGGCAGACAACAGCGAATTCGTGACCCGACGTACGAATGCCGGTCAGGCCGTCGATCGAGACAGAGTGGGTGCCCCAAAAAACTCCCGCGCGGATTTTCGCGAATATGTAGGCAGCAAAAATGGATTTTCTGCGATGCACATCGCGGCCAAAAATCGCGAACGACGACCTAGTCCGACGTTCACGGACCCGTCGTCCAGCCGTATATTGCGAACAAGGATTCGCGCACGGGCGCCGACGAACCCGCGTCATCGCGAGAAGTCCGGTAAGCCTTATCGTTTAGAGAAAAAAGAACTCGTAACAAGGATTCTATAGTTGAACCTGCGAAAGGATCATTGTCGATGTCTGCCCCGGCAGACAACAGCGAATTCGTGACCCGACATACGAATGCCGGTCAGGCCGTCGATCGAGACAGAGTGGGTGCCCCAAAAAACTCCCGCGCAGATTTTTGCGAATATGTAGGCAGGAAAAATGGATTTTCTGCGATGCACGTCGCGGCCAAAAATCGCGAACGACGACCTAGTCCGACGTTCACGGACCCGTCGTCCAGCCGTAGATTGCGAACGAGGATTCGCGCACGGGCGCCGACGAACCCGCGCCATTGCTAGAAGTCCAGTCAGCCTTATCGTTTAGAGAAAAAAGAACTCGTAACAAGGATTCTATAGTTGAACCTGCGAAAGGATCATTGTCGACGTCTGCCCCGGCAGACAACAGCGAATTCGTGACCCGACTTACGAATGCCGGTCAGGCCGTCGATCGAGACAGAGTGGGTGCCCCAAAAAACTCCCGCGCGGATTTTCGCGAATATGTAGGCAGCAAAAATGGATTTTCTGCGATGCACATCGTGGCCAAAAATCGCGAACGACGACCTAGTCCGACGTTCACGGACCCGTCGTCCAGCCGTATATTGCGAACAAGGATTCGCGCACGGGCGCCGACGAACCCCCGTCATCGCGAGAAGTCCGGTCAGCCTTATCGTTTAGAGAAAAAAGAACTCGTAACAAGGATTCTATAGTTGAACCTGCGAAAGGATCATTGTCGACGTCTGCCCCGGCAGACAACAGCGAATTCGTGACCCCACATACGAATGCCGGTCAGGCCGTCGATCGAGACAGAGTGGGTGCCCCAAAAAACTCCCGCGCAGATTTTTGCGAATATGTAGGCAGGAAAAATGGATTTTCTGCGATGCATGTCGCGGCCAAAAATCGCGAACGACGACCTAGTCCGACGTTCACGGACCCGTCGTCCAGCCGTAGATTGCGAACGAGGATTCGCGCACGGGCGCCGACGAACCCGCGTCATCGCGAGAAGTCCGGTAAGCCTTATCGTTTAGAGAAAAAAGAACTCGTAACAAGGATTCTATAGTTGAACCTGCGAAAGGATCATTGTCGACGTCTGCCCCGGCAGACAACAGCGAATTCGTGACCCGACATACGAATGCCGGTCAGGCCGTCGATCGAGACAGAGTGGGTGCCCCAAAAAACTCCCGCGCAGATTTTTGCGAATATGTAGGCAGGAAAAATGGATTTTCTGCGATGCACGTCGCGGCCAAAAATCGCGAACGACGACCTAGTCCGACGTTCACGGACCCGTCGTCCAGCCGTAGATTGCGAACGAGGATTCGCGCACGGGCGCCGACGAACCCGCGCCATTGCTAGAAGTCCAGTCAGCCTTATCGTTTAGAGAAAAAAGAACTCGTAACAAGGATTCTATAGTTGAACCTGCGAAAGGATCATTGTCGACGTCTGCCTCGGTAGACAACAGCGAATTCGTGACCCGACGTACGAATGCCGGTCAGGCCGTCCATCGAGACAGATAGGGTGACCCAAAAACTCCTGTGCAGGTTTACGTGAATATGTAGGAAGCAAAAATGGATTTCCTGCGACGCATGTCGCGGCCAAAAATCGCGAACGACGACCTAGTCCGACATTCACGGGCCCATCGTCCAGCCGCAGATTGCGAACGAGGATTCGCGCACGGGTGCCGACGAACCCGCGTCATTGCTAGAAGTCCAGTCAGCCTTATCGTTTAGAGAAAAAGAACTCGTAACAAGGATTTTATAGGTACGTCTGCCACGGCAGACAACAGCGAATTCGTGACCCGACGTACGAATGCCGGTTAGGCCGTCCATCGAGACAGATTGGGCGACCCAAAAACTCCTGTGCGGGTTTTCGGGAATATGTAGGAAGCAAAAATGGATTTCCTGCGACGCACGTCGCGGCCAAAAATCGCGAACGACGACCTTGTCCGCCGTTCACGGACCCGTCGTCCAGCCGTATATTGCGAACGAGGATTCGCGCACGGGCGCCGACGAACCCGTGTCATTGCGAGAAGTCCAGTCAGCCTTATCGTTTAGAGAAAAAAGAACTCGTAACAAGGATTCTATAGTTGAACCAGCGAAAGGATCATTGTCGACGTCTGCCCCGGCAGACAACAGCGAATTCGTGACCCGACGTACGAATGCCGGTCAGGCTGTCGATCGAGACAG